TCCCGGTCATTATTCGATGGGGGTCATTATTCGTCTTTACACCAGCAATTGCTCTTTGAGCAATAAGCCCGGCTAAAAATGAATATATCAAAGCAACGCAGAACATGATGTTGCCAATTTATGAAAAATTATTTAATTTGATTTTTCATTGGGTAATATTCCCTCCTCTTAGTTAGAAGGAAATATTATGCCAATATATAAAACAAAGGCGAGAAAAGTAAGCCTAAAAAATTACAGACCAATTACAATTTTAAGTTGCGTTGGAAAACTTGTCACATCGATTCTTAATGAACGAAAATATATTTTCTGATGAGTTTAAATCAATACATGAAAATCAAACAGGCTTTAGAAAGGTATTTTCAACAATTGATAATTTATTCTCAATACATATTTTATTCGAGCTTCTTAAAACAAAAAAAAGAAATCAAAGTACTCAGAAGTACAGAGAGCCGGGCTCATTTACAGAGTAAAATGAATTTCTTACATGAATCATACGTTTATATTGTATTAACAGATAAATAACAAGAATATCAGATTAAAAATTCTGATGAAAAAATTATTTTAAAGGTAGCAATATAAGCTATAAGACACTGACAGTGAGTTTTCGATCCAAATACCGCGGTCCGATTTTGTCAGAATCAAAATTAATCTGGTACTACCAGGGACCTATATACTAACGTTAGTATATAGGTCCCTGGTACTACGGCTGAATGTAAACAAACAGGCCAGTCTAGCTGGTTCCCTCTCCTGTTTTTCCTCGTTAGTGTAGAGAACTACGATAACACTGATTATCAGAAATCCTTACGCTAATAAACTATGTTCTTTGACTTAAGAAAATTCAAGATTTAATAAAGTTTTCAAAGACATTACTACTAATGTTTATTTATTTATATAAAACTTCGTTTTATTTATGTTTCTTTATTTAGCGTTTGTATTATCTCAGAAGTAAGAACTATATTAATTCTTATTCGTAACTTTAAAATGGCGACTATGGGGTTGACATCCTGTCTTGAACAGGATGACATAAGCCGGCAATTGCTCTTTGAGCAATAATTATGCCCGGCTAAAAAATATTTTGTTTTTTGTAGTTTTTCAGAAAGCTTTTGATAATGTATGGAGGAAGGCATTGTGGTTAAAACTTTTATCTCACAATATTAGCGGCATAATGTATGACATTATTTTGAATATGTACAGTCAGATAAAATCCAAAATTGTCTATAATCAAGAACAGTCAGACTTTTTTCAATGTGCAAATGGTGTTAGACAGGATGAAAATATGTCATCTTTTTTATTTCCTATGTATCTAAACGATTTACACGATTTCCTGAATGCATCCAATATTTTAGGTTTATCAACTATTTCAGAGATTTTGAAAACAAATTAAATAATATATATATATTTTTTAAATATTTGCAGTCTTATGTGCAGATGACACTGTACTGGTGGCAGAATCTTCTGAAGAGCTACAAAAGAACTAGATAGCTTCTGTAACACACATGCACAACTCGCTTGTGACATATTTTCTTGATCCCTCCAACATTTTAGAGTTATTCAAGGTTTTTCCCGAGTAAAACACAAATTGCATCTTTATCTGCTGCTCCGTGACGTTCTAAAAAGTGATCGTTTTTGTCGTTTTCAAGAAGGACTCCCTCTCTTCTAAATTAAGTTGATTTCTTTTCAACAAAGCAAAATATAAAGCCATAATTTGGTACACGAATCGATGTAACAATTCTTAATTTGAATTTTTAGGTTGTTTTTCGTTTTTGATCCATTTTACATAGAATATGACTACAAACATTATATAGTGTATTGTCTGTAACTTACTACATTTTTAACCTCCTCCGCGATCCTATTTTTGCATTTTTAAAATCTGGATAAGTTTTGAATAAATCGTAATATTTTGCTAAACTTTAATACAAACTAGAGGTACTGTGAGCAGTGAGCTCACTAAATGATACCCCCCGCCTCCCATATGAATATAATGGCAGTGTCCATGTTTTGCTCTGGAAAATCAAAAATATATGTCAGATCAAAAAGTAAAATAGGAGGTCACAATGGCCATATATAATTAAGAATCTGTTTAAGTTTCATTAAATTTCCTTCAGTGGTATGAGAGGAGTTGCGGATAAGAGATGGGCACCCCAAAGCGTAACAGACGGACGGACGGACGGAAATACCGATTACTATATACCCTCCCTCTTTTCAAGCGGGGGGTATAATCATTTGGATTAATGGTAACAATATTTCTACCAAATTTGGATAACAAATGACGTCAAATAAAAACAAGAGGCCCATGGGCCACATCGCTCACCTGAGCACTGTGGCTAGGAAAAAGTAGATATTGGTTTATTATTGAAGTTTAAATCCAAAAGTAGTCCCATGACCAATCATGGCTTTGCTATTCTTGAGAAGATTTTAAAAGAATTTTCTTATAAATTTCTATATAAAACTTTGGTCGGCCATTGTGGCCCGCCCTACCCCCGGGGGTCATGATTTGAACAAACTTAAATCTATACTACTTGAGGATGCTTCCATAATAATATGATCAATTATGGCTTTCCTATTCTTGAGAAGAACATTTTTAAAGAATTTTCCTTCATATTTCTATGTAAAACTTTGGTCGGCCATTTTGGCTCCCGCCCTACCCCCGGGGGTCATGATTTGAAAAAACTTGAATCTACACAACCTGAGGATGCTTCCATATAAATATGATCAATTATGGCTTTGTTATTCTTGAGAAGATTTTTAAAGAATTTTCCTATATATTTCTATGTAAAAGTTTGGTCGGCCATTTTGGCCCCGCCCTACCCCCGGGGGTCATGATTTGTACAAACTTGAATCTATACTACCTGAGGATGCTTCCATATAAATATGATCAATTATGGCTTTGTTATTCTTGAGAAGAAGATTTTTAAAGAATTTTCCTATATATTTCTATGTAAAACTTTGGTCGGCCATTTTGGCCCTGCCCTATCCCCGGGGGTCATGATTTGAACAAACTTGAATCTACACTACCTGAGGATGCTTCCATATAAATATGTTCAATTATGGCTTTGTTATTCTTGAGAAGATTTTTAAAGAATTTTCCTATATATTTCTATGTAAAACTTTGGTCGGCCATTTTGGCCCCGCCCTACTCCCGGGGGTCATGATTTGAACAAACTTGAATCTACACTACCCCCCTCCCCCCCCAAAAAAAGGATTTTCGAGTTCATTGGGCAATTCCCTTTTTTGTCAACTTTTACAGGTAGGTAAAAAAAAATTCTCTTGCTGCCCCCCAGCGCCCACTTTCAAAAACGATGCTACGTGCCTGCTGTATAGGAACGTAAATCACTACAGTATATAGTGTATATCACTGCTAGATAGGAATGTAAACCATTACTCGCTGTATAGGAGTTTTGAGTCAATACTAACAATTTAACAAAACGTAAAGTTACTGCGAATATTAAGCTTCGCTTAGCGTTCACATGGAGAATTTAAGGCGAATTATTTTGATTCGAATTGATTTACTACGCATTAAATTACTTGGCATTGGCTCCGTGTGAACTCTAAGAGAAGCTAATTCGAATTAAATTCTGACGCATGCGTTATGGCAAAATTTAGTCAAATGCCACTTGTCTGTGGTAAGCTATAGGTACTTGTGCTATTTTTGAGTGAAAAACTAAGGAAAATTTTGTTAATCATTAAAATGTGTATACAGACACTTTGACAGTATGTCAAATAGATCTGCTTCTGCATAAGGTGACGTGATTTGCAAATGACGTCATAATAGCCGTGCTGACGCCGGGCTGCAGAAGTAAAATTTTAATTCACATTAGTTTACTTCGCATTAGCTGTCATGTGAACGCAATTTAATTCGCATTAATTTGATTTGCAGTAGTTTACTTCACATTATTTTACTGCTAATTAAACTCTCCAAGTGAACAACTGGCATAACTTTTCTGTCAACTTCCCTTACTTATGCAGCTACATACTTTCATCACCTGCATACAGAGTTTATATATCTCAGTTGATTCAATAGCAAAAGCGTGCTCTACATATAAACAATTTCAAAAATGAGATAAATTATTGACAAAGAAGTTGATGAAACAAGAGTTTCAGCTGTCTCGTTTAAAGTCATCACTTTGAAAGTTCTAAGCTCGATGCAATGACCTTGTGAGCAAGTACAATTTATCATTGGGTCAAATGCTGATGGACGTTTTTCATACTAATTGTTAGTCCATTATTTATACACTAAATTGACAACGGATTTTTCCGTTATTTCCTGATCATGACAAGGAGCACACAGCAGGTGTGACAAGTCGACAGGGGATGCTCACTCCTCCATGGTACCTGATCCCACATCTAATGTGTAAGAGGTCAGTGTTTGCTCTGCTCCTATTTCGTATGGTTCACTGGTAGGGCTGGGCAATAATATCGATATTTCAATATATTGCAATACAATGATAAAAAAACATCGTATCGCAATACGATTTTGTAATATCAATATATTGGCGATATACTTAGATTAAGGAATTTTAACATTAAATCTAAAAATGGACTTATGAAAGTTTGTTATTAAGCCAGACGGTAGGACAGAAGTTGTTTTGTGGGAACATTTCAGAGCATAACTTATAATGAAATCAACAAGATTTTTTCCTGTGTTGGTTACTTATCATAGTTATGTACATTCTGCATGTAAATTAATGTAAATGTTGTAAGAAAATGCCATTTAAATTACATTGAAGATATTGCAATACATATTGCAATACAGTTTAAAATATCGCAATATATCGCAATACGAAATCTCGGGCCAATACCCAGCCCTATTCACTGGACTTTTGATCTTGAATACTGTTCATTATCGCCGTATGTTTCACTGTATAGGAATGCAACGTTACTACTGTATTCGATTGTAAATCACTACAGTACAGGAATTTTAGATATTAGATAAATTTGTAATTTAGTTGGAAACCAATGGTAGGATTTATCAGTACCTGATAGGATTGGTAAGTTGCAACTTGTAAGAAAATTTGTTTTTTATTTCAAATATCTCAAATCAAATCACATCGTAATTTTTTTTTTCCAATAAACATTCACTATGACATACATGTGTCTCTTTTCCCACATGAGATTCAATAAGTCATATATGCTTATTTGAACAAGAGAGGATTCTAAATACATTAAAAGGGACTAAATATCTTCATGTGCTAATGTGAAAAAAAGATTTCGGTATGCTTTATTGTCGTGTATATTGAAAGGATCAGTTGGTTACATTCTGTAACTACAGATATTCATGTGTAAACTTTTATCCCAGAAATGCAGTACATGAATAAAGAAACATACCACAAAAAAATTTTCTTATCTTCCACACATTAAAGTTAACATCAATCTGATTAAAATCAGATCCTTTGATCCACTCACATAGATCACTAAACAAGGCCTTGTGTAGCGATCTATGTGAGCGGATCAAAGGATCTGATTTTAATCAGATTGAGTTAACATCAAATTTTTCAACATTTCCTTCATTTGAAGTCAATTTACAAAACTTTAAATGTGTTTGAAAAATAATAGACTCTTGACAATATTCCAAAAAACAGTAAGGAAGCTATGTGTACTTCTTGTTGTAAGAATGAATGTTTTCACAAAGCACATTTAACTGTAAAATTAAATTTCCAAACTTTCATTAAGTTGTGTGGCTTGGTCAAAAAGATAGTTGCTTTATTCAACTATATTTACATCCACTGAATATTTTCTTCTTTATTTCTTCAGAAAACCCATTGCGTTCATCCCTGCATAAACTACATTAGGCATATCACCTGTACAGATTTCTTGATCAGTGGCCGTTCCATCAATGAAACATACAAAGACGTTCGCATCATTAACACAATAATTAATATTTTTAATCCTAATTAAAATGATAATTTAAACAGATATAAATATAAACAATAAAATGTCTTTCTTTGTTTGTTGTTACTGGAATGAACGGTCGCAGCTACTGCATAAAAAATTTACATAACCCGCTTACGCGGGTTATGTATTTTTTCTGCAACAGCTGCTTCCGTTCATTCCAGTAACAACAAACAAAGAAAGCATTTTAATGTTTAAAAAACAGATTGCTTTACTGAGATAAGCACCTTATATATTCACGCAGAGATACTGAGTATTTGAGTTTTGAAAAAAGAAAAATCTGTTTCTATGTATACCTTATCTTCAGGCTATCAGCACTTGTACACGTTAGAGACAAGAAATTGATGGATACTTTGTAAAACATACAACATTAAAAAAAATATATAAATAATTGCACAACAACAGTAACAAATATAAATAAATAAACAAAATAAAACAAATTAAAAGTTTCTGTTGTCATAACTCGTCTTTGGAGGAGATGACATTTTTTCGTGTACCATTTAATTGTTTGAACAGAGCACTGGAGCCGGAAGCTGACAGGAGGAAATGATCCAGAGCTTCCTCAGTACAGTCTGCGATAAATCGTATAAATGGCCGCACGTCGCCAGCATTAGCCATCTCTAGAGTCTCGTAATACTGAAGGCGGTCCTCCACCTTAATCGTCACTGGCGGAAAACCCGCTTGCATGAGAATGAGATTCATCAACAACCTGGAGGTCCTTCCGTTTCCATCGTAAAAAGGATGAATAATAACTAACTTATAGTGTGCTAAAGCTGCATACTCCACGGGATGTAACTTAACAGTGTCTTCGTTATTTAACCACTCAACAAAATCATCCATTAGGCTCGGAAGTGCCGCTGCCTCTGGCGGTTTAAATTCCCCCACGTACACTTGAGTATCTCGTAGAACCCCTGCCTCTGTCGGGTCAACATATCCCAGAACCCTCTTGTGAATATTCAGTAAATCTTTGAGGGTAATGGAACCAACACGACCAAGCAGTGTATTGTTTATGTAACTTAAAGCTGCATCAAGTCCTAACACTTCATTTTGTTCAGCTAAACTTTTCCCTCCAACTGCTATTCTTGTTTCAACAATTGCTCTTGTTTGCATTAGAGTCAGGGTGTTTCCCTCAATTGCATTTGTGTGATAAATGTGAGAGAAATAGGATTCCTTTTTGGCTCTCCTTAAACCTGGGTTATTTTGGGGAATTTTCACAAACAGATTGAGTTTTTTGTCTATCATATTGAATCGCCTTTGATCAATTTCTTCTACAATAGGTAAGATTCGCTGTTTGTTGTTCAGGGCTTTAGTGTATTCTGGACTCAATGCCAGTGCTTTACTATACATGTGATTAGCACGAAGCAGATCCTGTTCGAACTTTTCCAGATATTCTCCAAAAGCAGTGAGGATTTCTACATGATTGGGATCCAGTTTAAGAGCGTGGTGATAAAGTTTCCTGGCTTTCTCATATTTTCCTTGTGCCTCCATATCTAAAGCTAGATTCATAGCTGACACTGCCTCCTTCTGGATGTCTGCTGAGGAAAACAAAAGTATATCAACCATTTTTTAACTCATATAACATTTACAAATACTTTATTACTGGACTGACTGACATCTTCTTTTTGGAAATTTGGTACCACTTATTTAAAAGGCTTTGTAATATAAAATATACAACAACAAAATTGGAAAATGCAAACATGTGGGTTGCGATTAAGCAGAGAATTTAAAAACAGATTTGTTAGGCCAGATAAAATTAATCTTTAGATTCTCATCCTCGCCCGCCCCTCTCCAAGTATCCTGCCGGCGCCTCGGTGTTTTTTATTTTGATTTTTGAGTGTTAAAAGTGTTTTTATGTATTTTTATTCAGCAAGAATTTGGATCAAAGTTTAAGAGTTATCTCCCGTCTGTATTAAAAGATGTGTGTCGCTATTTATAGCAAAATAACCATGTGAAGAATGGAGAAAAATCAACAATAAAAGCAGTTTAATATGTAAGGAAAACATAATTTGTCAGTATAGAGAAAGTAGAGAAGAAAAAGTAGCATCCACACATCTAGATATATCTTTACTGGCATGAGCAAGTCTTAGAGAGATTTTAAATGAGTAAAAATAGACAAGGAAAATGACACCTGTTCAGTCAACTTTTAACGATTTCCAGCTGTACGTGATTTTGCATTAAAAAAAAATAAAACAGACTTTAGAGAATAAGCTAAGGAAATGTTTAATCTTAAAACTGTTCAGGCCTAGGCTTTTTCAGTAGGATATTTTATAGATTTTGCAAACATGACCTATTTTAATGTTGAACATGTTATTTTAGTATCAAGAATGATAGAGTTTTTGAGGAAGGTGGAAATCGGTGATATTTTACACAAAACAGAATTAAGGATTTGTTGGTAAAACTAAAAGATATTTGGGGAAAGGCGATGAGAAGTCATGCATGCACAATTTATTAGAATCTGCACCTCATTTTGTTTGGCATGTGCTGTATATGTGTACTTGATTATTTGTTAATTAAACTCTAAATATTTAATTTTTTAAAACAAGAACTATCTGTAGATATTTATTAAAAGAATATGAAAACAATAAAATCCATTCATATTAGCATTAACATATATTTAAATAAATGTGTACGAAGAGTCCATGTTTTGTTGATACTTTCAATTATATATATATAAAAAAAATAAAATCCGCCCATCCACCCCAATTTTTTAGCAAATTCGGGTGAGAATCTAAAGATTAATTAGCCCCTTCACGGTAACTGCAGTACTACTCTTTTGCAGGGCAAAATAATACTGTTTGGCGAAGTTTTTGTTGACAGATTATTAAATGACGTATATTAAACAATTACTTTTACGTCATATTTCACCAAACTATATCATTTTGCCCTGTAAAAGAGCAGTAGGGTGAATTCACCATGCATCGGACACATACCTTGCTTCCAACAACTTGAGACAATAAATTCTCTTTCAAGTTAAGAGTTCCGTGTATTTATTTGTTTCGATCTGTCTAGAAGCTGAAGATTTAAATTTTTTAATGATACCGATTGTTATTATCATGTTTTGATAAAAATACCCCGAGAATGACCTTGAAGTTACGTCATATTTTACATCATCAAAGGGGAATAACCAGAAATTTATGATTTTGCGATTTTAGAGTTATCGTTCTTAAAATTCGACTTCAGTGGAACAAGTCAGACTTTGGTAAATAAAGTCAGAGATTGGTAATTTTACATAAATTTTAAAGAAATTTCAATTCAATGTTCGTATAATTCTTTATAGAGCTGGTTTTCACTAGTATGTTAATTTCTCCGTACATCTGACACAAATTAACCATGCATCCGACACTTTCGATGCAATGGTAAGTACTACCATTTTCATACAGAACCCAGCTGATAGCTGTTTTTTTGCGGAAAAGGAAAATAAAAACTCTATATTTTCAGTCAAAATACAAGTTATCGATATATGACGTCTGGAATTTGACTCAATTTATTTCTACAAACCAGAGTATGATAAACCATGAAAAAAGGGTGCAAATTACCGCATTATAAGCATTTTAAAGCATTTTAAAGCATTTCTAAGGCAGACTGAGGTCTCTTGAATCGTTCTACATTTGTGCAACGATATCGTCAATTGAATTTAAGTTGAGGGTTATTTCTTAGATAAAAGATAAAAATATATCCATATCAAGCATTTTAAAGCACTTTGATAAAGGTATGTTTTTCTGGTCAAAATACCGTCTGTCCGATGCATGGTAAACAATGTCCAATCCATGGTGAATTTTGGGTTATCACTAAAAACTCGATTTTTGAGGATATTTTCTCAATAGAGGGCATATAATTGTGTCCCAAATTGATATTTTAATCTCAAACTAAATGTTAAACTCCATTTTGATAATTTTCTGTCAGTAGTGATATTGCTAGAACTTGCTGAAGTACAAGGGTATCCAATGCATGGTGAATTCACCGGTACCTCGAATTACCGAAATGCCCCTGGAAATTACCGAAATGCCCCGTAAAACTACCGAAATGCCCTTTAAAAACTTAAATACTTTGATTAATATGAAAGGTAGTGAGTTTATTATATATATTTTAAACTCAGAAATAAAAAAAAAATTACAAATGTGTTTTTTTTGTTCAAAAAGGTGTGTTTATCTAAGAGAGATAACTCTGGTATTTGTAGTTGATCTATCTCAATGTCATATTCGAAAAAGAACTATATTATTGTTTCAAATTTTATATTACTGTCGAAGATTTGTTTGTTTGTTTTTTTTTACGTGAATATAATTTTTGTAATGCTTACTCATCGATCATTTATATAACTCATTTAAAATTCGTTGTTAAATCTCGAGAAAAAAAAAAATTCATTGCCGGTTAGTTAATACCTAGCTAATGCTACCCAACTTAATATTTAATCAAAATATTTTTTGATATATTTCTTAACGGTTAAATTATTTTTTAAGAAATAAGGTATCATTTTTTAAGTTTTATTGGGATGTAAAACTGGTTGGTCACGTGATCAAATCCCATAAAGCCCGAAGGGCTTTATGGAAGATTTGATCATGTGCCAACCCGTTTTACATCCCAATACTGTAAACCAATTATTATACGCGTCATTTTTTATTCGTGACTGACCGTTAGAGAACTAATCCGCGACGATTTATTTTCGCGAACAAGAGGTCACATTTTTTTTTATCTCCACAAGTATTTCTCAAGTGTAAAAGTGCCTTATGCCAACTGGGTAATCGACGCTTTCCGTGATCTAGAAACCAAAGGACAATTATTACAAATGGTTGGGACAGAGCAGGGCTTGGCCATAATTGGCCGTAATTAACATGATTACCGTAACAAGGGTCTCTACCTCGTCTGTGACAATAAATGAATAATGACAAAAGCTGATATAATTGACATTTTAAATCATTATTCGACAAGTTGTTTTAGATTTGCCATTCGTTTTTATTTTTTTAACTGAATGTTTGTAATTAAATTTTAACTGCTTCTAGTGCAATAAAGTTCTTCCGTGATTTCATATCCGTGATTTGAAGTGTCGGGATCGGTATTCAAAAAGGGGCAGGTAACTCTAATCATAACTTCGGAATTTTAATTAATTAATTTTAACACTCCAAAAATGATACCTTATTACTTATATTTACATTTGTGACTTATTCATACTTTAAACTTGCCTGATTGTGACTTTTGTGAAATGCATTATTTTTCAAACCCAACGGCATGTATGTAATCCACTGACCGTGCGTCGACCCTTTATGATGTCACAGAGAAATTTCGTCGAACATTTATCCATACGAACATCTATGACCTCTTGACCCCGAACCTGTCTTTATACAGTTATAAAAACGCTTGCTTTCAGTAGTGTTGTATAAAGGAAAACATTTGTAAATGTAAATATATCAAAATGAACACACATGCACAATATCGAGGAAAACTGTACACTTATATATATATATATTTATATATTTTTAAAACAAATGAAAGCAATGTAATTAATTTTGTTTTCATATTAGCAGAACTATTTTCTGAATGATGTCAATTTACATGCCGAATAATTTAAATTAATTAATTTAAACTTTTAAGTGGAGAGAGAGAGAGAGAGAAAAAAAAAGAAAAGGAATCATTAAATCATAAAATGATATTACAACAACGGACAACAATGTTGCAAGAGTTATCGCTCTTAGTTGTCACAAATATTTGAGCGAATTAAACAGTCCAGTCCAATACGAAAAATCGTAATATTACTAAAATTCGTAATATAAGCAATTTCTAACTCTTCTAAGAGTTACTTCCCTTTTTTCTGATACAACCTCCTTGTTATGTTTCATCAGAGATTATATGTCTCTGGTTTCATCAAATCATCGTGGATATGCATGCATTTTCTTTGTTTTGATGCATTTGATCCAAGTGCATGCAGAGTCAGAGCCTAGTGAAAGTTGTACAAGTTATACCCCGTAACATCTCGTTGTTGGAGATGAGGGTCTGATTTTTAGGGTAGACTTCGGGAAAAATATAGGGAATTCGGGGGTTATAGAACACTGTGACAAGTTTGAGGATACATTGAAGTTTTATGGAAAATTGTTCCCATCCCTGGGAAAATTCTTATAAAAGAATAATAAAACAAAATTTTCACTCACCCATTACTATTGTTACTTTCTTCTTGCATTTTCATACTTTTCGATAGACGTCACTGACCGAAATGACCATGTGATACTAGTACCATTGGGGCATAATGTATTTCTGACGTCATACTTTCCTTAACATCATTCAGTTTCTTTCAATGCTTAATTTTGTCTTACATTACGAAAACTCGTAATATAGTCTCTCACAACTTGCTATATTACGAGTTTTCGTAATTTAACTATATTACAAAAAATAGTAATATAAGAATAATATTACGATATTCTGTAATATTACAATGTCTGGTAATATTACAATTTTTAGTAACATTACGATTTTTCGTATTGGACTGGACTGTTAAAGGCATTTTTTCACATTTGTGTTCAAAATACACAGTTTTATTAATAAAATTTATCATAAATTATCATTAAATGCCTATTTGAATATAATACAAGGGGCATTTCGGTAGTTTTAGGGGGCATTTCGGTAATTTCCATGGGCATTTCGGTAAACCAGGGGCATTTCGGTAATTCGGGTTACCCGTGAATTCACCCTACTGCAGTAACCGTGAAACAGTTTAATTTGTGGCCTTACTGGAAAATGACTGTTTTGTACACGTCATACAACGTACATGTAAATACGCAAAGAAATCACTAACAGATGTACTTCACCTTTTGTTGGCATTTGTTGTTGTCTAACTCGAAAAACAAGCGAAGTATCATGCGCCTCCTGTGTTGTTGTTCCGATCTGTTTCTTTGAGAAAAGTGAAAGTAGACCATATGATGACAGCGTTAGATAGGCCACTGCAGCGCCAGTGATAAATACTAGAAGAAGAAGAAGGGAAGGGAGCGGCATCTTGTTAGAACAGTTTTTCCTCTGCCAGTCGTCATATCGGGTGGTAACTTGACAGATGTTTGATAAGAGTTTCAGACATCTTACCATCTTCTACGTGTGTCATAACAGGAAGTTTACATCGATGCGATTTGTTGCATGCGGATTGGTTGATTTATACCCACAGTTCGCAATAAAGATGGTTGCGCCCATGCAGAAGATGTGATGAAGTCTCCTTAAAGTGTTTTGTACATAATTTTCTTAAGAATGGCATTATTTGCCATTACAAGGTATTTTTTTCATTTATATTTCATATGCTAGAAATGTAAAATTTGAGCATGTGCTATCAGTTCTGTATAGAAGTCGTTCAAAGACAAAGAAAACACACACGTGGATAGAGTAAATTCTGGCATCCATATTCTCTGATTGTCTTGATCACCAGAAGTGAAACAAATATGCTTTAAGGAGGCTTATTACACCCACAATTTATTTTAGCATCACTTATAATGTAGATATCAAAACTCAAAATGGGGCTTATCATAAATATCTTTTGAATTTATTCTTAGCTCTTTCTTTTCTGTGAGAACGTGATAACATTGTATATTTGGAGATGTATTTCATTAAAGACCACAAGTAAATGCAGAAAAAAATTCATTTGGATCAAATGATGAGTGCAGCTTTTTTTGCTAATATATTGACAGTGTGACCGTTAAGGCGAGTGCAGATATTTCTTTTGTTATAACTTTAATAGATCGGGCTCATCAAGCCGCACGTGACATTTGTTGCATCTAGACTTTGATATCACATGATGTCGTATATAAGTTACATTTCCAAAAAGAAGCCCAACAGTGCTGAAAGTGAATGAAGAGCATTCCGTTTACTATTTACCTTTAATATTTATCCATTAAATCAAGGCGTGTTAACTTTAAATTGAACTTTTGCTGCTATTCTTGCGAGAACATAGCTTTAACAAATGATGCATTATGAGTCCAGAGTTACTGAGGAAAAAAATTCTGATGAATGAATGTGCATTAGTCGGAATTTTCTCTTCGCCCAGGCTTTGCTTAATGATTTAATCAATTTAGTTTTCATTGTAAAGTCAACAATGGGGCTGAGATTCCAGGATAGTCATCTAAGTTGTAAAATTCATTTAACATGGATTCAGAATTTATTCCGGTTGCTAATCTTGAGAAATACATGATACTTATAGGTGACTATATCTGTGTAGAATTCGCTCATTACATGATCTTTACAAGAGATCAACTATTTTATTTTGAATATTACGTCCCCCAATAAAATTTAAAAAAAAGAAGAAGACAGAAATGTTCAGGAAAAAATATTTTGTTAGGCAGAATATTACAAATTAATATTAGCCAAAAAAGTGCTCGAATTAATGAAACTGAAACTTTTCTTTTCCTAGATACACAGGTGATGAAAAAGAAAAGGTGCAAACAGAAAGCCGAGCAGATTTAATTCTGAAGAAACTAAAAGCTGATGCTGATGCAAGGAAGAAGCAGCGCGGAACTGAAAAAGCCATAGAGAATGTCACAAGAAAAGAAACAGACAGGAAGAGACCAGCTGAAAAATCTAAAAAGAAAAAACTTTCGCATAAAAAGGCATTAAAGTCTAGTCCTAAGGAACCTCAGTCAGGTCAGAAATCTATAGCTTTAGAATGTGATGACAGTGATGATGATGATAAAGAAGATGATCGGGTGTTTCAAAAGAAGAAGATGAAGTTTCTTGACGAGTCATACGAGAATAATGAGAAGACTGAAGACAATGACAGTTTTTCTACAGACTACCAAGGGGCAATAACTCCAGACTCCACACACGTAATGTTAAACAACACGGATAATAGTGGTGCGAGACCAGAGAGTCAGGAAGAGGAGAGAGGGGGGTCTTTACTTAGTGTGGAGGACCAGGAAGGATCACATGATGTGGGGGGCTTTACAGTACTAGGGAATTACAAAACAAGGTCAACTGAAAAGGTATGCTTTTTTATTGATGGTGTTGAAAAAGGGTAATTATATATAATTATAATTATCTGAGTCTATTCAGTGTAAATATTAAAAAAAAAAGAAAGAAGAAAAACAAAGAAAAATTCAAACAAATGAAAGCATCTCACAGATAATGTTTCTCAGATTTTGAAATCTTTAGTTCTAAAGTGTTGTATATCAAATATTAAATTCATTTCTTATTGTAAGAATCAACATGACCAAATGTCCATGATGTAAATTAAAACAAACAAGAATTTGATTTTGATTTCTTTATTGACCATGGTAAAGGTTAGCCGTGTGTTACCAGACTGGCTAGCCAGCCCAAGTGTGATTGCCTCAGATCTAAAGCAAAAAACGACTCCTGTGTCAGAGTTCAAAGGCCTTGACCCACAGATTCATAGAAACCTCAAGGAGAATCAGATTGAATATTTCTTCCCAGGTATGGCATTTTTTTTTAAGATGGGCTGAGTCACTGGGGTGATGTATTGATTCCTGTTTTTATCCATCGTCATGCATTGCCTGTAATGTGTCATCCTTCATGTCAACATTGGAGCATTTTCTGCTTCTCTGGAATGAAACATATGGAGATAACCAACAGTATTCAAAATTTAAAGTCCATAAAACAATACAAAGCAGGAGCAGAGAAAACGTGAACCTCCAAAACATCAGAGGTGGGATCAGGTGCCACGAAGGAGTGAGCATCCCCTGCAGACCGATCACACCCGCTGTGTGCTCCTTGTCATGATCAGGAAGTAACGGAAAAATCTGTTGTCAATTCAGTGTATAACTAATGAACTAACAATTAGTATGAATTCAATCATCATTTGACTCAATGATCAATTGTATCTGCTGACAAGGTCATTGTATCGACTACAGAACTTACAAACTACTGAACCAATTTCAATCAATTTTAGAAAAAGTATGTATCTACATGATGGGTGAAGGGGAACAAAAATTTTAGATGTCACCTTTATGACCCTTGGTTGTGAAGGATGAAGCTGAAACCATCAAAATTAATGCAGTTTTATAAAATCTTCATTATTTCTGGACATCAAGCTTCCATACTGTTGTTGTGACAACTGTTTGTAATAAGCATTGATTAGTCTACTATAATGTGAAATCCATGGCTTCAGGGTCATAGATCAGGAGTTAGGTGGTGCTCCCAAGATCCGACTCATCGTATGGTGAAAATACATAAATTCTCCAAAAATCGTCTTCACTACCTCTGTATATTAATCAGATAAAATAGATGCATGGTTTATATGAGCAAGAGTACCTCTTCCAAAATTGTGAATTTCATGGTCCCTGGGTAAGGGTTCAGGTGAAAGGAAGATGGGTGGTCTATAGATTATGTAGTGGAAATGTATTGTTTTATGGAAAATCTTCTTCTCTGCCCCTGTGCACTGAGCAGACAAAACTAACTACAAAGTATTGATGAGCAAGTGTGTATTTCTCCAGAAAAATGACATATATCCCCTGTTTAGGGGATTGTGGTTTTTTGGTAAGACTTTATTGATTACACAGTGAAATCATAAATAAATAAGTTAAATGACATTAACATCCATTGCAAACATGAAAGATGTCATTACAGCAAGAGAAAGGTAACTATAAAATAAATTCTTGACTGCATGCTATTGGGAAATATGCATTTTAAAGAACCTTCAAACCAGATTATTTGCCTTGTGACTTCAGGCCAAACAGCTTAGATCTTTGGGGTAATAAATGCATGGTTCCTGTGGTGGCAGTCAATAAATGTATAATGATGGTGATGCCTTGAATGACGTTTATTTTATAGTCCAGATACAAGTTATTCCTGAGATCCTACACACTGTACAGAACGGTTTCGTGCTGGGTAGGGCTGCTCAGAGGCCACCTGATATCTGCGTGTCCGCCCCCACAGGTAGCGGCAAGACACTGGCTTATGTTCTACCTATTGTACAGGTATGTTAAATATTGTTTTATAGGTAAATGTTGATATTCTAAATAGGTGTGATATTTTCTACTCATTGTACATTCAAGTATATGTTGATATTCTATATTGGTGTCTTTAAAATATGAAGAGGGCAAGTTTTCCTCTTCAAAAGTCCAATAAAACAAAATGATTGCAAGGAAGACAAACACTTACATGTACCTCTAAAAGCCTAAGAGGTGGGATCACCTGACAGATCCCACAGGTCAGTTGGATTTGAACCTGCGATGTATGGATCAACTCCTTTGGAAGCATCCACCAGTAGTGTAGATTCAGATTTGTTCTGAATCAAATACTGACCCTGGGGATTGGGATGGGAGCACAATGAAAGTTCAAATTTAAAGAAAAAAAGCCACAATTAGTCAGAGAAATATGTAGGCATCCTTAGTGCAGATTAAAATTTGTTTGTCATAACCTCCCTTTATTAGTCAGGATATTTATGCATTAAAGCTTTTTAACTAATTTTTCTTTTTTTCCTAGCCAGTGCTTAGGTGAGCAATGTGGCCCAATGGCTTCTTGTTTTGGCTTGAGGTTTAAATTATGTATTTATTTCTGCAGTCTTTGAAAAGCCGGACATTGTGTCGAGTACGAGCACTGGTGGTTTTACCAGTGAGGGATCTAGCTGCACAAGTGTATAAAGTGTTCCAGCAGTACACCAAGGGGACAAATCTAAAGGTGAGATGGGGAGTTGTATAGAGGGTCCAGATTTACAGAACAATCGAAAGAATCTGTACAGAACAATCTATAGATACAATTTGTATAGGGTGTTAAGGTTTTCAAAACAATCTATAGACACAATTTGTATAGTGGTTTAAGGTGTGATATTTGATACATGTTTTGTCTAGGTTGGAATGATTGTTGGACAAAAACAATTTATTGTGGAACAGCATGCCCTAGTAAAGCAACAGTAAGTACAAAACATAAACTTTATTTCTCATGTACATTGGTGTATCTATATTAAGCTGAAGATTTATTGTAAAGTATACATGTATATTGGCTACTCTCAGTGAAGGAATGACTTACCCCTTGATGACCTGGAAAGGGGTCTTATAGTGTGATTTCATCATGGGAATGATTGGGAGGGGAGGACAGAGTCCCTTTGGGAAGGAAAAGTGGAGTCCCTTGTTATTGGAAGGTGGAGTCCCCTTGTTATTGGAAGGTGGAGTCCCCTTGTTATTGGAGGGTTAAGTCCCTTGGGAAGGGAAAGTGGAATCCCTTTGGATTGGAAAGTGGAGTCCTTTGGGAGGGGAAGATTGAGTCCCTTGGGAGGGGAAGATTGAGTCCCTTGGGATGGGAAGGTTGAGTCCCTTGAGATGGGAGGGTTGGGAAAGGAGGGTGCTGTTTTGTGTTTGATGCCTCAGAATATAAGATCTCTGTCTTGCAGGCTTGGGGGATTAGAGAGTAGAGTGGATATAGTGGTGGCTACACCGGGACGCCTTGTGGACCACATCAACAAAACTTTAGGATTCAGTCTAGCAGATCTCAGGTTTCTGGTATGTGTAATTACTTATGGACTATCGATGAAGCAGACTTATCTATTTACAGATTTATGATGTAGCACATTGTACTGTTTATAGGTTATTGATGAAGCAGATAGAATCATGGAGCACGTTAAACAGGACTGGTTAAGTCATGTCGAGAATGCTGTGTTTACCGGAGGTCGAGAGGCACCAACTTCACTCAATGTCTACAAGTCAGTCATTTCAATCTTACCTTATTGCAGATTCTTAGATAACATTTATATAACTTATGTAAACAGATACTATTTCATATGATGGATAAATTATTTAAATTGAAGTAGTCATTTGACTTATATATAGAATTAAAGAGAGAACACAGCTGTTTTTCTGTGGCTTCACATTATGAGTGGCTTTTGTTGATTGTATTTTGTTTTTTTCAGCACCAGTAAACATCAAATGCCAGTAAGTAAAGAATTATGAAAACCTTTTAAGTAAAACTGACAGTTTATTATCACAGCAGTTAGCATAGCAAAGCAACTTTGAGCACAAAAGTCATTTCATTTATTTCAAAGGTTTCCTGTAATATTAAATAACACCCATTCTCAATATAAGGGCACAAATGCCTCACTGATTTTTTAAAAAATGAAGTTCAAGATAACAATTTTTCTATCAATTACCTTAGAAAGACAGTATGTGAAGATTTTGTTTCCAGATTTTTTTCATCAAATTTTAATACATGGAATAATGACAAGACGGTAAAGTAGAGGGTGATTTTATTCAGAAATGTAGCTTGAAATGTACGTTACTCTTTCTTCAATGTCCAAAAAAATATGTCAAAAAAAATGTAGTCATTAAAATCACAAGTAGAATATCTCATCTTAACACCAGCACATCCTACCAACTCTGTGAAGCAACATATTTTCTCGGCATACGAACGTGCGTTTGATTTTTCCTTTCAAAAAAACAAAGGTTACTTTTTGATCCAGATGTATAAAAACATTTTTTTAAATATATGCTTTAAATTCTTCTCTCTGTTTTGTTTAGAGCAATCAGTTTGGAATCTTTTTATTTTCTATAGATATTGGAACTTAACATGTACATGTAGTAAAATTCTATTTTGTAGTTACTGTCTTTTTTAACATATATCCATGCCGATTTAGAAAACTACGTAAATATAACGTACATTTCAAGATATATTTCTGTTTAATAAAAAGCTTAAAATTCATCTAAAAATTCATCATTTTGTTTCAGTTTATTCCAAAAAAGATTCTCTATGTAATCACATTGTGTTATATGTCAATCACCACTATAAAGACACGATTGCCTCAGAATATGAGTAGGTTACATACATTTCAAGCTTGTAATAATATGTAAATTAGTAATAAGAAAATATTGAAAAAAAAGCAATTATTGACATAAAAACCATTTCAATGAAGCGTTTTAACGCAGTAATATAAGAAATCATAATGTAACAAACAAGGTTATTTGTCATCAACTACATAAATGTCACGTCACTTCAGTAACGTTCATTTCACATGTTATTGGGGAGTCCCCTCCACCTCAGTTCATTACCATTCTTTTGTGCTGTTTCGCTGAAATTGACACCGGTCGTAGCCTAGTTACTTCCACCTGTGTGTAAGGATACAGACAAAAAAAAAATAAGTGTCAGACGTATTTTGCTATGATCTAACAAATGCTCGTGTTTGGCCATTGAAACTTAACATAAATCTATTCCGAATATATCCATCGACAGTCTTGTTAACAATTTCATTTAGTATATAATGTTGCAACATCGTTTGTCAAAACACAAACATACGTGCTTTTCAGCAGATCTGGAAAAATATAACCCAAAATGCAATGATTCAAACAAAACTGAGTATTGTGTGCCTTTCAGTATTTGAAATGTACGTGACCAAGACGTTTATTATACCCCCCGCAAACGAAGTTTGGGGGGGTATATAGGAATCACCTTGTCCGTCTGTCTAGCTGTCCATCTGTCCGTCCGTCTGTCTGTGCAATCGTGTCCATATCTTTCTTACAGAGGGACACTAGAATCTACTACTCCACACAAAGATTGCCCATGACCTAAGGATGTGTCATGACCTTGACCCAAGGTCATTTGGGAAACTTCAAGGTCACTGGAAGAAAAATTTCATAATTCGTGTCCGGTCCATATCTTTCTTATGGATAAACTTGGTAGGTTCTCATTTCACACAAAGATTGCCCATGACCCAAAGGTGTGTCATGACCTTGACCCAAGGTCATTTGGGAAAGTTCAAGGTCACTGGAAGAAAAATTTCATAAATTATGTTTGATACATATCTTTTATAGATAAACTTGGTAGGTTCTCATTTCACACAAAGATTGCCCATGACCCAAGGATGTGTCATGACCTTGACCCAAGGTCATTTGGGAAAGTTCAAGGTCACTGGAAGAAAATTTCATAATTTGTGTCCGGTCCATATCTTTCTGATGGATAAACTTGGTAGGTTCTCATTTCACACAAAGATTGCCCATGACCCAAGGGTGTGTCATGACCTTGACCCAAGGTCATTTGGAGAAGTTCAAGGTCACTGGTAGAAAAATTTCATAATTCGTGTCCGGTCCATATCTTTCTTATGGATAAACTTGGTAGGTTCTCATTTCACTGAAAGATTGCCCATGACCCAAGAGTGTGTCATGACCTTGACCCAAGGTCATTTGGGGAAGTTCAAGGTCACTGATAGAAAAATTTCATAATTCGTGTCCGGTCCATATCTTTCTTATGGATAAACTTGGTAGGTTTTTATTTCACACAAAGATTGCCCATGACCCAAGAGTGTGTCATGACATTGACCCAAGGTCATTTGGGGAAGTTCAAGGTCACTGGAAGAAAAATTTCATAATTTGTGTCCGGTCCATATCTTTCTTATGGATAAACTTAGTAGGTTCTCATTTCACTCAAAGATTGCCCATGACTCAAGGGAGTGTCATGACCTTAACCCAAGGTAATTTGGGGAAGTTCAAGGTCACTGGAATAAAAATTTCATAATTCGTTTTTTGATACATATCTTTATTATGGAAAAACTTACTTCTGAAAAACCCAGCGGGGGGTATTTTGTCCCGTTTGGACAGTTCTAGTTTGTTTTGTTTCTTTTTGTTTTTGTTTTGTTTTGTTTTTTTTTTACCAATTATAAGCCTATGCATACCTTGTTTTAAATTATCAACAACAATTAAATTAATATTGACTAAAAATCGCATATTAAAAGTAAACAAACTGCAAAAAGGTTGCCAAAGATGAATTTAAGACACTTAGAAATAAATTTTCTAGCATGTGGTAACAGTCTACCACATTTACGAGGATTGGGGGTGCATTTAGATGGATTTATGTGGTCAGTTGTCAAATGGATTGTAACGATAATTTTGTTTCGCTCGTGTAAACGCAATTCATTGACTAGATAAAAAAAAATGTCAGTTAGAAATACGCAAAATGTACGTTACCATACGTAACGTACATTTCAAATATGAAAATCAATTCTCTTCCAAAAAAGCGTACGTTAGACACGCAAAATATTGATACTATTTGAACTTGCATATCATAAGAAATGCATCATACAGGTTTCGTATTCAGAAATATATACCAGGTATCAAAATTATATTACATGTAATTGACCTTAATATATTTTTTTTCCTCTGCAGAAACGTTTCTTTTCATTAATTTTGGGATTTAGCCGACCTCCAACCTTTGAAACTTTCCTTTGTGTACACATTCGAGTGTGTGAAAGTATGAGAATACATGAAAATTCGTGCGAGATTCACTTAATTCGAATTTCATGGTAACGTAATTTCAGTAACGTACATTTCAAATGATCACTTTTCATGTAAAAAATAATTTTTAATTGTGTTGAGCAAAACGTCTTTGCCAGTTTACAGTATACAAGGGGTTGCTTATTCAGAGTCGTCTCATAGTTTCTACTTTTAAAATATATATTCTTAATGGAAGAATATAGGTAGCGTACATTTATTTCTTATCTCTACGATTGAAAATGTCTTTCATTCCGTAAACATATTTATAAAAGTTGCTCAAATTGTTCAATTTCATGTTACATTATCTAAGTAGGAGTAATTAACTTTGAAATTTCAAATTTAGCCCATCAATAAATAAAGGAGAACAAAACTATCAGGTGTATAATCTTTGTGTTTGCTTGTAATGTGGTTAAAATAGAATTAAGCGACAGGGACATTGCACAATAAAAATTATTTATTATCACAAAGAAAATGTATTTATTGTTATGAAAAGAAATATATATGATACAAGGTAAAACTTATCAGAAAATTTTTACTTGAGAATCAAAACTATATATTACACAGAGGGGATTCAGCATAATATTTGCCTCGGCGACAGTAACGTACATTTCAAATAGGCTACTATATTTGAATTTGGAACTCCTTAAATACCCTTTCAGATCGATAATTATATGAATTCTTATTCATTGTTATATGACTATTTATAATGTTGATTTAAAAATTACATCAGTGGTGTTTCTTCTAAATGAAAATGAGGCGACATTATTTGAGCCCTTATAATGAGAATGGGTGTAAACAAATATTGTTATACCCTTATAAATATCCTTCTATATATTTCTTACTAATAAAAAGTCCAACAAAAGAAATGTTTATTACGTCGGTCTAACAATTTCACTATTGACCGGTCTTACATAAGAATTGTTAGACCTCAACGTCACCTGTCTGTTACGTCACAACTAATAATCATCGTTCAATATCGGTGACGCGAAAATAGCCGAAGTTAAGAGCTATTAAGAGTTGTTGCTAACAGCAAGGTAAGGTAGAAGGGAAGAGTATGTTTTGTGATAAATAATTTTTGTGATATAATAGACTTATAATTGATTTTGTTCTTTCTCAGCTTGATGTTTATATTTACTGAAGAAGCCATAATTTTCCATATAAAATAATTGATAGTTTAGCGTGTATTGATAAAATTGATCAATCTTAAGTGAGCAGTGAAGGGTATAACAAAACAGTTATAGACTAGGATTCGGGCAACATATGATTTGTTGGACCTGAAGATGAAAATGTTGCCCTTGGCCTGCGGCCTCGGGCAACATTTTCACCTTCAGGTCCAACAAATCATATGTTGCCCTCATACCCAGTCAATAACTGTATATTACTAATTATGAAATTTTGAATACTGACCTTGACATTCACCTTTTAAGGTCAAGTTTAAAATGGATTTTTACACCTCTTAATCAATTTCAAAGACTCTTGAACAAGATTGCTTCAGATTCAAATAAAAGCATTTCTTGTATACTGTTGTATACTTTTACTTGTTAAACAAGAGCCACCAGATTATGCTATCTTTTCAATGTTAACTTTCAGCTTCAGAAACTGCTATTTTCTGCCACGCTATCACAGAACCCCGAGAAACTTCAACAGCTGAATCTCTTCCAGCCGCGACTGTTTACATCGGTAGTGGACAGTACTCCTCAATCAAAGTTACCAGTGGAAACATTAGATGAAGGGGAGGCAATCCATGACAGATTGAATGAGGCAGGAAGAGAGGTCAAGGGTCATTTTGTAGGAAAATACACAACTCCGATTGGATTAAAAGTAAGAAATCTTTATTTTTAATCTTAGTGTGAATTCTCCCACAGTATGGTATTTTTTTCCCTTTGCGTTTATTAGCTCACCTGAGCCGAAGGCTCAAGTGAGCTTTTCTGATCACATTTTGTCCGGCGTCCGTCCGTCCGTCTGTCTGTCTGTCTGTCTGTCTGTAAACTTTTCACATTTTCGACTTCTTCTCAAGAACCGCTGGGCCAATTTCAACCAAACTTGCCACAAAGTATCCTTGGGTGAAGGGGATTCAAGTTTGTTCAAATGAAGGGCCACGCCCTTATTCAAGGGGAGATAATTGGGAATTAATGAAAATTTAGTGGTATATTTTAAAAATCTTCTTCTCAAGAACCACTGTGCCAGGAGAGATGAAACTTATGGGGAAGCATCCTCAGGTAGTGTAGATTCAAGTTTGTTCAAATCATGACCCCCGGGGGTAGGGCGGGGCCAAAATGGCCGACCAAAGTTTTACATAGAAATATATAGGAAAATTCTTTAAAAATCTTCTTCTCAAGAATGACAAAGCCATAATTCATCATATTTATATGGGAGCATGCTCATGTAGTGTAGATTCAAGTTTGTTCAAATCATGACCCCCCAGGTAAGGGCGGGGCCAAAATGGCCGACCAATGTTTTACATAGAAATATATAGGAAAATTCTTTAAAAATCTTCTTCTCAAGAATGACAAAGCCATTATTCATCATATTTATATGGAAGCATGTTCAGGTAGTGTAGATTCAAGTTTGTTCAAATCATGACCCCCGGGGGTAGAGCGGGGCCAAAATGGCGTACCAAAGTTTTACATAGAAATATATAGGAAAATTCTTTAAAAATCTTCTTCTCAAGAATGACAAAGCCATAATTCATCATATATATATGGAAGCATGTTCAGGTAGTGTAGATTCAAGTTTGTTCAATTCATGACCCCGGGGGGTAGGGCGGGGCCAAAATGGCCGACCAAAGTTTTACATAGAAATATATAGGAAAATTCTTTAAAAATCTTCTTCTCAAGAATGACAAAGCCATAATTCATCATATTTATATGGAAGCATGCTCAGGTAGTGTAGATTCAAGTTTGTTCAAATCATGACCCCCGGGGGTAGGGCGGGGCCAAAATGGCCGACCAAGGTTTTACATAGAAATATATAGGAAAATTCTTTAAAAATCTTAATTCTTCTCAAGAATGACAAAGCCATAATTCATCATATTTATATGGAAGCATGCTCAGGTAGTGTAGAATCAAGTTTGTTCAAATCTTGACCCCCGGGGGTAGGGTGGGGCCAAAATGGCCGACCAAGGTTTTACATAGAGATATATAGGAAAATTCTTTAAAAATCTTCTTCTCAAGAATGACAAAGCCATTATTTATCATATTTATATGGAAGCATGCTCATGTAGTGTAGATTCAAGTTTGTTCAAATCATGACCCCCGGGGGTAGAGCGGGGCCAAAATGGCCGACCAAAGTTTTACATAGAAATATATAGGAAAATTCTTTAAAAATCTTCTTCTCAATCATTTTCTAAAAAATAGCAAATCCATGATTGGTCATGGGACTACTTTTGGATTTAAACTTTACAATAAAAAGCCATTTTATACTAGTCCTACCCTTGGTGCTCAGGTGAGCGATGTGGCCCATGGGCCTCTTGTTTGAATTTATATAGCAAACTTACACAATTCACAAGAGCTATTTTAGAATAGGTCTTGTTCCCTTAATTGTATGAATTCTCTTATTTTCCTTGAATTAAAAAATGGGGCTTACTCTCCCATGAAATGAAAGCTTTCTTTCATTTGAAATAATAAAAAAAAAGGTTCGAGTGCTGGTCCCCTAATTAAAGGCTGGTAAGGTACATCATTTTTTGTTTCAATTTTCTCAGTAGTTTTTGAGAAGAAGATATAGTATTATACATAACAATAGTAAATAGAGCTATATTTTTTTTACCCTTCATGCGTCATAAGTACAGCTACTAGTTATGATTTTCTGTAATTTGTTATGTTTCTATTGACAGGAATACACAGTGGAGGTAGATGCCACAGAGAAGCCTTTAGCAATACTTCACTTCTTACACAATCTCAAATACAGACACATCCTCTGTTTTACCAACAGTGTAGAGTCTACTCATAGGTGAGTCACACACTGTACAGTACACCTTCCTGTCTCAAATCTCAGGTGAGTCACACGCTGCTTTATCTGCTATCTCAAATCTCAGATGAGAAATACACTATACACGCTTGTGTCTCAAATCCCAGATGAGTCACACACTGCTTAACCTGCTGTCTCAAATCTCAGGTGAGTTATTGGCTGATCTATACTCTGTACACCTTACTGTCTCAAATCTCAGGTGAGTTTATTGGCTGATCTATACTCTGTACACCCTACTGTCTCAAATCTCAGGTGAGTTTATTGGCTGATCTATACTCTGTACACCCTACTGTCTCAAATCTCAGGTGAGTTTATTGGCTGATCTATACTCTGTACACCTTACTGTCTCAAATCTCAGCTAAATGTAATTGCTGATCTTTACACGTTAGAACCTGCTGTTTCTGTCAGATTGTGTTAAATCTCTGATCCATATTCCTTATGCTCAGCTGTATCAGAAATTGGATGTGTCTATGACTGATAAAATGTTTAAAATGATATTTCATTCTTGAAATAAATTGATAGAAATGTTTTCTTCAGGTTGTATCACCTGCTGAAGCTTTACGGACATATAAGTGTAGCAGAAATCACGTCTAAACTGCTGGCCTCCCGCAGGAGTAAAATCTTACGCAAATTCCAAAATGGAGACATTGATATGTAAGTGGACTGGAAAAAAACCGTACTGAACAAACGAAAAAAACTCACTCACAATGAAACAATAACACATCTGTTTGAATTGATATGATAGAGATTTTATGAGAGTTGTTAACTGAATGATGGGTTCAAAACATTATAACACATCTTATTCCTTTTGCATTGAACAAATTTGTGTTTGAAAAATAGGTTTCTATAAGGGATTTTAACCCTGCTCAGTTGTAGCTTAAATTAGGTCATGATACTTCTATATTTTACAGTCTGATATGCTCTGATGCCATGGCACGAGGTATAGATATAGACAATGTGGAGTTTGTGATTTCTTATGATCCACCCCCCTACATAAAAACCTACATACACAGAGTGGGAAGAACGGCTCGGGCCGGAAAGGAGGGGACAGCTCTTACACTGCTACAGAGAAAAGAGGTAGGTCAGATACGGGTTAATATGGGACACATAATCTAGATCTCAGAAAGGAGGGGACAGCTCTTACACTGCTACAGAGGAAAGAGGTAGGTCAGATATGGGTTAATATGGGACACATAATCTACTCAGAAAGGAGGGGACAGCTCTTGCACTGCTACAGAGAAAAGAGGTAAGTCGGATGCAGGTTAGTATGGGACTCATAATCTAGATCTCAGAAAGGAGGGGCAACTCTTACACTGCTATAGAGGAAAGAGGTAGGTCAGATACAGGTTAATATGGGACACATAATCTAGATCTCAGAAAGGAGGGGACAGCTCTTACACTGCTACAGAGAAAAGTCAGAAATGGGTTAATATGGGACTCAAAATGTACTCAGAAAGGAGAGGACAGCTCTTACAATGCTCTGCTGGTTACACAACTACTGTATAGGGAATTAATTTCACGGGTTGTAATTTTCACGTTTTCCTTCCATCTGACACGATCGCGGTTTCTTGTATTCGCGGAATTGATATAAAATAAAATTTACCTCCCTTGCCTATATCCGTTTAGCTACATGTACACGACATCAACAGGGTAGATTAATATAAAAATGTTAGTTTTAATAAATAATTGACGATTGAATAAAACAAGTTCAGTTATAAAACGTCCTTGATATATGCAATTACGATGAGTGCATGTACACCCCAAGATCTTCAATACATTAACGTTATCGTGGCGAAAAACCACTGGACGGTAATAAATTTGTTAACGTAGTTCAACGAAATAATATTCTTCCAAAATCTTCAGTAAGCTCGATAGTAATTTGAATGTTTTTAAAACGTCGATAAAAATTAATATGCATGATACTACAGGTACATGTAACAAATACACGTGGTAACATTAGTTACGCACTGGTAATCAAAACCATGACCCACGTGTTTTGATTTACTAAACATGTATCGTTGGCTATTAAAACAGCATTTTTAAAAAAATACAGGTTATTATCTGCAGATTAAAATTAAAGTAAAGCGTGATAATTAAAATAATTGAACTACTCGTAATTACTGAAATGACCATGTAAAGCACGTACAATTATATAGAGGTATCCTGGTTTATTCTCAAATTTCCATATAAAACATGGAGATCACTGAAAAATTTATTCACGGTTTCTTGAATTCACGGATATATGAACACCGTGAATATAGCGAATATTAACACCGTGAGTTATTTTCCCCCTATACAGTAACCCTAATATAAACAGTTGAGTGGTGTACACAACTTACCTTTATCTTTTGAGTGACCTCTTATTTCAATGTGCAATCAGCAACAAATCTTGGAAGATATAGGTACCTATGAAATGCACCCACTGTGTGCTTTTTAGCTCACCTGAGCCGAAGGCTCAAGTGAGCTTTTCTGATCGCATTTTGTCCGTCATCCGTCTGTCTGTAAACTTTTCACATTTTCGACTTCTTCTCAAGAACTGCTTGGCCAATTTCAACCAAACTTGCCACAAAGCATCCTTAGGTGAAGGGGATTCAAGTTTGTTCAAATGAAGGGCCACGCCCTCATTCAAGGGGAGATAATTGGGAATTAATAAAAATTTGGTGGTATGTTTTAAAAATCTTCTTCTCAAGAACCACTGTGCCAGGAAAGATGAAACTTATGGGGAAACATCCTCAGGTAGTGTAGATTCAAGTATGTTCAAATCATGACCCCCCGGGGGTAGGGCAGGGCCACAATGTCCAACCAAAGTTTTACATAGAAATATATAGGAAAATTCTTAAAATTCTTCTTGTCAAGAATAACAAGCCATAATTGATCATATTTATATGGAAGCATCCTCAGGTAGTTGTGATTCAAGTTTGTTCAAATCATGACCCCCGGGGGTAGGGCGGGGCAATGGCCGACCAAAGTTTTACATACAAATATATAGGAAAATTCTTTAAAAATCATCTTCTCAAGAATAGCAAAACCATAATTCAAAGGTTTACTTTTGGATTTAAACTTTTCAATAATAAACCAATTTCTAGTTTTTCCTAGCCACAGTGCTCAGGTGAGCGATGTGGCCCATGGGCCTCTTGTTTGAAAATTACATTAACAGTACATTTCATGTATATCAAGTTGTTTATTCCTTGGTTTATGTAGTTCCATCACTTCAAGACAATGACCAAAGAGGCTGGGAAAACTTCCCTCGAGAAATTTAAAGTGGACCCTGGGGACTTTGAGGATCTTATGGAGGGATATCAGAAAGCTCTAACACAGCTCCCTCACATCCTAAAGGTAGAGTAACTGAGATCATTATTTCTTATCTAGCTTGTAACACGAGATCTGATTGGTTAGCAAGCTGGCTGTAGGCTTCCTTATTTCCTATCCAGCTTGTAACATGAGTTTTGTTTGTAACCAAGCAGGGTGCATATTTCCATATACCCAGCTTGTTCAGGGGTTAAATATTGTTACAATTCATTGTAGCATATAAAAAAAATCTTATCATCAGTTTGAAACATCATTGTTTGAACTTGGGTTAACAAAGATTGAATTTGTTTATACAGGAAACGAATTTGTTATTCAGGTCTGATCAAGGGTGTAAAGGGGCAACCCTGGGTTCTACTCCATAGTCCTGTGGCGGTCAGCCGGGCTCGATCGCCGGTGGCCAGATAGCTCAGTTGGTAGAGCACCTGACCGGAGTTTCAGGGGGCCCGGGTTCGAATCCCGGTCTGGTCCACTGCATTTGCTCCTCTCTCGTTACATTTGGTGCCGTGACCAGGATGAGCCTCGGTTGGGGTCTTTGGAGGGCCAAAGACCTTTAAGGAGGGAGGAATGTGGCGGTCAGCCAGGCTCGATCGCCGGTGGCCAGATAGCTCAGTTGGTAGAGCACCTGACCAGAGTTTCAGGGGGCCCGGGCTCGAATCCCGGTCTGGTCCGCTGCATTTTCTCCTCTCCCGTTACATTTGGTGCCATGACCAGAATGAGCCTCGGTTGGGGTCTTTGGAGGGCCAAAGACCTTTAAGGAGGGAGGAATGTGGCGGTCAGCCAGGCTCGATCGCCGGTGGCCAGATAGCTCAGTTGGTAGAGCACCTGACCAGAGTTTCAGGGGGCCCAGGCTCGAATCCCGGTCTGGTCCGCTGCATTTTCTCCTCTCCCGTTACAGTCCATACACTCTGGCCAAAGGGTAAATCCCCATACATCCTCGATTTGACATAGTTAACATAATATTACAAGACTAGAAGACAGATTAGTTACAAGACAATATTGAATATGCAAAGATGATAAATTTGAGTTTGAATGACAAATACAAACTTGAAATCATTTTAAACATCTTTTTTTTTTCTTTCAGAATGAAAAATTTCCTAAAAGATGATTCAGAAGATGAGTTTGAACAATATATCACCACTTGAAGTTCATTGTACACATTTATTTAAGCCAATAAATGTTTGAATTTAAGTTTGTGTTGTGTTTTAACATAGAGTTGTATCTACAATACTTAGTACTTAAATTATGAGTTATTTCTGACCCTTGTGTAATTAACAGTTCATACAGCCCAGCAATATAATTTTATAGCTCTTTGAAGGCCATTTTCCCAGCACTTCTGGTGATTACAAATCACATAATCAAAGTACTGAGAAGTGGTTAGCATGATTTCATCTAAGATGTACAAAAAATTGCATAAAATGATGATTTTAAAGCATGCATACTGTATACAGGGTTATTTTCACCCCACTTTAAATTCGCTCTTTTACATTTGCAAACAATTTTGCCTTAACTGTTTTAAATTCGCTGAGTCACAGATTTGTTTAAGAAATTATACTGTATTCTTTGAATTTGCCCCTTTAAATTCGCCCCACCAAGGTTAGGGACATAATCAGGCGGGGGCAAAAATTTCCCTGTATACAGTACATGTATCTTTGTCCAGTGTCATCAGAGAAGAAGCAGACATTTTGAACGTTGCAATACTTTACTTAAATGACAAAACTCGATGACTTTTTTTTTTACCTCACCGCAACGAAGTTGGGGGAGCTTATGTAATACCCTTGGCGTCGATGTCCCAGGTTAAAGTTAAGTTTTTTGGAGCAGTTTTCTTTTTAAGTACCTCTATGTCCTGTATTGATTAAACATGCATGGAGGATGCCTCTAGAGTGTTTCATTGTACAAGTAAAAGTTTCAGATGCTGCAATTTCAGCAAAAGAATGACCAGGTTAATGTTTTTGGAGCAGGTTAACATTTTTGGTGCAGTTTTTATACCCCCCGCAAACGAAGTTTAGGGGGGGTATATTGGAATCACCATGTCCGTCTGTCTGTCTGTCTGTAGATGAAATTTTGTCCGGACCATTACTCAGAAACTATTGGAAGGATTTGTCTGAAAATTTGTACAAATATTCACCGTATGAAGTTGTGCACCTGATATTTTCATCTTGATTCGATTATTATTTTGAATTTTACAGGTGTTTTTTTATTTTGTAGTTTTGTCCAGACCGTTTCTCAGAAACTATTGCAAGGATTAATCTGAAAATTTGTACACTTATTATTCACCATATGAAGGTGTGCAATTGGAATTTTCAACTCTTTTTGTTCATTTTTTTTAATTTTACAGGTTTTATTTTTTATTTTAATTGACTTGTTCATTTTGGGCTCATGTATAAGGTTTGAGACATAGAATCTAGAATATCTGTACAAAAATACTACAGCTTAAAACTACTCATATAAACTTTAAAAAAAAAACATCATCAAGTGCTAAAAACAGTTTTTACATTGCACAGAAGATAATGTAATTTCATTTGTCTCTTGGGAATAATGCATCCAGTTCAAGATAAATTAATGAGTTTGGTGTGGGAAGTTAAACATTAAGGCATCTCATTATCAACCATGTGTAATCTCCTGGGAATCAGGCACAAGAATTAAAGATCTCTCTTCTCTTAATTGTAATTTATTGTCTGTCAAAGCACTTCATTACTGGATGACCAGCTCTTTATTTTCAAATGAATTTGATATAAAGTTATCAAGATTAATTTGATTTTGTATAATATGATTTTTTTTTCAACAATCAGTTTGCAGAGTGACATAACACATAATTGCAATATATATTTTTAATGCAGAAATAAAAAAAATTAAATAAAAAAATGTTACAATGGAATTACAATGTATTAGTATTGATGTTTCATTTGGTTGCACCTTTGTTTCATTCATTAAGAAACATGAGCAATTATATTTCACTGCAAATTTTTGTAAGTAAATTGTGAACACCTCTAGATCCATAAAGTATTTTTGAATTGGCACATTCTCTGAAAAACACAGCGGGGGGTATTCGTCCTATTGGACAGTTCTAGTTGGAGTAGGGTGGAGTATGGAGTAGGGCTCATTTCCAAGGAACTATAAGCCCTATGTTGACCAAACTTGCACAGATGATACATCTAAGGATGCATATTACCAGGCTTGCTTCTGATGCTGAATCTGACCTACATTTTCCGGTTGAGTGAACAGGTTAATGTTTTTGGTGCAGGTCTCATCTCCAAGTAACTATAAGCTTATGTTGACCAAACTTGCATGGCTGATACATCTAAGAATGCACATTACCAGGCTTGCTTCGGGTGCTGAATCTGACCTACATTTTACAGTTGAGTGAACAGGTTAAAGTTTCTGGTGCAAGTTTCATTTCCAAGATACTATTAGCCCTATAATGACCAAACTTGCATGGGTGATACATCTTAGGATGCATACTACCAGACTTGCTTCGGATGCTGAATCTGACCTACATTTTCCGGATGAGTGAACAGGTTAAAGTTTTTGGTGCAGGTTTCATTTCCAAGATACTATTAGCCCTATAATGACCAAACTTGCATGGGTGATACATCTTAGGATGCATACTACCAGACTTGCTTCGGATGCTGAATCTGACCTACATTTTCCGGATGAGTGAACAGGTTAAAGTTTTTGGTGCAGGTTTCATTTCCAAGTTACAATGAGCCCTTTAATGACCAAACTTGCATGGATGATACATCTTAGGATGCATACTACCAGACTTGCTTCGGATGCTGAATCTGATCTACATTTTCTGGATGAGTGAACAGCTCAAAGTTTTTGATGCAGGCTTTATTTCCAAGTAACTATGAGCTCTTTAATGACCAATTTTGCATTTATGATACATCTAAGGTTGCATTCTACCAGGCTTGCTTCGAGAGGTTAAATTTTTAATATGTAAGTTTCATTTCTAAGTAACTATTAGCCCTATGTTGTGCAAACTTGCATGGATGATTCATCTTAGGATGCACACTAATGGATTTGCTTTGGATGCTGAATTCAACATACACTTTCCAGATAATGCACCAAGTAAAAGTTATGGGTGCAGGTCTACTACCAAGAAACTATAAGGCTTATATAAACCAAACTTGCCCAAATGATGCATCAAGGGATGAAAACTCTCAAACTTGCTTCAGATGCTGGATTTTAATCACATTTTTGTGATGAAGAACTAGTTTGAAGTTTTTATATAGGTCTATTCCAAAGTATCAGATCAAAATTGCATAAATTTTGCATTTTTGAATGTATACTTTTTGTTGGTTAATTGTGTGACTTTGCCTTACTTAAAGACAACATTCGTTGAGGTGAGCTCTGTAATCTCAGATTACCTATGTTTATTTATTGATGTCACAAATGCCTGTTTTGAAACATGTGATTTTGTGAGTTTGAAAGACATGAAGTGCAATTTTAAAAATTTCTCTCTGGGTAACATCGGGAACTGCTCAGCACAAAAAAATGAAGTTGATTTTCCAAATTCATACCTTTTTGAAGTTAGTGTTCTTAGTATGGTCAATGCTTTAGTAATTAATGTTACTAATTAGAACTCGGGAATTAGCCACGCTCTAAAAACAGATACACTGCATCAAGTCAATCTCTCACCAGAGGGCATATTACATAGTAAACAGATCATAGGTAGCGCTTTTTGAAAGTTAAATATTAGAACACATGATTTTGACTCATTATGTAATTATGCCCTTCTTTGAAGAAGGGAGGGCATATTGCTGTCAGGCTGTCCACCATCAGTTTCCATTCATTTTCTTCGCAGAGGTTGCACATATTGAAATGAATTTTGGTATACAGATTTATCATTAGAATATCTAGATCAAGTTATGTTTTGGGTACAATCGGACCATTTTGGACAGAGTAATGCCCCTTAGACTCAGAAAAATTCTAATTATTTGGAAAAGGGGGGTACAAGTGTTTTACAAACATCTGCTATATTAGAAAGGCTCACTGAGATGGTTACAATAACAGTCATTTATATAGTTTTTTTTTTATCAAGATATCCATCAAAATGAAGATTTTCTAGCTTTATTTAGTCTTATCACAGTCTTAATGCATATTTTAAATAAAGAATGTACAATCTGTATAAAACAGCAATTAAATGATTAATTACTGTATATGAAAAAATGAGAATCACACTCGTTGTGGATAGTAATTATTAAATGAGTTCAATTAAATGAGAACAATTTAATGATCTGTTCTTCAGTACATTGTAATCAGTAGTCTGTAATTGGTAAGACAAAGCCCTGGTTTTATTTATCAGTAATCAGTTTTCTTTAATTGTTACACCTTGTGGCCTTTCTTTAGGAGAAATCCCTGGTTATACAGATCAGTAATTAGTAGTCTGTAATTGGTAAGACAAATCCCCGGTTTTATGGATCAGTAATCAGTAGTCTGTAATTGGTAAGACAAATCCCCGGTTTTATGGATCAGTAATCAGTAGTGTGTAATTGGTAAGACAAATCCCCGGTTTTATGGATCAGTAATCAGTAGTCTGTAATTGGTAAGACAAATCCCCGGTTTTATGGATCAGTAATCAGTTGTCTGTAATTGGTACACCTTGGGACCTTTCTTTAGGAGAAATCCCTGGTTGTTTAATGAGGAAATGAAGCCTTCAAAATCTGGAACCTGTAATCCGATCTCCTGAAAAGAAAACATAAATTCTTGTCAAGTTAAATTTCACAGCAAATACACCTACAATTATTACAACTTACATGTTCATCATCAGTACATGTCACCCTGATGTTGTTAAATTGGGTCTATGAAATACTGTTAACAAACTTATGCTCTATTCAAAATAACTAAATTCATCATTTTGAAATATATCAATAACTAGAACTGTCCAAACGGGACAAAATACCCCCCGCTGGGTTTTTCAGAAGTAAGTTTTTCCTTAATAAAAATATGTATCAAACACGAAATATGAAATTTTTCTTCTAGTGACCTTGAACTTCCCCAATGACCTTGGGTCAAGGTCATGACACACCCTTGGGTCATGGGTAATCTTTGTGTGAAATGAAAACCTACCAAGTTTATCCATAAGAAAGATATGGACTGGACACAAATTATGAATTTTATTTCCAGTGACCTTGAACGTCTCCAAATGACCTTGGGTCAAGGTCATGACACACTCTTACGTCATGGGCAATCTTTGTGTGAAATGAAAACCTACCAAGTTTATCCATAAGAAAGATATGGACTGGACACAAATGATGAATTTTATTTCCAGTGACCTTGAACTTCTCCAAAATGACCTTGGGTCAAGGTCATAACACACCCTTGGGCCATTAGCAATCTTTGTGTGAAATGAGAACCTACCAAGTTTATCCATAAGAAAGATATGGACTGGACACGAATTATGAAATTTTTCTTCCAGTGACCTTGAACTTCCCCAAATGACTTTGGATCAAGGTCATGACACACCCTTGGATCATGGGCAATCTTTGTGTGAAATGAGTACCTACCAAGTTTATCCATAAGAAAGATATGGACCGGACACGAATTATGAAATTTTTCTTCCAGTGACCTTGAAGTTCCCCAAATGACCTTGGGTCAAGATCATGACACACCCTTAGGTCATGGGCAATCTTTGTGTGGAGTAGTAGATTCTAGTGTCCCTTTGTAAGAAAGATATGGACCGGACACGATTGCACAGACAGACGGACAGACAGACAGACAGATGGACAAGGTGATTCCTATATACCCCCCAAACTTCGTTTGCGGGGGGTATAATGACAGGTTATCATGATTGGGAAAACATTCTACGTAATTTTTTTTACGATAAAACCTTCCGACTCCTGTGGTACCTGAGCGATCTGCCTCATCTGAGGGACCGTGAAGATAGAGTTATACGTCCTCTCTGATACTTTCTGTAACGCTCCCACAAATTTCTTGGGCTTTTAAAAGAAAATAATCAATTTAAAAGCATTGATACTAAACAATGCTTGCATGCCTTAAGATGGCTCTGTAGAACAAAATGTATTTTACAACAGGATACAGAAATACTCTAAGATTAAAGTTGGTTTACAATACCAGGTACTGTGTCATTTCTATAACAAGAGGCCCATGGGCCTTATAAGTCACCTGAGCATCATGCAACAACTTTCAAATGATTGAATTTGGTTCACGTTTTAAGCCAGATGCTATGGCATTCACAATTTTGAAAGAGGCACCATTGATTATCATAACTATACACTTAGCAATTGCTTAGTTTGTTTACTTAATACCCATAAGCAGGGTAGGGGAACAAAAATGCATGTCAACTAATCAGTAATATTCAGCAATAATCAGGAGTTCCCTTACCACACATGAACCCCTGACCCTAGGTCTACACATTGCACAATTTTTGAAAAGGCACACTTGCTTATCAAAAATGTTCAATTAATACCAAGGAGCAGATTTCAAACAATTCATTTTCAGTATATAGAAGTTGAGCCCCCCCCCCCTCCCCCCGTCTTTGGTATCCCTGACCCAGGGGCCTTGAAATTCACAATTCTGAAAGAAGAGCCCTTGCACATCATAACCATATAAATAGTTCATCTGCTTATTACCCAGGAGTAGAGAAAAAGATTTTCATAGATGTAATGTATTATCACCATATAATCATGATAGAGCCACACCCTAACACCATAATCCCTGACCATGGGGCCATAAAATTCACAATTTTGGTAGAAGCATTCTTACTCATCATAACTATGTCCTTAATTAGTTTATTTAATACCTAGGAGTAGAGAAGAAGCTTTTCAAAGAATAAATGCATTTTCACTATATAATCAATAGAGCCCTACCCTAACACCAGAACCCCTGACCCTGGGGCCATAAAATTCACAATTTTGGTAGAGGCACTCTTGCTCATCATAACTATGCACTTAGTTAGTTTATTTAATACCTAGGAGCAGAGAAGAAGATTTTCAAAGATTTAATGCATTTTCACTATATAATCGATAGAGCCCCATCCTAACACCAGAACCCCTGATTCTGGGGCCATAAAATTCACAATTTTGGTAGAGGCACTCTTGCTCATTATAACTATGTACTTAATTAGTTTATTTAATACTCTGGAACAGAGAAGAAGATTTTCAAAGAAATAATGCATTTCACTATATAATCAATAGAGCCCCGCCCTAACACCAGAACCCTTGACCCTGGGGCCATGAATTTCACAATTTTGGTAGTGGACTCATTGCTGATTACAATCATACCAACAGTCTGACTACTTGATGTCCAGGAGTAAAGAAGATTTTTAAAGATTGCACTAATTTTAGTGGTTTTTGCCCCACCCCCCAGGCCCCAGGGGGGCAGGGACCATGAAATTCCCAATTTTTGTTCCTCTTCACCCATAGATGTTATATGCCAAATTTGGTTGAAATTGGTTCAGTGGTTTCAGAGAAGAAGCTGAAAATGTTCAAATGTTAACGCACGACGGACGACGAAAACGGATAGCAATAGGTCACAGGAGTTTACTCTGGTGACCTAAAAACCTACAAACAAATATAATATGTGTAATTGGAAATATTAACAAGGACTTAATTTTGGCTTTTTTGGGGGTGAGGGTTGTTAGAACAAAAATTTAATATCACTAACAATTCATACTAAATAGTTTACTATTATAGTTCAAGGCATCACAAAATCTGTAAAATCACTTCTCGCTAAAACCAAATACTGATTATATAGAAAAAATCGGATTATATGGCATCTCCGCAAACCACGGCCAAAATGTACGATCCTCTCCCATTCTGGCCATGGTTGAACGAGGAGAGATTTCTTTGTAGCTTATTAATTAAAATATTGACCAATGTGAGTAAAGCATAGTCGGATGATGAACTTTATCGCGACCTTTCAATATCCAATCGCAGTATAGGAAATATTTCTTGTATACTGTTGACGTCAATTGTTGATTTCAATTGCGATGGAAACAAATCTTGCCACTGACTGAATATGATGTCACAATAGAGAGGCGTAAATATTCAAGATTACGACACTTTTTGTGATCAAGCAGCCACGGGTAGGAGAGAGCTATATATGTGGACTCCGGACCGTGACTTGAGACGATGATTATATGGCAGATGGCAGGTATGTGAAGTCAGTACATCAATCTAGTTGGAGGCCAAACAAATGACCATATAGAAAGACTGACCTTGGAGCGTCCACTCATGCCTGAGCCATGCTGGGATCTGAGGAAGTCCAGGCTACCAAACTGGTCGGAGTACGTGTCGATCATACTGAAAACCAGGAAACACTTGTTTAACGTTTGTTATAAAAAGTACCTATAGTTTATTTATCTTTTATGATTTCTGACATAAACTTTACGATTTCTGACTTGTTTTTCATGTTTTTTGACCTACTGTCACTTGCATTTCATTTCTTACTCTCATATCATGATTTCTAACCTATAATAAATTCATGATTTTTAACCTACATATCATAGTTTTTTTTTGTTTTTTTTTTTACCTATATCTGTGCTTCCTAACCTATATTTCTGATATCTGAACTATGTTTATGATTTATGACCAATATCTATGATACCTGACCTATATTTATGATACCTGACCAATATTTATGATATCTGACCTATGTTTATGATAAATGACCTATGTTTATGATAAATGACCTGTGTTTATGATATCTGACCTATATTTATGATATTTAACCTATATTTGATATCTGACCTATATTTATGATATCTGACCTATATTTCATGATCTCGATGACATCCTCTGCGTCATCTTTGGTGGCTACTTCCCGCAATTCCAGTCTTGCCCGGGCCTCCGTCAGACGGATCAATGACTCTAACTGCCGCGTGGTTATGGGGGTGCTGTCCAGGCCCTGGTGCTGCTTCCTCAGGGTAATGTAGAAATCCTGTAACAAAACAACATAACATCCTGGTAACAAAACACCATAAACTCAGGGTAATGTAAAAATCCTGGTAGACAAAAAACATCACAAATGACTGCTACCCAACAATAACTTAGGGTAATGTTAGAGTGCCTTGACAGTAAACAGAGCCAGGATTTTAGGGTTTGAAACATTTTAATTTAAAGAAGTTAGAAGAAAATGGTCCCAATAATGTCAGGGACCACTATATTTTGTAGTGAAATACCTGCAATACTTTTGCTGCATCAGGTCCTATCTTTGGATACACATACTTTCTGGCATAACCAACATACTAAAAACATTGAAATTCTTTAATAATACATATTATCATAAATGTGTGTGCATTATCAAAATGCTCTCTTCCAAAATCCATGTTATTGACAAGCACACTCTCATTGATTTTCCAAAGTGCTATTTATTTACCAGTTTCATTTTGAATCCTTGTAAAAGACTTAATTCTAGTTTAAGACTTCTGCAAAGATTCATGTGAATATTTGGTCAAAAATGAAATAATGCCAATGACCTTCAATAATCAGGAAAAAGCTAATATAAACATCCATTTTTCTCATCAGCTGGTGTGGGATATCTGTAAATATTACCTTTCTCATCAGTTGGTGTGGGATATCTATATATGTTTATACTTTCTCACCAGTTGGTGTGAGATATCTGTAAATATTACCTTTCTCATCAGCTGGTGTGGGATATCTATATATGTTTATACTTTCTCACCAGTTGGTGTGAGATATCTGTAAATATTACCTTTCTCAACAGCTGGTGTGGGATATCAGTATAATTTATATTACCTTTCTCATCAGCTGGTGTGAGATATCTGTAAATATTACCTTTCTCATCAGTTGGTGTGAGATATCTGTAAATATTACCTTTCTCATCAGTTGATGTTGGATATCTGTATATGTTTATACTTTCTCACCAGTTGGTGCGCAATGTCTATAGACATTTATTACCTTTCTCATCAGCTGGTGTGGGATATCTATATATGTTTATACTTTCTCACCAGTTGGTGTGAGATATCTGTAGATATTACCTTTCTCATCAGTTGATGTTGGATATCTGTATATGTTTATACTTTATCACCAGTTGGTGCGCAATGTCTATAGACATTTATTTCCTTTCTCATCAGTTGGTGTGGGATATCTATAGACATTTATTACCTTTCTCATCAGCTGGTGTGGGATATCTGTAGATATTACCTTTCTTATCAGTTGGTGTGGGATATTTATAGACATTTATTACCTTTCTCATTAGTTGGTGTGGGATATCTATAGATGTTACCTTTCTCATTAGTTGGTGTGGGATATAGTCTAAATGTTCCGCTGGGGAAATCTTCAGCCTTTCTGACAGGGGTTTATCTGATTCACTTAGAAGCACAGATGAGTTGGCACTGGTATTCTAAAATCAAACAGGAAGTTTAAAGTTTTAAAGATTTATGATAATGTATATATCATAATTTCATGATATTCTGATGAATCATTACCTACAGTATATTTTTAACTTACAGAGTTTTGACGCCGGACTGTAGCAGATGAGATGGACCTGAAAATAGAAAACTATGATTAAATATTTAATATTGTCAAATCTTCAATTATATATATCACCGTTCACAGTAGCTCAGTCGGTAGAGCGCTCGCTCCGTAATCGGGAGGTCTTGAGTTCGTATCTCGGCAGCGACTGACCTAGTCGTTAAAGTGGGTAGCAACTGTTCCTTTGCCATGCGCTCGGCACTTTGAAGTGAAAGTTGCGGGTCCTTCGGATGAGACCTTAAAAACCAAGGCCCCACGTTAGCGGTAGGCGTTGGCACGATAAAGATCCCTCACTGCTCAATGGCCCTGAGTGCCGAGTAAAGGTCAAAATTTGAAGCCCTTCACCAGCATACGGTGACGTCTCCATATGAGTGAAAAATTCTCGAGAGGGACGTTAAACAATATACAATCAATCAATCAATCAATGATATATATCAGTTTTAAGTGAGAGATATTTATTAAATATTCTGACTATATTAATTTATAAAATATCACTTTCAAATAAGAGCTATTTGATTAAAGGACTTAAAACTGTAAACACTTTTAGATGTATTACCAAACCAGAAGTATTTTACATACAGACTGCAAGTGTAAACATTGTCAAAAGCAAACTTTTAATTATGGAAAAGAATGACAATTCCCACCTGTTTTTCCCAGCATGCAAAGCCATAACATGGTCAGACAGCATACTATCCATTTCCTAAAGTGAAGGAAAAATTGTCAAAGGTGGTTGAAAGAGATGATATGATATTGGGAAAATAATTGTTAACAATGAGATCATAGGGTAAATGTACTTGTATGATCTAAAAGTAAGATCAAAAGTCAAAGAATGCATTTTTCTTCAGCTTTTATTATCAGATGAAGTCCATTACAGAAATTTCACTGTATTTCAGGAAAACCAACTTACTTCATCAGGTTTATCAAGAAGTATGAAGACAAGGTCAAATCTAGACAGCAGGGCACTCCCCATTCTGTCAAGTATAAATCAGAACCATGCTAGTATGATAGATCACAAGCACCTGTTAGTGTCATAGATCACAAACACCTGTTAGTGTCATAGATCACAAGCACCTGTTAGTGTCATAGATCACAAACACCTGTTGGTGTCATAGATCACAAACACCTGTTAGTGTCATAGATCACAAACACCTGTTAGTGTCATAGATCACAAGCACCTGTTAGTGTCATAGATCATAAACACCTGTTAGTGTCATAGATCACAAGCACCTGTTAGTTCCAAAGATCTCAGTTCAACATTTTTTTTCGTTCATTTTTAAAACTGTTTAGTTGCCCTATCTGTTGAAGTGGGCCTTACTTGAGATTTTCAGAGACTGTTTTACTCTTGGAGTAATGTCCTCCTACTGGGTTTGCTGCTGCAATGATGGAGGTCCTGGCAGGCAAACTAGAAACAAACAATGACTGATTATTTCACCTGATCTATTTTATTTAATATGTCAGGATGTATCAATAAAAAGCCAGTCTTACCTGCACACAATGCCTGCTTTAGCTATGCTAATGCTCTGTTGCTCCTGCAATAGAATATGCTTGTACAGTATGTGTTTCACTACTACATATAAAATGTTGATTTGATTTTATTAAAGTTCCCTGAAATAGCAAAAATAAAAGAAAAGAAAGAAATTTTTTTTTTCGCAATCTATAAATGCTCAAGGATCAATACAAATTATCTCTCCCCCTGCCTACTTGCTCCAAAGCTCAAAGTCTTCTGTACATACCATTAATCCTGTGCAACTCTTCTCAACTCTCATAAACATTATGGACCAGCTACTACATCAATATCCTTTTTATGTATACAGTCCAATGCTCTCAAAACTTAGGTCATTACTTATGTATTCCATTGTTTATTTTTTTACAAAGCCTTAACTGTACAAAATACACCCTCGTATTTCTGAAAGGAACTTAAAACGGAGGCCTTGTATAACCTCAGGCAGTGGTATGCTTAAAAACACTCACTGATCAATGACAATAACATTTGAGTGCCATGTAAAGGTCTAAGTCTGAAGCCTCTCACAGGTATCTGATGTCAAACATAAGTGAAATAACCTTGCAAGGGATGTAAAATAGTAAACAATCAATCTTTAATTCTGTATAGTTGTGGCCTCTTTATTGTACAAAATCAATCTTTTATTCTGTACACATGGTCTCTTTATTGTAAACAATCTTTTTTTTACTTCTGTACATATAAGGCCTCCATTACATCCCCTGCTTGTCTGTACTTACCATTGCCTCCAGCAATGCCTGGTGTTGACTTCCCATCTTATCAAACTCATCAATACAACAACATCCCTGATCAGCAAGCACCAGAGCCCCAGCCTCCAGTGCGTGGTCCCCAGATCCTCCATCCTTAGACAGGGTCACCTAAAAATCAGACACACAGACATAACTAGTGTACACAGATCCCCAATCCTTAGACAGGGTCACCTGTACAGGTAAAGATCACATACAGACAGACAGACATAACTAGTGTACACAGATCCCCCATCCTTAGACAGGGTCACCTGTACAGGTAAAGGTCACATACAGACAGACAGACATAACTAGTGTACACAGATCCCCCGTCCTTAGACAGGGTCACCTGTACAGGTAAAGATCACATACAGACAGACAGACATAACTAGTGTATACAGACCCCCTGTCTTTAGATAGGGTCACCTGTATAGGTAAAGATCACATACAGACAGACAGACATAACTAGTGTATACAGATCCCCCGTCCTTAGACAGGGTCACCTGTACAGGTAAAGATCACATACAGACAGACAGACATAACTAGTGTACACAGATCCCCCGTCCTTAGACAGGGTCACCTGTACAGGTAAAGATCACATACAGACAGACAAACATAACTAGTGTATACAGACCCCCGGGGTCACCTGTACAGGTAAAAAGATGCCCATGGGCCACATCGCTCACCTGAGTAACTTTGGTGATGCAGCTCATTACCAAATTTCCCCTCTACTTAAATTTATTGTGGCCCCTTACCGCCCACCCTACCCCTGCCCCCGTCTTGATTTTAATAATTTAGAATCTAAACTATCCTAGGATGCTTCCACATAAGTTTTAGCTTTTATGGATGAGTGGTTCTTGTGAAGAAGAATTTTAAAGATTTTTCCTCTATATTTCCAAGTAAAACTTGGATTTCCTACTGGTCCCATCCTACCCCAGGCTATGGGTCGTGATTTTAACAATTTAGAATCTACAATAACCAAGGATGCTTCCAAGTAAGATTTAGCTTTAATGGCCCATTGGTTTTTGAGAAGATTTTAAAAAAGATTTTTCTTATATATTTCTATGTAAAACTTGGATTACCTATAGTGGCCCCACCCAACCCCTGGGGGTCATAATTTTTAAGTTTCAGCTTTAATAGTCCATTGGTTCTTGAAAACATTTTTTAATGACCCCACCACATTTTTTTCTTCTCTTGATTATATCCCCTTGGAAGGGGACTTGGCCCTTCATTTTATCAATTTACACTATTCTTACACAATTTACAAGGATGCTTTATACCAAATTTGGTTAAAACTGGCCCAGTAGTTCTTGAGAATAAGTTGAAAATGTGAAAAGTTTACAGACAGACGGACGGACAACAGGTGATCAGAATAGCTGACTTGAGCTTTCAGCTTAGGTGAGCTAAAAATTGACATACATAAAGACATATATAGATATAACTTGTGTATACAGATCCACCATCCTTACATACAAAGGTTGTTTCTAATACAAATAAACTTTTTATGAAGCACTTGTAATTGTATTTATTAGCTACTTTTGGTTCTTACTGTTAGTCCAGAAGTAGTTGTTGTATTTCCACAAACATAAACACTGCGAGGGGATATGTCAGCCACTGCTTGTAACATCTATAAAAAGGATGAGTACAGTGTTCAAACATGCAAAGAAAGAAGAAAATAGGACTTCAAAATCTTTTCAACACTGAAGTTAAACTGTACTGTAATTTTTGTTTTCTCCTACATACATTTGAAAAATTGGCAAAATAAAGAACAAATATAAATGATACAAAAAGAGATTTTGAGCATGGATCTGATTCCTGTATTCTCTTAAACCTTATCCAAAATATTTCCTCTCTACAAGCTCTGAATTGGCCCCAAAGTTCATTCATTCATTACAGTTACTATAACTTGCAACTGTGCTACAAAATTAAAATGTTCAGACGCACTAAGTGTTACTTAAAAACAAAAATGTTATCAAAACAGATCTCAGTAGAATAATTTAAAGTTTTCATTTCAACATATTCTTCACATTTCTAAGATATACAGACATATCAGAATAAATTTTCATTTTGTGCAAGTGCTCATTGGAGCAGTAAATCTTTTTTTTTATTTATTTGGTTAAATACACACCTGACTTTTCCCTAATCCTGGATCCCCCACCACTAGAATATGTGGATCACCTCGGACAGGAATACGATTCTGAAAAAAAAATTGTATTTCTTATTTTCTGTCATTAATAAGTCAGAAATTATTCAATTAATGTAATAAATAGTAATTCTTCCTTAAAAAAACTGGCAGTACTGTAGCAAGCTTACCTATGAATGCTGAAATTTTATTTGAAACCAGTGTTTTCATTTAACATGTTACATTCATTACATGGTAATGATGGTGTAAATGCAGTTGAATAAAACAGATAACTCCTTTTTCTTCCTGATAATTAAACACCTACCTTGTCATTGAGATACTTCTGACTGCCTCCAAATAAACCCAGAATTAAACCAGCCTTCACAAGCTACATCAAAGATAACATGTAAACCAACAGAAGCAAAAATAAATACTGAAAGAAACTTTCATTTGCAAGACAAATATTACAATATGTACAATCGGCATAGAAAAATTGATGCAAGTACTATGTCATTTTAATAAGATGTTGTAAAACTGGGGGGTTAAGTTATTCTAAAACTCACTGCTAATGAAAATGAGAAAAGGGTAAAAAAATTCCTACTAACCTCATGTCCATATATTGAAGGACACATTGATCTGAAAAAAAGAGGAGATGCTAAACTTATGCATGTACTTCACGATAATAATAATCTCATAATTTATAAATATAAAACCAGAAATTTGTCAGCCTATTTTCCCAGATAAAATGAAAGAGGAGTTAATGTTTTACTAACGCCACCAGAAGTCTGAAGAGATTCTCCTCGCTCTGAATTTCCTCGATCGCGTAGAGCTCCTTCATCGTGAAATCTAAGGCCAAGCCAGAGTTATCTCCTGTCTTATTACCCTTCGTGTTGTTGACAGAGTTAGCCTGAATGTACAGCAGGAACATACACTTGTCCTTGTTTCTTCCTCGACCTGTCCAATCAAAAACAAGTAGAGAAAATGTGACCTGTCCAATCAAAAAAAAGTATAGAAAATGTGACCTGTCCAATCAAAAACAATTACAGGAAACTCCATTTTTTGATTATAAGAAGTAAGGAAAATCTTACACACAAGTAAAGGGCAGTTATAGAGTCTAATCACAGGTGCATGACTACAATATAACACTGTTCATGTGCAGAATAACTGTATAAACAACTGGTCTATTAATATATCGTATAATTATATAATCTTCACAATGCAACTCATTTAAACTGTAAAACGAGAATATTTGGCGCACTATTAATTTTAGCACCTTTGGCGCAAGAGCCCCTGAATGCTAAAATTTAGTGCGCTAACGATTTTCTAAATATTCTAAATAAAGTACAGTGTACATGTAAACCTTAACGCGCGATTACGTAATGTAGAAGGGTAGTTGGATTTTATATATACACTATCAGTGTACATGGTAGGATCAATCAAGAAAGTTCTGCCAAATTATAATTTGATTAAACTTTTGTTAGTTGTTACCCGATACTTATCATTAGCACCTTCAAAGTTTGGCTTCTCGACGTGTCAATCATCTATCGCCTATAGGTAAACAATGCAATCAAGCATGGCCATTGACCTTTCAGACAATTCCTGATTTTGATTACCGTTTATCCAAGTAACTTTCTTTCAATGCATGCGTTGTTTTAACATGAATAAAATGCATAAATACCCGGTACGTCATTTCTTTTATCTAAAATAAAATAAAAATAAAATTCAAAGCCGTTTAGTCCGACTCTAATCGCAAAAAAATATATTTGTTGTGTTTCCATGCTTGACTAAACAAAAAGTCAAATACGGGCATGAATAAAAAAATATCTCATTTATATATTATAATGACAAATGCAAGCGCTAAAGTTTATTTAAGCCAATGCATACCCACTTGCGTTTGCTCTAAAATATGAATGCGCCAAACTTTCTCGTTTTACAGTAACTCCTTATTCATAACAAAATCCTACATTAAGAAGATGAAGTACTGAGTGATTTTTAACCTTCATCTGTGCTGTTGACCTTGACAACACCAGTCATCGTGACAACATCACCAGGTACACAGCTGTCCACTGAAAACAGAATGTAATTTAAAAATTACACAGTACATAGAGGAATTACAAAGAAGGCAACAGATTTTTTCAAAATTTACACTGAAGTCAATTAGTGTAATCAACATGAAACATCAAAATTTAGCTCAATCACTGGGTATGTCGTTTTCAAAGTCATGAATATGCACTACACATATGCCTATGTTGTAATTAAGGTACTTGGACACAGATTTGAAGTTAATATTTTCTCTATAATATTACGAATTATATATTTTAATAGCATTTCACACAAAAATTAATTAAAAATCTTATTTCATTTAAAAGTTATCAAAACTTTAAGTGTTTTGGCGGGTTTGATTGACACATCCTTGCACTTTCACAAATTTTAACTTTATTCTTAATCCTTAGGAAAAGTGGCAATCTTGTTGTGTATTAATGAAAAATATTAATACTATAATCCAGAAAATTCAGAGTATACCTCCTCCTTCTTTAATGTGACCATATGGAAAAGGTCAACTTTAAATTTAGAATATAATGAAAGTGAATAACTAGAGGATATTCAAGGTTTTGTAGTTGAATCATTATTATTATGGAATATATTTCATGAGTGGGACAGGATTTCTTTTTATATTTTCACAAGCACGACCAGAATCCACTATTATCATTCCACATTTTCCACTATTAACCTATCACATGTACAGTACCTGTTTTTGAGAGATTTCATCATCTCTATAAATCTTTTTCTGTCAAGTTACTATATAATGATATACTGTATAGGGGGAAAATAACTCGCGGTGTTAATATTCGCTATATTCACGGTTTTATTAAATCCGTGAATTCAAGAAACAGTGAATAATTTTTCAATAATATCGATATTATATCCATGTTTTATTTGGAAATTTGAGAATAATCTACGATAGGTTTATAAACATGTACGTGCTGTACATGGCCATTTCAGTAATTATGAGTAGTACTTGTTATTCAATTAATTTAATTATCACATTTTACTTTAATTCAAATCAGCAGATAATAACTTGTATTTGTTAAAAAGCTGTTTAAATAGCCAACGCTACATGTTTGATCAATTAAAACACGTGGATCATGGGTTTTGATTACCCGTGCGTAACTATTGTTTCCACGTGTATTTCTTACCTGCATTATCCGTCGACATTTTGGTTCTAAAAAATCATTTAAATTATCGAACTTACTGAAGATGACCCTCACTACATTTACACATTTATAAACGCCAGTGGTTTTTCGCAGCATCGTATGGATCTGGGTGCACATGCACTCATCGTGAGGTTTTTATCCTAATAGCAAAGTCATTTGAAGTTTATAGTCATTGACATTTGATAACTGAACTTGTTTTTATTAATCTTCAATTATTTATCAAATCTTGCTATTTTATATTTCCTGCCCTCTAAAGACACAACGCTGATTAGTTTTGTTTACATGTAGAAATTATGGATTAAACGGATATAGACAAGGGAGGTAACTTTTATTATATACAATTGCAAAAGTTCAGTGAGAGAAAAGCGTGAAAATTACAACCTGTGATATTAATCCCCTATACAGTACACCTGGTCCCCCTTACCGAGATCCTGCGTGAGCTCACAGTCCACGGTCCGAGGAATCCTGCCCGATTCCTTAAGTCCGTCACCCATAATTTCCTGTACCCTCACTGTCTGCCAGTCAATGGTCTGAGTGAGCTCGGAGCTACGGCGCGGAATAAAACTTCTTCCTCTACAGCCTTGTACAGGACACTGCAAAAGTTAGTACAGCATGTCAAAAAGTTCTACAGACCTACAAACTACGGTAGAACTGTCCAAACGGGACAAAATACCCCCCCGCTGGGTTTTTCAGAAGTGCTAAATCATGAATATTTCATGGATCTAAGAGAAGAGAGAAATGCTGAAAAATTTTTAGTGCAAATTTAATTGCTCACTATATCTTTTATAAATGAAAAGAAGGCGCAGCCTAATAAAAAAAAATACACTAAATATACGGACCAGACACGAATTATGAACTTTTTCCGTCAGTGAACTTGACTTGCATAAATGACCTTGGTTTAAAGTCATGACACAACATCAGGTCATAAGCAATGTTTGTGTGAAGTTTTTCCATAATAAAGGAAGATATGGACTGGACACAAATTATAAAAAATTTTCTTCCAGTGACCTTGAACTTCCCCAAATGACCTTGACCCAAGGTACTGACACATCTTTAGGTCATGACAATCTTTGTGTGAAATGAGAACTTACCAAGTTTATCCATAAGAAAGATATGGACCAGACACGAATTATGAATTTTTTTGTCCAGTGACCTTGAACTTCCCCAAATGACCTTGACTTAAGGTCATTTCATATCCTTACGTCAGGAGGAATCTTTGTATGAAATGAGAACCTACCAAGTTTATCCATAAGAAAGATATGGACCGGACACAAATTATGAAATTTTATTTCCAGTGACCTTGAACTTCTCCAAATGACCTTGGGTCAAGGTCATGACACACCCTTAGGTCATGTGCAATCTTTGCGTGAAATTAGAACCTACCAAGTTTATCCATAAGAAAGATATGGACGGGACACAAATTATGAAATTTTTCTTCCAGTGACCTTGAACTTCCTCAAAATACCTTGGGTCAAGGTCATGACACACCCTTAGGTCATGGGCAATCTTTGTGTGGAGTAGTAATTCTAACAAACATCACGTTACACAGACAGACGGACGGAAGGTTTTCATACCCCCCAAACTTCGTTTGCGGGGGGTATAATTAATGACTAAAGCTGATGTTGATTATTTTTTGTCTTACCCTGGTTGGGAGGATGTACTTTCCATCAGGCAAGGCTACACTCTGTAACAATACAAGTTACAAGTTATTCTTAATAAATGGAATCTTACATCTTATGTAAAAATATGAAAAACAAGAGGCCCATGGGCCACATCGCTCACCTGAGAAGCTTTGACCATTCTGTTCTTTACCGGATTTCCCCCTTGTTATACATAATGCATCCCCACCCTACCCCATATCATAATTTAACATTTTGAAATCTATACTAATGATCCTTCCATGGGCACATATGGTTTTTGCCCAGTGGTTCCTGAGAAGATTTTCAAAAATTTTTCCTATATATAAATGTAAAACTTTAATTCCTGTAATTTTCATGAAGCAATTCAAAAAAAAAACATAAATGGCCCAGTGGTTCTTGAGAAGAAGAAAAGATTTTTTCTATATATTTCTATAAAAATCTATTTCTTGATTGAACAATTTAGAATCTACATTATAAGGATGCTTCAGAACTCATTGTGTAGAAGAAGATTTTCAAAGATTTTTCCTATATATTTCAAAAATAAAATTAAAATAATTTAGAATCTACACTATATCAATGCTTCCACATTTCAGCTTTTCTTGCCCAGTGGTTCTTGAGAGGAAGATTTTAGCTATATATTTCAAAATGGACTTAACTTCAAAACAAGACTTCCTATATATTGCTATATAAAAGACAGAGGTGGTAATTAATCTGAACAATTTAGAATCTACACTATAAAGATAATGCTTTGGATTTTCTTTAGGAAGAAAGCTATATATTTCTATGGGACTTTCATTCATTGCAGTATTCAGTTTACAATGGGAACATTTTCAGAATTATCTCTCTTTGCCAATTCATTCTTATATAAAGTTAAAGGTAAAATCTTTATCCCATCACCGAATAATTTAGAATCTACACCAGCTCCAAACCAGAGGATATAGTGAAACAAACTATATAGCTATATAAAAATATGTCTTTTTGATTTGAACAATTTAGAATTTACACTATGAACTACCATACCAAATTTGAACTTAATTAGGCTACCATAAAAAAAGTTATTAGGAAAAAACGAAAAGAAAATTTGTGGACAGACAGACAGACAGACGGACAGACAGACAGAAAAGCTGATTACTTCGGCTCAGGGCACCCATGCCAACTTTTGAAAATCCTTGCGTGGACATTTTTCATAGCTTTAAATTCGCGACATTTTGTCGTGAAAAAATGAATGACACTAAATATATATAATTAACAGACTTACAAATTAAAGGATAAAAATAACACAATAAAGTGCCACGCCACAGCATGATACGCCCGTCAAAAAATTACAATTTTCTTGAACAGTTTAGGTGCAAGAAAATCAAATGACCTTGGTTCTAAGATTTCGATGATTTTTCCATTCCTTGACACAACATCCCCTGTGATGTAGGGATCAATTATTATATAATAAATATTACATCACTGATAGATTTCTGTGCTGGTTGTGTTAGACCTTTTTCATCAAATTATAAACTTAATCTATACCAAATTAATTTTGAAAAGAAAAGGCTGGCCACAAAATGTTATAAAAAAATTTCTTCCCCAAAGGCACAAATAAGTCAGATAGCCTTGAACCTTGAACTCATTAATTAATCTTAAACTGGATGCTTGACTCATTACTACCAGAGATGAATGGGTCTGCACTATCTACTATAAATTTTTTTTAAAAACATCAAAGATTTTCTTTTTTTTAGGTCATGACAATCTTTGTGTGAAATGGACATACTGATTCCACCCCACCATAAAATTAGTTTTTCCATAATGATATTACATAATATCAGATTACTATATTATGCAATAATTTTTTGTCTTTTCATCAAATTCATTATAAAACTTAAGCTAGTCAACAAGAGCTATTTTTAATTAAACAGGCTTACCCATTTGCCCAATACTCAAGGGATATAGATAACACCAATGCTCTGTCAGTTAGCTCCTCGCACTCAAAACCCATTAATTTCTCTCTAATTTGACATGCAATTTTCTGTTATCAAAATTCTTTGTGTGACACTCATGGGAGAGGTAGGATTTCTCTGACATACATTATATTTGTTATAGATTGCTGTCAAGTATATGCTTAAAAAAAATAAGTATTTTCTTGATTTAACACTTTTTTAATAAGAACAGTGCAATACACAAATTATAAAAAGACACATTTTTTTTTTTTTTTCTTAAATTAAAGGTCACAGTGACCTTGACACTTTCCTAAGATACATAAACTGGCCAAGTTTGATGATTGTAGGTCTTATGGTTTTCATGGGCCGGAAAGGACATTTGGCACTTCCATAAAGGTCTACTTTTTGTGGAGACACATCTACCCAAGATGTGTGAAATTTGAACTTAGGGCTAAGTTTATCCAAACGAAAAAGCTAACAGACAGACGGACAGCCTATAACATAATACAAACGGGCGTATAAAAATAAGGTTTTTCTTTCCAAAATGAAATATTTTTGCTCAACTTGCCTCTCTCACTAAAGAAGGGATAATTAGTTACATATGTAAACACACTAGGACACATAATTTGGTGAAAAATTGAAAATTGTACAACTTTTGTGTGAAATTTGAACATTTATGAGATTTTTATATTTTAATTAATTAGAAATTCTAATCAGATATTAAATTTAAAGAAACACAAATTGCAATGCATTTATTTTTTTTCAAAGAAATTCCAGTGACCTTAAAGATACCACCTATCCCAAAGAAAAATGAACTTTGGCAGGCTTGATGGTGCTATGTGACACACCATAAAATATTATAATTACTTTTAGGTTATACATACACTGTATTGTTTCATGATTTGTGAAATTTGCAAACTTTACAATATTTTTTTCCATAGGTAGATAAAGTCAGCAGCTATGCTTTGTAGTTTTCTACTTTCGGACACAAATTATGGAATTTTATGGTTTGGTTATTATTTAGTTGTCTTTAATTTATGTTTTCAATAAAATGACAAACAATTATCCCCTTAATCTATGTGTTTCACCTTGGGTACCCCTTAAAAGAAAAGTCTAATTAATTGACACACCCTTAGGTCATGTGCAATGATTTCCTGTGGCTAATTAACCATGTTAACACATAAATAAACAATGAAACTTATCTGTGTGCATTGAATAAACAAGTCTGATATTGTTATCCCAATTGACAAAATTCAGTTGTATAGGGAAACTTTTAAAATCGGAAATTTTGGGTGAATTTTTTACAAATTGGGAAATTAGGTCAATTTTTCTCTCCCAAATCGGGAAGGCGGGATCAAGGTCATGACACACCCTAAATTTGGCATGTATGGATGTTCATGTAGCCGCAGCACAAGCTCTCTTGTGTGAGAGCTACAGTTCCAAGCATTGTAAAAACCTGATTTATACCAGGGACTCACCTGGATAGATGTACACCTGTAAAGCTCAAAGGCCAGGTGTGTACAGGTATATAAAGATTTACCTGTACAGATGAACAGCTACCACACTCAAAGGCCAGGTGTGTGCAGGTATATAAAGATTTACCTGTTCAGATGAACAGCTACCACTCAAAGGCCAGGTGTGTACAGGTATATAAAGATTTACCTGTACATATGAACAGCTACCACACTCAAAGGCCAGGTGTGTACAGGTATATAAAGATTTACCTGTTCAGATGAACAGCTACCACTCAAAGGCCAGGTGTGTACAGTTATATAAAGATTTACCTGTACATATTCTACCACACTCAAAAGGTGTGTACAGGTATATAAAGATTTACCTGTAAAAATGAACAGCTACCACACTCAAAGGCCAGGTGTGTACAGGTATATAAAGATTTAGTATAGATCTCAAACAGGTGTGTAAAGATTTACCTGTATAGAAAAGCTACCACACTCAAAGAGCAGGTGTGTACAGGTATATAAAGATTTACCTGTAGATGAACAGCTACCACACTCAAAGGCCAGGTGTGTACAGGTATATAAAGATTTACCTGTACATATGAACAGCTACCACACTCAAAGGCCAGGTGTGTACAGGTATATAAAGATTAACCTGTATAGATGAACAGCTACCACACTCAAAGGCCAGGTGTGTACAGGTATATAAAGATTTACCTGTATAGATGAACAGCTACCACACTCAAAGGCCAGGTGTGTACAGGTATATAAAGATTTACCTGTATAGATGAACAGCTACCACACTCAAAGGCCAGGTGTGTACAGGTATATAAAGATTTACCTGTACATATGAACAGCTACCACACTCAAAGGCTAGGTGTGTACAGGTATATAAAGATTTACCTGTATAGATGAACAGCTACCACACTCAAAGGCTAGGTGTGTACACAGGGGCTTGATGTTGCTCACTCTGACCACAGTTCCCTTGACAGACACAAACTTACCTGTAATAATCAAAAATTTACTTGTAATAAATCAACAATTTACCTGTAATAAGTCAACAAAAATCTGACAAATCTGATATTTCATAATTCCTACCATAATAGTTGGCTTTGAGGTTCTTTAGAGCGATTGGTTGACAAGCGTTGATAAGTCTAACATGAATCATGGGAAGGTGATAGTCGGTCTGGTCCTCTTCCCCAGGTTCAGGAGTAGATTTTCGGTGGTGTATGATTAACTGTAATCAGAACATAGTAAACTGTAAACATGTTGTGGATACTGTAAAATCACATATTTTTGTGGGGTTAAATTTTAGTGGTTTGAGTAAAATCTCTTGGTTCATGGGGATTTGTATTCATGGATGAAGAATTGTTGAGTAGTTTAATATGTAACATTTTACATTTCGTAGTGGACATGAATTCATGGGTCTCTTTATATCCTGAAAATAACGAAAATTAACCCCCATGAAAAATTTGTGATTTCACAGTATCTGTGAATTAGATTCATCAGTTCCTAAAAAAACTCATCAAGCCAAACAAATGAAGAACATCAACATAGAAGACCAATACTGCATTTTTTAAAATGACAAACATTCAAAGCATAAATCACCTTCATTTTTCATTATTTCTGAGATAAACTACATTGTACATATACTTAATATCATTTTTATAAACAAATAAAGCTACATGAGAACAGAGGAGAAGCTAGAAGCACCAAATGAGTCTATTGGGTCATTACTGGCAGAAGACTGTACACAGCACCAAATGAGACTACTGGGTCATTACTGGCACAAGACTTTATACAGCACCAAATGAGTCTATTGGGTCAGTACTGGCAGAAGACTGTACACAGCACCAAATGAGACTACTGGGTCAGTACTGGACTGTACACACCTGATGAACGGCCAGTCCTATACACGCAATCAGCTGTTCTGGTGACTCTCTTAGGTCTGTAGTTATACCAGGCATGCTTCGTAAAATTCCTGAGAAAGAAAATCTCCTTATTAATGCATAGTAAAAATTTAAACATAGTTATCAGAGATTACAGAGCTGATCTCAACAAATGTTATGTTTTAAGGTCCCCAACTAAACTAGCAGTGTGCATCCATAGATCCAACATTTTTTGCAAAGCACTTTATGTTGTATATGAATATATTTGCCCCTATACAGATTAAATTCTGAAAATTTCTTGAAATGTGCTGAATTGTATATATTCCATGAAATACTGTATCTGGCCCCACCAATATAACATACAAGTGATATGATGATGGGGCCTGGGCTTGGTGACTTTTACTTGAAATACTGACATAATATCGACCTGTCATGGAAATTTTGAATTTCCTGTCGTAATATCTAACAGGGTGTCATGCCCGATGAAGTTTTTTTTTGTAACCCTCAGTTTGGAACATTATGGATTTCAGGGTTAAAGTTTAATTTTGGAGGCAAATATTGGTCGTTATAAAATATAGTCTGATAATTTTGGCAATATTTATTAAAGGCAAATATTGGGAAAGGGCTAACTTGAAGTTACACTGGAATAATAAAAGGGGTGTATGAAATCCATTTTTAAAAATGATGATTTTCAGTCATTAAATTGATTTTTAATAATGATGGAAATTCATCATTTTTTAGTAAAATGATGAAAAACAGTATTTTGAAATTTATTTTAGAAATAGAGGATATTAAAAATACTGTTTTTTCATTTTTTATCAAAGTTTGGGCTAATTATCTCATTAGTTTTACGGGGCGCACTAAATTATTTTGGTTTCAATTACTTGTCAAGATGTTTCTCTACACAAGGGTCTATGGCAGGATAGTGTATTATATCTAATTACTGTAGTAAATGGGATGGGAAAATTGATAGAATGGAAATATGTGTCATATTTACAAAAATCAGAAAATTGTGTACATTATATACTTAGAAGAAATGACCATTGTCCATCATTTTCAAAAATGACTGATTTCAGTACCACCCCTGACTGTTCACCCAATCACTTAACCAGGAAATGGTCAAATTCAGCTTTGGAAACAAGTCTAGTAGTGTGTATCCATTATCATGTTTATGCAAGTTCCACTGACCTTTTATTCTGTTAGTCAAAAAGATCTAAGGGTCTGAAACGTCAACCTTTAGCAGTTTTCTATAGTTATCATTAGCAGGGATTAGAATCAATTTATTCTCTTTTTTTAATCATACATGTATAATGATTTAAGAACTTTTTAGTTATCTTGTTCTTTACTATACACAGAGTCAAGAAACCAAATAATTACATCATTTAGGCATTTATCATATAATTAATGAATTCTGCAGATTGAATCTTATAAACAAGGAAAATTTTTACCTTCATCAGTATTTAGCTCTTTGAAGTCCACGGTCATGAATTTTTTTTCTTCTATGTCTGTCTGAAAGTTTCCAAAACAAACTTTTTAAAAATCTTCATTTACATAGCAGATCTTTCACTACATTATTGTTTGACCCAATGCAAAACTGGAAATTCTTTAATACAACAGTGAACAAACTCCAACCCAATATGTCAATATAATTATAAATTAATATTAAATCCATAAACTATTGGGTAAAAAAGTTTCAGTCAATCATAGACTCTAATTAATAGCTTAAAACTCATGAAAACTCAATTTTGATCTGCAACTTAAATTGGTCTATAAACATGATTATCAGTTTACAAAATTATCACCAAATTACATTTAAAATATCGAACACCTTTTTTTTTTTTTTTTTATTTTTTTTTTTTTTTACAAAAGATGGTAAATCAGACAGAAGAAAATTAAACATACTGTTCTCAAAGGTCCCCAATTTTCTACCATTTTTAGCATGTTAGTGACTAATAATATTTACTTGTGACTGCTGGAAACAAACTTAATTTACTAAGTTCTTTAAAGGCTAAACAACAAGTATGTGTATACTAACTTAAAATCTGAGAGCCATGTATACTGACCCATGTATAGGCTGAACACCATGTATACTGACCCATGTATAGGCTGAACACCATGTATACTGACCCATGTATAGGCTGAACTCCATGTATACTGATCCATGTATAGGCTGAACACCATGTATACTAACCCATTTATAGGCAGAGCACCAACTGGTGAAGTATTTCTCAAACACCTGGACTTTGTGGACAATGGGGGACTGATCACTATACACTGTAATCAGAAGTTATATCAAAGTAAAACTAGAACTGTCCAAACGGGACAAAATACACCCCGCTGGGTTTTTCAGAAGTAAGTTTTTCCATAGGAAAGATATGTATAAAACATGAATTATGAAATTTTTCTTCCAGTGACCTTGATGTTCCCCAAATGACCTTGAGTCAAGGTCATGACACACCCTTGGGTCATGGGCAATCTTTGTGTGAAATGAGATCCTACCAAGTATATCCATAAGAAAGATATTAACCGGACACGAATAATGAATTTTTTCTTCCAGTGACCTTGATGTTCCCCAAATGACCTTGGGTCAAGGTCAAGACACACTCTTGGGTCATGGGCAATATTTGTTTGAAATGAGAATCTACCAAGTTTATCCATAAGAAAGATATGGACCGGACACGAATTATGAAATTTTTCTTCCATTGACCTTGAACTTCCCCAAATGACCTTTGGTCAAGGTCATGACACACCCTTGGGTCATGGGCAATCTTTGTGTGAAATGAGAACCTACCAAGTTTATCCATAAAACATAGGTAATCAGAGATTACAGAGCTCACCTGAACGAATGTTGTCTTTAAGTAAGGCCATATAAAATTGAAATCTTGGTTCTCAGGCCCGCGCGCATCCATTTTGAGGTAGCCGCATTGCCGATTTTATTGAATTTTTGATAAAATAAAAAGTTGGTATTGCGGAGACCAATCCGGAAAAAAAAAATTTCGACCTCATTTGTTTCGTAGTTTAGTATTCAAATATCACTTCCGGTAGCCATTTACAATGAGATTTTGGCTACTTCGTTTGAAAATACATTCGAGGACATTACCTACGATGTTTACACGCTGTTAAGCAGTGGATAAAGCAGAAATTTTGACCAGAAATGGAAAGTATATCTGTGATTAAAAAAAATATCTTTATGTTAAAGAAAATTCGGAAATTAAAATTAAAAAAAATACCTCCCTCATCTACTTTATTGCCAATAAAATGAAAAATAAAATGCCGCCCTCCCGCATCTGTTTTTGAGAAAATAGGCCTGAGAACCAGGGAATTAAATTTAGATAGCCTAAGGCAAAGTCACACAATTAACCAACAAGAAGTGTACATTCCAAAAATGAAAATATTTAAGCAATTTTAATCTGATTTTGAAATAGAACTACATAAAAAATTTAAACTAGTTCTTCTTCATGAAAATGTAATTAAAATCCAGCATCTGAAGCAAATTTGAGAGTTTTCATCTCTTGATGCAACATTTGTGCAAGTTTGGTTTATACAATGTTATATAAGCCTTATAGTTTTTTGGTAATAGACCTGCACCAATAACTTTTACCTGGTCTATTATCTAAAAATGTATGTCGAATTCAGCATCCGAAGCAAGTCCATTAGTGTGCATCCTAAGATGTATCATCCATGCAAGTTTGCTCATTATAGTGCTCATAGTTAATTGGAAATGAAACATGCATCAAAAACTAACATTTTCACTCATCAACAAAAAGTAGGTCAGATTCAGCATCCGAAGCAAGCCCAGTAGTATGCATCCTTATATGTATCATCCACGCAAGTTTGGTCATTAAAGAACTCATAGTTACTTGGAAATGAATCATGCACCAAAAACTTTAACCTATTCACTCAACTGGAAAATGTAGGTCAGATACAGCATCCGAAGCAAGCCTGGTAGTATACATCCTTATATGTATAATCCATGCTAGTTTGGCCAACATAGGGCTTATAGTTACTTGGAAATGAAACCTGCACCAAAAACTTTAACCTGCTCACTCAACCAGAAAATGTAGGTCAGATTCAGCATCCGAAGCAAGCCCTGTAGTGTGCATCCTTAGATGTATCATCAATGCAAGTTTGGTCAACATAGGGCTTATAGTTACTTGGAAATGAAACCTGCACCAAAAACTTTAACTTGTTCACTCAACCGGAAAATGTAGGTCAGATTCAGCATCCGAAGCAAGCCTGGTAGTATGCATCCGTAGATGTATCATCCATGCAAGTTTGGTCAACATAGGGCTTATAGTTACTTGGAAATGAAACCTGCACCAAAAACATTAACCTGTTCACTCAACCGTAAAATGTAGGTCAGATTCAGCATCCGAAGCAAGCCTGGTAGTATGCATCCTTAGATGTATCATCCATGCAAGTTTGGTCAACATAGGGCTTATAGTTACTTGGAAATGAAACCTACACCAAAAACTGCACCAAAAATGTTAACCTGCTCCAAAAACATTAACCTGGTCATTCCTTTGCTGAAATTGCAGCATCTGAAACTTTGACTGGTACAATGAAACACACTAGAACCATCTTCCATGCATGTCTACTCAATATAGGACATAGAAGTACTTAAAAAGAAAACTGCTCCAAAAAACTTAACCTTAACCTGGGACGCCGACACCGACGCCGACGCCAAGGGTATTACATAAGCTCCCCCAACTTCGTTGAGGTGAGCTAAAAAGATATGGACCGGACACGAATTATGAAATTTTTTTTCCATTGACCTTGAACTTCCCCAAATGACCTTGGGTCAAGGTCATGACACATCCTTGGGTCATGGGCAATCTTTGTGTGAAATGAGAACCTACCAAGTTTATCCATAAGAAAGATATGGACCGGACACGAATTATGAAATTTTTCTTCCATTGACCTTGAACTTCCCCAAATGACCTTGGGTCAAGGTCATGGCATACCCTTGGGTCATGGGCAATCTTTGTGTGAAATGAGAACCTACCAAGTTTATCCATAAGAAAGATATGGACCGGACACGAATTATGAAATTTTTCTTCTATTGACCTTGAACTTCCCAAAATGACCTTGGGTCAAGGTCATAACACACCCTTAGGACATGGGCAATCTTTGTTTGGAGAAGTAGATTCCAATGTCCCTCGGTAAGAAAGATATGGACCGGACACGATTGCACAGACAGACGGACGGACAGACAGATGGACAGACGGACAAGGTGATTCCTATATACCCCCCAATCTTCGTTTGCGGGGGGTATAATTAAGTAGACTTTTAATAAATTTAAATTTTGGGATGTATGAACAAATTTCTGAAAAAAGCTGTAAAATTAAGATACTGTTAATTAATCATTTACTATCCTTTGATGTGGGTACAAAAACATGTAAAATTAGCGTCTGTTGATAGTTCACTTACCTTCATCAGGAAAATAAAGCCCCCATCCTTTGTATGGAGACTGTACTTGTATCTTTGTCTGGACTAGATTAGGTCTGGATGGGGTGGGGTCTGCCATTAGGCCTCCACCCCTCCCCCCTCTGGCTGACCCTGTAACAGTGAGAAACTAGAACTGTCTAAATGGGACAAAATACCCCCCGCTGGGTTTTTCAGAGGTGCTAAATCATGATTATTTTATGGATCTAAGAGAAGAGAGAAATGTAAAACAATTGTAATTGCTCATTATATTTTTAATAAATGAAACAAAGGCGCAGCCTAATAAAAAAAAAAAGACTAAATATACGGACCAGACACAAATTATGAAATTTCTTCTAGTGACCTTGAACTTCCCCAAATGACCTTCAGCTTGGGTCAAGGTCATGACACATCCTTAGATGATGAGCAATCTTTGTGTGAAATAGGAACCTACCAAGTTTATCCATAAGAAAGATATGGACCAGACAAGAATTATGAATTTTTTCTTCCAGTGACCTTGAACTTCCCCAAATGACCTTGGGTCAAGGTCATGATACACCCTTAGGTCATGGGCAATCTTTGTGTTGAGTAGTAGATTCTAATGTTCCTCCGTAAGAAAGATATGGACTTGACACGTTTACACAGACAGACGAATGGACAGACAAGCTGATTCCTATATACCCCCCAAACTTTGTTTGTGGGGGTTATAATAACAAACAATATGACATAAATAAGATTAACATCTAGAATACTAGTCTTCTGAGCTTGTTGAGTCACATTGTTTATGATATTCGTCATTTTCTGACAATAATCAGTAGGATACATAAGGAAAAAATTCCCTCCTCCCGTTACCCCTGCCTCCTCTTCCTCCTCCGTTGCCATAATGATTGTAATATCCTCCTCTTCCCCATCCTCTCCCTCTCCATGGACGATACTGCCCACGACCTCGACCCTGGCTCTGACCTTGACCTCGGCCCTGGCTCTGTCCTTGACCCCGACCCTGGGAATACTGGCCCTGACTCATCACTTAATCAGATCCAACAGACGTATTGTATGTATCACATTTTTTTATTCCTGCAATGTGACAAGAATTTTTAATCTAGTCAGTGGGGGTTAAGATGTGCCAATAAATGTATGAAATCATGACAACGTAAACAATCAGAGTTGGTGTACCCAATACAGTTGAAGCTTAATTACTATCATCAATTGATCATGCAGAGTTGTGGAAAACTGCGGGTCATGCTGACAAAAAACGTGTGACCGGTAAAAATACTATCCATGTTGGTCCATATGACCGGTCCTTTGTTGGTTAAAGTTTTGTTTTCGTTTTTTCATTCACCATCGGTGCACTTTCCAGCATTATTTGTCATATCTTGTATGAGTTTGCATAATACTTATTCTTTACATGAGATTGAGGCTAGATAAATGAAAAACCTGCTATCAGCGCTGAAGAAGTTTTCCACAACTCTTATCATGATTATGCTACACAATGATACTCTAAATCCAACATGGTATTACTGGAATAATATATCATCTTCTATAATTTTTATATACCGGTACTGATCGTGTTTGCAACTAATTACAATTAGTATAATATTTTGTGAAAGTCATCATGCAATAAAACTTTCCATTAAATGGGAAGCTTTATTGCATGACAGCTTTCACAAAATAATAAAAGATAAAATGTCATAAAATTCCCAATTTGAAGGGCCTGAGTCCCATTCATAAATAGAAGTGAAAAATCCCTGAATTCAAAAGTACACCGAAAATTGACTATGTTGATCATGTTGATTGAATTCAAACTGCACATAGATAAAATATTTAAAGGAATTTTTTTTTTTTTTTTTTTTGGTTTTTGGGGTTTTTTTGGCCATAGTTGAAAATTTCCACTAAGAATTCATCTTACTCTTAGAACTAATGTCAACAGCTTTGCACCGTCGACATCGAATTATTTGTCGATCCGGGTCTATATATGTAACTTGTTGATAAAATTTCAGGTGCTTGTGCTACAAAGTCTATATTTTTAGTAGGGATGTCAAATTGGTCATTTTTTTGATGATCGGTTACTCGGACATTTTTTTTTTACGGTCGAGTAATAAAAGTAACAATATTTGGTTTCGGTGTTGATTATATTATCAATTAGTCCTCTCCAATTTTAATGCACATTAACCACCCTTCTGCTCATGCGCGAATCACATGATATAGGCGGTCACGTGACCCCTTCTGTAGCGTTCTGTCACAAAAGCTGAAAGATTTTTCTGAGTTTTATATTTCTTTCCATATAAGTTAATTTTTATACAAGAACAGTTCATTTGTCAGAAAAGGTCAAATCTCGTCAACAGAATGGGTGGATAAGAATATCCTTTCCAGAAATAAGCGTGGCGACCATCAAAACCCAAATCTTCTGTCTTGTGAGAGACGTTTATTCAACGTGGATAAAAATTGTTGCCTCCTTTCTATCATATCTGATATGTTTAAAATCTAAAGTAAACGATATCTTACGTATTTAATAATTATATTAATGTTCAAATAGTAAACTATTTTTCAAAGTGTAAATTTGAGGTCTTTGATAGCAAATTGCTTAATTAAAAACACATATCGTTTCAAACTTGCTTTCACTGGGCAACATAACAAACATCATTTTCAACCATTTGCCTTCCTTCACTAAAACGATCAATCCAATTATTGCCTGAATTTATAGGAAGTCATTTGTCTTAATAAACTGTGTACAAATTATTATATGCTACTGTAAAGCAATTTTTAAGATATACCATGAATTGTAGAGTTGTTTGTTGAACGAGTACGACTGAGACAACCATTTTTCGTCACAAGTAACCTACAGTGACGTCATTTTCACACTGTGACGTCAGAAACAAGGAGCAAAACTTTATTCAGCATATCCTATTTATAGAACTTGTGCATGGCTATGTGTGTACCAAATTTTTTTCTAATCTCAATTTCGGTTTTGTAGATATAGAGATAGTTCGCGAACTTTTTGATCACGAGAGGCTACAGGTTTACATTTCGTCATTAACATACTTTTCCTTGATTTTTTAACCAAATATAGCTCAGATACCTAAATCTAACCACCATGTGTCCTGTGACTCAATTCTGGCCTTATGCATGCGTCAAAATTTAATTTGAATTAGCTTCGCTTAGCATTCATACGGAGTTAATTAGGGGTGGGACGATATACCGATACATATCAATATTTTCCTCTAAGATACGGTTTACGATACAAGCATTCAAATATCGGTACGAAACGATATACGAATGACCTATCCAAAAATTGAAAATGAAAGTACCTGTTCTTGGAAGATGGCGGCTTGTACGAAGCGAAGAGATGATAATGATATTAAAAACATACTGTAGAACGTACAAGTCGTTGATTAGGGGTAAACGTTTTCGCTTTTAAGCAACCTCAGAGGATTGGACAATAAAAGTTCAGTATGTAAAGTGTGCTATACACACAGCACCGTGAGTGAAGATGAATAGTGAAATAATTTTCTTTTCCAATTAATGGTTCATCAGAATAATTTTACCATGTGAAAACGATGGTATCTTTTCCAGAACATTTGATATTATAAATTGTTAGTCCATCCCGTGCCTTTTTGTAATCTCAACTAGCCTACAGACTTTCAGCAATTGATTATAATGTAAATGTGATGTTTTTTAATGAAATTTTAGTCAGTGTTCTTTGATGAACTACACAACTGTTTGTAAACAACTTGTAAATAGAAATTTCGTAACAATAATATGTACATGTATTATTGATTTTGTAAAGTTATAGTCAATGAAATTGATGAACTTCGAGTATTAATTTCAAAGCACACATGATTTTATATAGTCTAAGAATAATTTGTTGATTTAATGTCAAGACATAAAAAATGAAATGAAATACTTATTCTTTTTTTAGTTTTATAATTTATCATGTAACAGTTGATTTAATGTCAAGACAGAAAATGAAATAAAATACTTTTTAAAAATATTTTTATTATTTATCATAATATCGAGATACGTATCGTATCGTGCTAATATATCGAGATACGTATCGTATCGCAAGATCTGTGTATCGTCCCACCCCTAGAGTTAATGCGAAGTAATTTAATGCGCAGTAAATTAATTCAAATTCAACTTATTCGCATTAAATTCTTTGTGTGAACTAGTGATGGAACGATTGTCGCCGACAATCGATTGTCGGTCGTTAGAAGCTCTTCGATGCTACTAATCGATTATAAAATAAATGTCGCCGACATCGCTAACAAAAAATTAGATTGTCATACTTTAATTTTATTACCAAATCCAAGTGCAAAGAGCATAAAAGTAGTGATAAATGTTGAAAACATGGAAGGATTCCGTGTCTTGTTGATACTTTTACCGCCATGATTAAATATGGGGTTAGACTAAAACCAGGAAACGGTGATATTGCAAGGTTTTACTATACAAAGGAAAACATAATTAGTCTAGTCAGTCTTTAATTAAACGTAACTATAATCATAAATACAAGTCTTACTTCTGGATAACTACTTTTAAAACTTGCAATTTTAACTAATTAAAACTAATTTTAAGAAATAAATACATGTATTAAATAAAAGTTGGGACTAATATCAGTAAAATACCCATTGCATGGACTTTATAAAAAAAATAAATTCCATTTCTGTTTCAATAGTTCTACATTGTTTAAAGTGAACAAAATATCATTTTCCACATTTAAAAAAGAAATTTCAATTAACATTTTTGAATATTTTATGTTAGTATATGATTTTTGTGTAAAAGTCTGACAGAAATATGAATAAGTTTTAACATTTCTATATTAATTTCATTAAAGTTAAAAATTTCGATTATAATCGATTATTAATCGATTATGCCCAGCCGATTTTTACCTATAATCAATTCTGATTTTTTTCCGATTCCCCATCACTAGTGTGAACGCTAAGTGAAGCTAATTCGCTGTAACTTTACGTTTAATTAAAATTTAACTCCCCGTGTGAACAAGGCACAATATTATTTCATATGGTGGTTGTTTTCTCCATATTCACTAAACTTACTGTACGTAAACCCACTTCAATTCCTTTTAAATCTTATTCATCTTGAAATATTTCTTCACCTTTGAAGTGGGTAGTGGCATTTCCATGCATGTCTGATTTCGCTGCCGTATACTACCTAAATAATTTAAAAATTATTTAGAGATAATATACGATACTTAAACGATGTTCACTGAAAACAAATCATTGAATTTGAAGCCATCTTAATTAAACTTAAGGACCACAAGTCAATACTCAATAGGTAAGAACAGCTGTGTACCAGGTCACTAATTACTCCGTATACACAGCCATAGATAGAATGTTCTATCGTTAAAATGATATTGTCCTACTGAGGGCTTGTCCCGAGACACAGTTAGATTATTCTAACTAACACAGCCACAGGCGATAACGGGTGTTTTACAGGTGTTGATGACGATACCGTACCGTATGCATATTTAAGTTATTTTTCCATCATCATGATCATGTTTTTCAAGTTTTTATAAAAATATGTACCTTGAAATAAGAAAAAAAAATCACATCCGAGTAACGAGTACAAATTTTTAGTAGTCGATATTCGGACGTTCGATCGAGTACTCGGTTAAGCAGGTACTCGTTGACATCCCTAACTTTTAGTAACTGTTTTCTTTACGATTTTTGTTGTTCCAGACGTCAACCCATTACCTTATACTTCCCGCCATGGATGTGATAAAATTTATTTGAATGTCGAACCCGATGCGAAATAAAGCAATGCATTCTGGGTACAACAGATGAATAAGTTGACGCCATGTTAAAAAATAATTTGCATACTTTTTGTTTTGAGGTAAAGTGTTGATGGTTTATGACAAATTGAAAAGACACAACACAAATCGATGCAACTCGAGAGTTTTCAGAACACAATGGAGATGCTCTGATCGCCTTAACTGACTGTCGATTGTGTATGGCGGCGGCTGATCAGAACGTCGACCTACTCCAGGCAAAACACAAAATCAGCTGATCTCTACAATGGATACAAATAATTAACAATATTTGTGACAGATGATTAATGGGTTTGAACTAACTTTTGTTTCCTATAGATGACAAGGCTCTCTCGGGCTGTCTGTCGCCAGGTGCTATGGACGCGGGAGATCGGGAGCAGGCTGCTGGCGGAGAGTCGGCCCCGCTGACCATTGACGACTTGCCGGCTTTTTACAGCTCTGACGAGTTAGAGCAGTTGGCGGGTCAGATTTCCCAGTCTCTGGAGCAGGAGCAGTCAAAGGATCACCCTGGAGTATTTCCTGTGCCCAGTTTTCCGGAGGTGTCCTCCTCTAGACGTGTGTCGACAGAGGCGCGTGCCTCCACCCTCCCCACTCCCAGCTCTCCCCTGCACAAGTCAGTGGCAAAAGGTACACTTTAGTCTTCTCAAGTTCTTATATTTGTAAAGTTTGATATATATAATTGGATAATGCTGTAGACTAGATAGAATTTTCTGTCAGAAGAATAATATCATCTTATGGATTAGTCTGAAATATCTGCTGTTTTCCAGGCATTTTCACAAATTTGCACAAATTTAATATTTTATGTGCCAGGAAAACGTCAGAACTGGCATCATTACGAAAACTGCAAATTTCACAATCTCAAACCAGAGCTCATTTTTTAATACTTGCAAACCGAACTAAATGCCGAAATCAGAATTTATTGGAAACACAATTCCTCTAGTACTCACCAATATCGATGGATTTCTGTGAACAGTCAGTATGTGGTTTTAAGGAGTCATGGCAATTGATATTGACCTCAGACACAGAAAGTGATAACGACCTCACAGGCTCGGTTGCTTTCACTTTCTGTGTGTGAGGTCAATATCAATTGCTATGAGTCATTATAACCATATATCGACCTACACTGAAGTCCATAATTGTATAATATCAACTCGAGAATGCCACCTTCCGTTGGAAACTGGAGACAGCGATTTCCCAGTTTTGTAGTGGTGTTGATTCTGACGTTTTCCTATCACGTAAAATATCAAAATCATAAAAGTGTCTGAAAGATGTCAGATATTTTGGATTACCTATGGATCAGCAATGTTGAGAGAACAATTCACAGTCTAGAAAAATGGTGTACCTGTTGCAAGAGTTGGTCCTGTTTAAATTTTGATGGGTTAATTATTAGGTAGTGTGGGTATCGCGACTGAAAAATCGTATCGCGATATATTGCAATATTATATTTTGTATTGCAGTATATCACAATATAAAATATTTAATAATTTTTGCTTTTTGTCAATGTTAAATTAAAACACAAACTCAAATTAGTACATGTTATTCTCGAGTTGATATTGCAAATTGCCTGATCGCGTTATGTTGGCGCAAGTGGCAAGCTAAGTTTTTTTGTGGCACAACTTGTTGAAATTAATCGAGTTGTAAAATTCAGGTTCAGCTTCAACATGAAGGGGTTTCATTTACAGTTGTTGTCGTTTCGTTTTTGAAAGAAACATGTCTCTGGTTTCTGATCACACTTCACTTTGCTTGCCGACATATTTTACCTTAAAAAGGGCAAATAACTCTTTTTATAACAATTTATAGCATATCGAACCTGAAACGGTATTCAGAAAAAAATACCGCGATACGTATTGTGAAGAACAAAATCGGGATACACTGGTTAACCGGTAATATTGCACAGCACTACTATTATTATCTGCCAGTTTATCATGTTAATAGCATTTCTTTTAGTGTGCAGAGTTGAGGGTTCCAATCCAACTGCTTGCACAGTTGTGATCCAAACGTTACAATTTATGTTGTAAGATTTAAAAATCTGTAGCCTAGGAAAAGGTTGTCCATATATTTATGTATATGAACAGAGATAGCAATATATTTAGCTTATGTTTAAGATGAGCTATCTGGCTTGGTCTTTCAGACCCTTGCTTACAGTATCATTATTAGACTTAGCAACATTTACGGAGTTGTGGAAAACTGCCGGTCATGCCGGCAAAACCGACAAAAAAATCGCATGACCGGTAAAAATGCTATCAGTGTCGGTCCAAATGTCCGGCCCCCTCTTTTTGTTAAAGCTTTTTGTTTTTCTATTTATTATCTGTGAATTTCCCTTCTTAATTGTTGTACCTTATATGCGATTGCGTAAACCTTTTCTTTTAACGAGATCGAGGCTGTAAATGAAAGCGAAACTGGCATGGTTCTCGTGACCTATTAAATTTAAATGCAACTGGGGCAGAATTAGATAGAAAACATATCAAAGTAAAAAATAAAGTTATACGAGCTAAATATGAAAAATTTCAACAGAAAGAATGCAAGCACAGGTGGGGAAAGCAGTAAATCTAGTACTCCCGACTGTCCGGCATTTTCGTTTTTTTACCAATCGTTTATTGATATCTTTATTATCGATGCAAAGAATTTTTGCAATTTCTAGACCCATTCTCTAGGTTAATATAATTCCAAAATGCATAAATGTTTAAAAAAAAAATTACCATCCAAAAAGCGATGGTATCTAGTATTGTTATAAATGCAAAATTAAAAGAAAACGGAAGAGGACTTGGAAATGGAGATTGAATTTTGTATCATTATTAACATGATTTATTAAAAAGATTGTGTTATAAAGTGAATAAATATTAAGTTTTTTTTTTCATTTTGTGACTTACTATTTCGGACCGACAAAACTCACTTCGGACTGGCTTATTTTGTTTTCTTGTCGGTCCAAATGACCGGCTATCTGAAAAAGTTTTCCTTAACTCTGCATTTAGTTATAATTTAACAAAGTTCACAGACTGAGCAACATGAGCTCGAGTTTGTTTGCAGCAACACAAGTTAGGCTTTATGAAGCAACATGAGCTAAGTTTTATATTAAGGCTAATAAGCAATATACTTGGTGAGTTTATTTTCAGACTTAGCAACATGTCAGAGATAGGTTTTATATACAGAGTGAGAAACATGAGTTAGGATTTGTTTACAGGCTGAGCAACATTAGCTATGTGTTGTTTAATTCAGACTGAGCAACATAATCTAGGTTTTATTTTTTGACTGAGCAACATAAGCCAAAGTTTGTTTACAGACTGAGCAACATAAGCTAAAGTTTGTTTACAGACTGAGCAACATAAGCTAAAGTTTGTTTACAGACTGAACAACATTATCAGGGGTTTCTTAGAAACTGAGTAACAAAAGCTAGGGATTGTTTACAGTCTAAACAACATTAGGAATGCCTCTTGTTTAAGCAATATAGATAAATGATAAACTTGACCGAAAATTTTTAAGATTTTGAATTTAACATTGAAAAGCTGCATTTCATTTGATAATTAATATTAATTAATCACTAAAATTATGGCAGATTCAGCATTTTTCAAAGGTTTTGAGGGTACAAGTAACCTTGAGGGCTACATTCCTAAAAATTGTAAGAGCAGGGAACATTTAAAAAGTAGAAGGGTGACTGGGGATCATCTCTTTACAGGAAGTAGGGAATCCCAGAATAACCAGGGGAGTACATCATCAAAATGGGGGGGATTTCCTGATCACTGGCTGTTAGGGACAATCCTGTGAAACCTAAATTTAAATGTGTGCTTTTAATCAATTTAATGGTTAATGTGTAAGTATATACTGAGGTATATATTAACAGCAGTTATATTGGTATGGATGGTATAGATGGTTTTTATATGATAAAAAACAGAAAGAAAAGAAATGTTATTCTGACTTCATTATCATTTCTTTGTTTGGGGTGGGATGGGGTGGGGTATCCAAATTTTTTTGAAATTCAGTAAACACTTTCTTGTTGAATGTAGAAAGCAGTGCATGAGTATGATTAGACTTGTTTACTTGATCATGTTGATTACCTTTGATACATGGTATATTTAAGTATTCAGTCTATTTCAAATTAAGTCATCTCCCTATTATGTTAATAAAATATTCCTGTGTCTATTTTGGAAACTTATGATAAATGCTAAAACACATGACATTTGATGGTAGTTGATGGTAGTGACAGGATTTATAATTGTGTCATTGCACTCCCAAGTTTCACCGTTAATAGTACATTGACCTAAAAATTGATTTTCATAAAGAGGAAACATTTTTTTCCCTTACAATACTATTTTTTGTATGTAATTTGCGGTCTATCAATTGATCAAGTTTTTATGAGTTTATCAGATTTGGTATATGGCAGGATATGGGGTAATAGTGATCTCCAAGTTTTTGTAAAGCCAGGGATAATTAATGAAGCCCATTAAAATGTTTTAATGTAAATTACGGTACAGTTGTTGGTGTTGGTAGCAGAAGTTATTGAACTTTGTGCACTGAGACTTAATTTACGTAATATTGACTGAAATCTAGGTCAGGGTGTGTTTTAGTGTTTGTAAATCGTGCAGGCATTGAAATGGGCTTGGTGTAAAATGCGGAGGATGGAGTCTCCACAAAACTCCAAAATGGAGGGTCAGAGGGTGCAAGGGGTGGAGTCTCTTGTGTAAGATGATGCAGGAGGTGGAGCATAGTGCTTGTTGTAAATTTAGCACGTGCTTATTAGATCTGTCATCTCATTTTCTGATACCCCGTGAGAACGTGTTAGAGTGTTACATTACCCAAGCAATTAAAAAAATTCCATTGAAGTTGAGGGAATGAAACTCAGTTATATCTCCGAACCTGATTTTGTGATGACCATTTGACAGTATCTGATGACATTTGTTTATAAAGTCCATAAAATACTAAATGAGAAACAAAGAAACAGGAAACGTAAAAAAAAATAACACCACATTTCAATGTGGGGAACAGCTTTGCTGATTTTTTTAAGATAACAGAGACTGACTGAAACAGAATAGCATCAAAATTATTATCTTTTGGTGATATTATATACAGATATATGTAAAAAGACTGATATGTAAATAAAGGTGTCAATGAATATCGGCCTCATTACAAAACACCTATTATCATCTGAAATATCTGATTGCTGTCAAAGACACTGTCCGATGTTGGAAATGTGCCGTGATGTCATTATTTACTCAGAAATACATGTATTATCCATATTATCTACTGCACACAAAAACATTTTAGAAAAATTAAAAATAATTAGTTTATAAATTCAGTAAATGAACTGATTGTTTTATTAGAGAACTCTGGCCATTAACTCTTTTTATTTTATTTTATTGTTCTAAAAAGAATGAGAAACAAGCAACATGATAAAGAAATGACCTATAGATATGAGAAACAAATGAGGGGCATGCAGCCTGTGCTTTTGATTTAAATTTTGTTTTGCGATATAACAGATGATAAGTGCAATGGAAACTGTCTGATTCACACTGCTATCTCGCAGTAACCCATGAGGTCTTGACAGATTTTATTAGTATAGGTATCAAATATCCGAAGGACAAAATGTTAAAAACTTCTAGGGAAAGATAAAAAAGAATATATGTTAGTGTACAGAAGCAAATTTGTCCCCTCATTTGTTGTTGATATAACTGAAAGTCATGTTATCTTTTTTTTGTTGCTAAATTTCATTTTCAGTTGTCATTTAAGTGTATCTTCTTTTTGTGGTTTACACATATACAGAAGCTTTTGCAGCTTTTACAGCAATGTGAAATATACTTTTTAATTGTTGATAATTTGCAGACAAAGTGATCTGCGATGTGTAATGCATGACATAATTATCTGCAATAACATTTTTAGGACATACCGGTATCTAGACTCAATAATTAATTCTGACAGGCACTTTTTATCACTGATGGAGAGCTCTACAAGCAACCCAGTAGTATTCAGTTTCTAAAATGATTGAAAGATAAAACGGGCAAATAAATTAAAATTGACACAAGAAGCTCCACCCCTTACACCCTCTGACCCTCCATTTTGGAGTGATTGTGGAGACTCCATCCTCCGCATTTTACACCAAGCCATTGAAATGACTGTTATCAAACTCTCAAAGATAACAGCTCTTTTTGTCGAGTTAAATTTCCTTTTTAATTCCATAAATGGTGGTAGCCACAGAAAGAGGTGAAGGCCAACCCCTAAAGAGTCCCAAATCTAGTTTATCATATAAATATGACACCCTGATATTTATTTAATGATACAACAGCATGAACAGAGAATAGAATTTAAAACTCATTAAGGGACAGCTAATATATTATTACATCATTATAATTAATGTACTTGCACTTTGATTTAGAATAAATGTACAATCCAAAGTACATATATAGAATAAATGTAGAATCCAATGTAACATATATCATATATATCTATATATAGATTGACTTATATGCACTAAGCAGGAAATGCTGAAGTTGACCCTGACAGAGTGAGAGGCATTAAATCTGTAGTTAATACAGCTGTAGATATGATGTGTGAGGCGCTGTACGACTGTCATTACACCAGGGCGCTTCATAACATGATCCTATTCACTGTTAATCAATAACCCTGACTCTTCCATTCATTTAAAACATCACCTATCGTACACATTAACCCCAGACAAAAGAGAACGTTGAACTTAACTTTATCTCCGGGCAGAAGAAAACCATCTTCCTATTGGAATTAATATCTTTGATTATGATGTTTCTAGTACTTTATACTATAAGGCTTATATCGTGTATTTTTTTTTTACGACGTTTCTACATAATTCTGTACGTTATTTCATGTATTTTTTCCTTTTGATCCTAGATGAATAAACCAAAAAAGCCCCATATCATGAAGTTACTACTTAAAATTTTCTTTAAAAGTATTTTTCCCTTTTGGTCTATGAATGCTTGAAAGAGAAAATTTTAAGGAATTATTTCCCCCTTTTTTATTTAATAAACTTTCATTCTTCCTTCGTACTTACAGTATATGTACTGTAATCAGGTATAAAGGTCATTGACATTAAGTAGATGATTATATTAAACAACAACCATTTAAATCTTCCTTGTTAGACTTGTCTTAATTTCATAAAGTGCTCAATGAATAAAAACGCTGGTACATGCATATTGTATACGCAAACACTGATAGTTTTCTTCTCCATCATTGTACTGTACAGTAAAACTCGTTTAGTATGAACACAGATATTGCGAATTCACGGATATAGCAAAGTATCTTGGATCCCCAGCTATATAAATTTAACGAATTTCTTATACAGATATAATAAATTACAGATATATTGAAGTAATTTCATAGGTCCCAGTGACTTAGTTATAACCGAATTTTACTGTACATGCTTGTACATAAGAAGTTTATTCAGTCTTTTATTTATCGTAAACTTAATTTTCACCAAAGTTAATTCCTAGTCTCTCTGGTCAATCATTTGATGCCCCCAGTCCTTGTGGAAGAATTTCCTCTCTTCCACTTGTATTTATTCATCTTTTTAAGCCGACGTCAGTAACAAGTTAGTAAATATACAGAGGTGCACAAAGTTTACTTAAACTATTATTATAGTTATGCCCCTTTGAAGAAGGGAGGGCATATATTGCTTTGCTGTTGTCCGTCTGTTTGTCTGTTGGACCACAAACAGTTTTTGTTCATTTTCTTTGCAGAGGTTGCATGTGATGAAATGAAATTTGGTATTAAGTTTTATCATAAGAATATTTAGGTCATATTCTGCTTTGGGTACGAATAAGCAATTTTTGACAGACTTATCATTTGAAATCTTTTAGACATCTAAGTATTCTAGATATCAACATGATCAAGGATTATAGGGAATTCTTAAAGAAATTATATATTATAGATTTTTTAAGAAAATGAAAAAAAAAATTGCTCAGAGTCCACATGTTGAGCAGGGGAAACAGTCTAATGCACATGCATTATTTGGTACTTTTAATTTTGTACATGCATGCATAAGCTGCTAACTAACAAAAGAGGTAATGTAGCAGAAATATAACTATACTTTTAAATGTAAAGTAAATATCAGTAATGACAATTTTGAAAATGAAGCGGTAATGATACGCACCAGTATTTATGAATCATGATTCAGATCATAAAAAAGTTTAGTGACCTAGTTAACTAGTAAAGAAATGTATCTAGAGACTATTTTTCTTACTAGATATGGAGTAAGTCTAGCTGAGGAAATAAAATATGCTTCTCATTTATAATAATATTGTTAAACACACTAATGGAAAATGTCCTGCTTTCCCACTGCAGTATCTTAAATCTAGTTCTACTACAATATTTACATGGACATTTAAACTTCAAGTTTCATTTTGCAGATAAAACTTTTTTCCTATGGGTTTCCTATAGGACTAGAGTAGATTATCTTTCACAGTCGAGTAAAATTTATTACAATGTAATGTCAGCACAGAAAACATTTTTTAGATTGAATATCTGAATAAGAAGAGCTTCGCTCACTTTTCTTTCAGCTCAACTTAAAAGTTTTATGATACATCATTGTTAAAAATTAGATAACCCTTTTTGTTTAAAAAAACAAAAGTATGCATGCACTTTACAAACCACTAACATTGACAGAATAAAATATCTATAAATATTTTGTATGTGGTTACTAAGACATATTATTTCTTGTTTATGTAGAGGACCAGGCGGGGAACATTCAGGCGGCTGCAGACTCCAACAGCCAGAAACAGTTTGTCCCGTGTAAGGTATGCGGTGACCGCGCCTCGGGGTTCCATTACGGAGTCACTTCCTGTGAAGGTTGTAAGGTGAGGTCAAGGTCAGGTATTATATTAATGTGTTTCTATGGAGACACTTCTTGTGCAGAAAGTGGGGGGTTGGCAGTCAGAATTTAAAAATGTTTATTCAGAGACACTTCTTATTATAAACATACTTGTATGGAACTTCTGTGAAGGGTGAAAGGTCAGATATTTTAAACAAGTTTGTACAGTTCTCTAGATACATATATCTTAAAAAATCCAGATCTGTTAAAAACGTGTACAAACACACTCCTCCTGTGAGAGAATTTACAGACATCACTGTAAACTATGGAGTAACCAATAGATTGAAGTATGTTTTGTATTTTCAGGGATTCTTTCGGCGTAGTATACAGAAGCAGATTGAGTACAGGTGTTTACGAGACGGGAAGTGTATGGTGATACGACTTAGTCGCAACAGATGTCAATATTGTCGATTTAAAAAATGTCTGGCAGTGGGCATGTCCCGAGACTGTAAGTAGCCGGGGAACTTTAATTCTCTGGTTTCTGACTAGATGGAATATTCAAAGTACATTTGTTGATATGTCATATCATATATATTTAGATGTAAGACTAAGAGATTTAAAAGACCATATTTTTCTTTCCTCGTCACAATTATACAGCTTTAAATAGAAATGGTGAACTGCGTTTGAAAACTAGCAGGGACTATATTTTTGGCGGAATGGTGGCGTATGAAAATATCTTCTTTTCTGACGCTCAAAATTATCATAGAACATTGAATTTACATATAATTTTTAAGCAATCAAAGACTAGACGAAATTTTCAATTGTAAGTTAAATTAATAATAAGGGACTAAAGTTTCAAAATATATCAAATAAATAAGATTTTTAGCTCACCTCAACGAAGTTGGGGGGAGCTTATGTGATACCCTCGGCGTCGGTGTCGGCGTCGGCGTCCCGGGTTAAGGTTAAGTTTTTTGGAGCAGTTTTCTTTTTAAGTACTTCTATGTCCTATATTGATTAGACATGCATGGAAGATGTTGCTAGTGTGTTTCATTGTACCAGTCAAAGTTTCAGATGCTGCAATTTCAGCAAAGGAATGACCAGGTTAATGTTTTTGGTGCAGGTTAACATTTTTGGTGCAGTTTTTGGTGTAGGTCTCATTTCCGAGTAACTATAAGCCCTATGTTGACCAAACTTACATGGATGATACATCTTAGGATGCATACTACCAGCCTTGCTTCGGATGCTGAATCTGACCTACATTTTCCGGTTGAGTGAACAGGTTAAAGTTTTTGGTGAAGGTTTCATTTCGAAGATACTTTGAGCCCTATGATGACCAAACTTGCATGGATGGTACATCTTAGGATGTATTCTACTAGACTTGCTTCGGATGCTGAATCTGACCTTCATTTTCCGGTTGAGTGAACAGGTTAAAGTTTTTGGTGCAGGTTTCATTTCCAAGTTACTATGAGACATATAATGACCAAACTTACATGGATGATACATCTTAGGATGCATACTACCAGCCTTGCTTCGGATGCTGAATCTGACCTACATTTTCCGGTTGAGTGAACAGGTTAAAGTTTTTGGTGAAGGTTTCATTTTCAAGTTACAGTGTACTATGAACCCTATAATGACTAAATTGCATGGATGGTACATCTTAGGATGCATACTACCAGACTTGCTTCGGATGCTGAATCTGACCTACATTTTCTGGACGAGTAAATAGGTTAAAGTTTATGGTTCAGGATTCATTTCCAAGTAAGTTTGAGCCCTATAATGACCAAACTTGCATGGATGGTACATCTAAGGGTGCATTCTACTAGGCTGGCTTCGGATGCTGAATCTGACCTACATTTTCTGGATTAGTGGAAAGGTTAATTATTTTATACAGGTTTCATTTGCAAGTAACTTTAAGCCCTATGTTGACCAAACTTGCATGGATGATACATCTTAGGATGCACACTAATGGACTTGCTTCGGATGCTGAATCTGGCCTACATTTTCCTGATAATAGACCTCGTAAAAGTTATGGGTGCAAGTCTATCACCAAGAAACTATAAGGCTTATATAAACCAGTTGCTTAAATGATGCATCAAGGGATGAAAACTCTCAATCTTGCTTCAGATGCTGGATTTTAATTACATTTTCATGATGAAGAACTAGTTTTTAGTTTTTATATAGGTCTATTCCAAAGTATCAAAATTGCATAAATTTTGCATTTTTGGATGTACACTTTTTGTTGGTTAATTGTGTGACTTAATTTGCCTTACTTAAAGACAACACACGTTGAGGTGAGCTCTGTAATCTCTGATTACCTATGTTTAATACATACTAGAACCATGTTGGCTTTTAAATGCTTCAAATCTAAGTACAGATTTGAGCCAAAAATTCGTAAAATATGTTATTTCTCTTTTAGTAAACGATCAAAACGTTTAGTTTTCTTTACTATATGTGAAAATTGGAAAAAGTTAAATATAGGAAGCATATAAAAATAACTAATAAATCCTAAGAATTTAAGAAAAGTAGAGGAAATTCGGATTAGCAAATATCCATTTTATTTAAATTATCCATGTCAGTTTGGTAATATCATCTTATAGGCCCTATATGGTAGTATCTTTTTATGCAAAAAGAAAAACATTCAATCTTTTGAATTGTAAGTAGGGATCGCATGATTGGAAACAGTAATTTTTTATTCTTCATGTCCAGGAAAAAGGTAATGACCTTGACCTGACCTTGCCTCTAATATTAAACGGTCAAATTTAATCTCACTGATATCATCACTTAGTGATATTGTCCTCTTGATTCTGTGAAAATTTCATTAATTTTTAAATACAAGAAATGTGAGAAGAATCCTACCTTAAAACAAAACAACAGAAGTAACAGAGAATAATTTTTACTATTCATGTAACTATTTTACTTCTAGCTAATTAATGCAGGAAAGACATTCTTATGTTTATACTTTAAAGTGCATTAACAAGGACAGTTTACATGAAAATTTTTCTTGTTAATGCACTTTGAAGTAAAAACTTAAAGGGGCATGGATACATTTTCAACTGAATTTTTTTTTTTTACCAATTTTAATTTCTGCAGTTCCTAACTAAGGCAATTCTAATGATCAGCAAAAATTTGAACATCATTTGTTTACAAAGGAGATACAGAACTGAGAATTCTTCATAATGTAAACAAGGCTCGTGCCTTGTTTTTGTTTATATTTAGAAAATATCATGTTTATAACAAAATGAGATTCTGCAAATCATTAGAAAATGTCTAATTGTATTTAAAATTAACTTCTTTATTGAAAAAATCTGCTTTGATGAACACATATTAGCATGTTTAACCGATGTAAACAAAAACATGGCTCGGGCCTTGTTTACATATCAAAGGTTTGGAGCTCTAAATCTGTCTTTTAACACGACAACTGAAATTCAAAAATTTGCTGATCATTAGAAATACCTTAGTTAAGTATTTGTAAACATAAAAAATGGTATGAAAATTTTTGGCTGAAACTGTGCCCAGGCCCCTTTAAGAATGTCTTGACTGTCATTGATACACTGTGAAGGGATAACATTTTGATCTCCATTCAAACTGTGACAGAATTAACATTTTTATTCATTGAATAAGTTAAAGTCTTTCAATGTTAAAATGTGATAAATGATGACATTCTGTCTAAAGATTAATAAGAGCTGTAGTTTTTACTTCCTCTTAAGAGACTACTCCTTGTAACCCAGTTTTATTTAACAACTAGTCTGTAAACAAGAAGAAGATTGTCTGGAAATGAAAAAAAATATGCCTTCTATCTCTAAATGAGTTCCTTATTTTAAATAGATAACATAGATAACATTTTTCATGTATTTGATAGCTGTCCGCTATGGCCGTGTTCCTAAGAGATCAAAGAGTCAGGATGACAGCAGTGTGAGTTCCACAGACTGTAACATGGACCAGTCAGCTCTAGAGAACAAACAGCTAGCCATCTACGACATCATCCTGAACATCTCCCAGGCCCACCACACCAACTGTCTGGTCACCGAGGACAGGATAAAGAACCTGACCAGGAAACCCTCCTCACTGGTAGGTATAAACATCTCCCAGGCCCACCACACCAACTGTCTGGTCACCGAGGATAAAGAACCTGACCAGGAAACCCTCCTCACTGGTGGGTAAACATCTTAGTTCACCGAGATAGAAATTTGTATATGTATTACTGTAAACAATATCACATCAGTGAGATAATGTTTTTCACTGAAAAAAAAATATGTCAAATCAGTGAGCTAAAAATGATTATAACTGAGAAAAATGTCAACTCAGTAAGATAATTGTATATACACTACGCAAGCCTCATTGACAATTCAAATGAAAAAGAAAATGGAGTTTGTAGGAAACCAAGTAACTTAATTGAACAAACACATGTCGGTGGATATCTTTGAATTGAAGCAGAGCACATTACTGATTTAATTATTATAAATCCTTCTTTCAGATGCAACAGATTTCCATTCCTTCCACACCCGTTCAGTTTATTATAAATCCTTCTTTCAGATGCAACAGATTTCCATTCCTTCCACACCCGTTCAGTTTATTATAAATTATTCTTTCAGATGCAACAGATTTCCATTCCTTCCACGCCCGTTCAGTTTAGTGACGAGGAGCTGGAGGCCCAGAAGTTATCCATGTGGCACTGTCTGGCGAGCTTCATCACCCCCGCCATCAACAGCGTGGTGGAGTTCGCAAAACGGGTCCCAGGTAAGGAGTCGTTAACATTGTCTGTGTGTCTGTCTGGCGGACTTCATCACCCCCGCCATCAACAGCATGGTGGAGTTCGCAAAACGGGTCCCAGGTAAGTAGGAGTCATGAACATTGTCTGTGTGTCTGCCTGGCGGGCTTCATCACCCCTATCATCAACAATGTGGTGGAGTTTGCTAAACGAGTCCCAGGTAAAATTGTCTGTCTGTCTGTCTGGCAGGGTTCATCACTCCCACCATCATCTACAGTTTGGTGGAGTTCGCTAAATGTGTTCCAGGTAAAATTGTCTGTGTGTCTGTCTGTGTGTTTGTCTGACGGGCTTCATCAGTCCTGCCATCAACAAAGTCACATAAAAAATTGTCACTGAAATACTGATATTAAAGAAAGAATGATTCCATGAGATCAGTCTCGGGTCACCTGTAAGGACATGTATAACAACTCACCAGTAGAAAAATTTGATGATTAAATTGATGTGTTCCTTGAAAATCATCAAAAGGCTGATATAAGTATATATGGTACCCTATATTGATGAGCTCAAGGGATCATCAGACAGAGCAGCAATAATCATGCAGGATGAAGGTTATAAAGATTTTAAAAATCCAGTTAAAATCAGGTTTAAATAGAGCAAATGAGAGCTTTGTAGGAATGGCCATATAAATATTCAATAATAAAGATCATACATAGTAGAGGTCATATATAGTAAAGGTCATATAGAATCAAGTCACATAGAATAGAAGTCAAGGTCAGCAATCCAGTCAGAAGTGTAGTCTGACATCGACCAAACTTCAGAAATCATTAACAGTAAGACGTGTAGACTGTAAACCTCCTTACACTAACAGATAAAAGTAGAAATGATATCCATATCTGAAATGTTTTCTTTGAAGAGTTTAGAATAGACTGAACACACTTTCCTGGTTTCTCCAGATATATGCACCTTTACAACCTGGTAGTTACATTCGACCTTGGGGTTAAAATAGTATTCAAGTTACACAAAATCAATGATAAATGCTGGTAGCTCTATTATCTTGTTAGGCCATTCCAAGTTTTCTTTATGTTTAGCGTCTGCGTGCGCCTTGGTTTTTGAAACCCCATATAAGAAAAAACACACAACATCAGGAGTCCTGAAATTGATTAATTAGGTCAAATTTTTTTTAATTTTGTCAATTTCTCCAAATAATTCTGTACAGTAAGTTATATTGGGTGTATTTTAAGCATTTAATCCCTTGTTTTTGCTTAAGAATAGATATTTCTTCTATTAAAGCAGTTTAGTTAGATCAAATCATTTGAAGGGCTTCATTTTTATGACTTTTAAGCCTGTATTTTATGATTTGGCTTGCGTGTTTTTTGCGAATAGGTAGGTAGGTTTTTGAAAGATGGGTGGACGCTAAACAGAGAAAAAACTTGGAATGGCCTTATTTTAGAAAAAAAAGAATCCCCATATCCTTGATGTAATTATATTGGTGGTTAGAGTCATTATTAAAAATCCACATCTGTTAATGAGGTTAATGACCTGAGTCACTGACCTCTAACAAAGGGACCACAGGAAATTGTGTGAATCACAGAACCGGGTGGTCTTCTGTCTGATTTGCTTAAAATACTTTTAAGAATTCATGGAAACTTTCTTGTTGACAATTCCATTAAATTAATCTTTGTCTTGTGCATTGAAATTTTGAGATGCAGGATGAAAATAGATCAGACTAGATGGGTAATTGTGCGTATGTACAGATGTAATTATTAAATTGGGGCACCACCAGAGTCTGATTCATAGTTTATTGACTGTATGCTTACTTCTGTAAATGGTCACATACCACAATAATCTTTTCAATATCTGTAAGTATGTGGGACATACTGATTGACAGACAGAGGAACAAACATGGACTGCCAGATAAAAGGTAACCTGTAGTATCCTTGAGCTTCATTTCATCAGTAGGGGACTTGCAAGTTTGTAACATACATGTGTTGTATAAAAGAGTAGGAAGAAAAATCTACATTCATACACCATGTAATATTTGGTCCTTGTTTTCCAGGCTTTCCAGAGCTAAATCAGGACGACCAGCTGATTCTGATTAAGTGTGGATTCTTTGAGGTCTGGTTAACGCGGATGGCGCGGATGTTTAACAGAGGCGAGGGCTGTCTGACATTTGAGGACGGCAGTATTATACAACGTGAGGAGTTAGGGGTCGTCTTCTCGGTAAGCTCCTACTTTTATAGTACGAGTTAAGCTCCTACTTTTATAGTACGAGTAACCTTCTCTCAATCCTTAGTTTAAAATTGTTTTTTCATGCACTGTACAATTTCATTTCATAGTATTGCAAGCAGTGAGAATCTGGCATGGGCCAGTTTTACAAAAGAACTTACGACAAAGACTAAAAATTTCTGTTGATTGTAAAATTTTGTCCAATTTATTTTGAAATGGCTAGCATAAAAATATACAGTGGAGCCTCGTTTATCCGGACGCTTTTTTTCCTAGATAATTTGTTTGGATATGCAAAGTGTCCTGATGCCTGAATTACTAGTTAAACAAGACAAAATAAGGTTTAAAAAATTACGTTCTGATGAAAAGTCGTCCGGATATTGAAGCATCCAGATGTCTGGCGTCTGGATTCTTGTAAGATAGAAAAATATATGCAGAATTAAAATTAAATTAAATTGGCCCCAGCTCTTAAACTTGATCTGTCGTAGTTATCACATGGGTGTCATTTTTTTCTGAATAAAAGAAGATATGATGAGTTGTGATAAGATAATTTAGAGTGGAGATTTTTCTCTTTCAATGACTTTATGTGTTCTTTGTGATTGTAGCCTGACTTTGTGAGCTGTATGTTTGACCTGGCCCAGAGTTTGAACCAGTTAAACCTGAACGACACGGAGATCGGGCTCTTCTGTGCCATTGTTCTGGCCACACCAGGTTTGTCTTCTTGTAGAGCAGGGGGAGATAATCAGATTTAACTTTACTTCATGAGATTGATCTTATATACAATAATAACCAAAACCAAATTAATTGTAAAGTATGCCATATCAGACCCATATTTTACGCTCCTAAATATTTTGGTAATAAAACTAAACTTGCACATACTGTACATGTAGATAGGAATTGACTCATTTTGATCAGTTCTTGGATATCACAAAGGATATTCATTCCATGAGGAAAGTGTAGTTTTAATACTTCAGATCTTAATTATCTTTTTAAAACCTTCTTCTTAAAATAGTTCTTAATCCTTTACAGACAGAAAAGGTTTGGAGAATTCTAAAGCAGTGGAGACGATTCAGGATCGGTTGATTGAGGCCCTGAAGCTGCAGATCTGTAGGAATCATTCGACAGAGGAGAACTTGTTTGGGACTACGATAGTAAAACTTCCTCAGCTCCGGACGCTGGGCGTCCAACATAACGAGATACTGGAGTGGTACCGCGCTCAGTGGAACAGAGTCAGGTTACCTCCCCTGTTCTCTGAAATCTACGACATCAGCAAACATGAAGAAGACATGTGAACTGTTCAATTATCTCGGGGAGAATTCATCAACTTTTGTTTCTGTGTATGAGTCAGTTAATTTTGTGTTATTTTACTTATATGTTTAGGAGATAGTTTTATTTGTTTACTGTTAAGTTTCTTTTATAGCTAATGCTAGTGTCTTTATGATGTGTTTTCAAAGCTTTTGTGATCTTTTAAGAATATTCTTCCATGAATCATTGTATGAGGTTGGTGTTATTCATCAATGACTTGGTGTGTACATATGTGTACACTACACCGTGCTTACTAGTGTTATGTTGCTTCAGTCATTTTAGTCTGTGAGAGAAATGTAATGCTTACAGAAGCCCTAAAATCTAGATTTATTTTATACATATATAGCAAAAAAACTTCCAAAAGTTCCAAGACAACACGAGATTTAGTAGAAAAAAACTTAGTTATAATGAAGTCACTGGGACCTGTGAAATTACTTCGCTATATCTGTAATTCGTTACATCTATATAAGGATATCATAAAAATTATATAGCTGGGGATCCAAGATAACTTCACACTATCAGTGAATTTGCAATATCCGTGTTCGTACTAAACAAGTTTTACTGTAGATATATTGAAGTTAATTTACAGGTCCACAGGGTTTCCATGTAATCAAGTTAAACTACAGTCAATTTTGAGAGATCTATTATTACTCAATTCAAAATCAAATATCAAAAAAGTTTGTGTATTTTGGGGAAAAAAAGATATTAAGAATATTGGTTAATTTTGATTTGACACACATGAATAAATTTTACAACAGTGTCGGGGCTTTATTATGAGTTGCAGTTTATTATAACAGTAAGACTAGGATGACTGAAACCAAAAAATACAGCTATTTCAGGGTTTGTCTTTGCAGATGTGAACAAGTATTTTTCATATTTATATATTAAGGAGGCTGGGGGGTCAACAAATTAACAAAAAATTAACCACCAGATATAACTTAAATTTTTAGATATGATATCTCTAGCTGTCAACTATCATTTGACAAAGAAAAATTTCATACATATTAGTTTTAAAATTTGATCATTTTTGTATATCTTTATATGGAGCTCTTCTTCTAAAGAAGATAGAAATAGTCTAAAAATGGCCACGGCCACCCAGCCTCTTTAAATCATAGTGTTTTTTTAATTTTGTTTTTATTTTTGTTTTGCAAAGGAGATAAAATCTTTGCTTTAAAAGCATTAATGTCATCCTTAAAGAGATGTCCTCAATATACATGTATGTACATAGTATCTTGCTCATCTATTTCACATATTTTCCATTTGTGCTTATTTACGTTGTATGTCACACCAAGTTTTCATTTCTTTATTTTTTAAAGAAAAGACCAGGCCAGTTGCTTTATACAATTCTTAACTTTCAAAATTTTATTTTATTTCCTGCAATGTGATTTTTTTTAATGCATAAACCTTCTGATGCCACCAGTTCACCAACAATTTGTCTTCTACATGTACTTGTAGATGTATTAATAGAGTTGACACATTTTTAAAGGTTTTGTTGTTAAGTTACTGTTGCAACATCTGTAAATGTAGTGAACTTTTTGTATGTATAAACAAGAGTGGTTGTTATGTACCTGTCTTATAATGGTATAGGGCACTCTCCATCTATCTGTGAAAAATTACATTTTCTGAACATTTTTAGCTATACTATGAGATGGAAATTTGAAACCCGAGTTTAATTTAAATTGAAGTAAACCATGATTTGATAGTTTTGTAACATTGATGCAGGCCAGATTTAGCAAGTTGTGTTTTGCATAAATTTTTTCAAGGTGTATATTTTTATCTCATTTGCTTTGATTAAATGCTTTTATGAAATATAATACATGTACAATATTTCAGTATAGAATTGTGCTGGCAAACTTGATTCCCGTATTTGTTAAATTTTTACTGTAGACTGTTTGACTTATATGGAGTTTTGTGACCTTCATTTTGTAGTTTGTCAGTTACATTTGTCCATATTTTTATGCTCAAGCCAAATTACAAGTTTTTGTCCATCATTTTTATTAGTTGTAAGTGAAGATAAAATGGAGCCACTGCCTCAGCTTTTGTACTGTTTGTCAGCTTCACTGTGTCGGGGAGGTACATGTATATATAGTAATGGGATAGGCAACTCTCACTATATATTGTAAATTGTGGGACTTGGAAAGTCTATTTGAAATATGTCTATTATGCTAGCAAATATTTCAGAACAAAAAACTTTATCTATGAATGAATGATTCAAGATCTATTCTTAGCTCTGTTTATAAATATATCTTATCTTAGTATAATTGTATTTTATTTCAAAATCAGTATATGCCACTGATCAGCCTTACATGTTCTTCTGAGAATTTGCCAAATTTGGTGGCGCTTTGTTTTATATTTTAACTTTTTGACAATTTATGATATAAAATATATTAATACAAATTCTTCTAATAAACCCCCTGCATAATTTATCAGAAAACAAACAGTTTTTTAATTGGGATAAATGTAGTTATGTGTATCTTTTGGGCAGATAAACATGATGCAGAAAAAGTTGCTTATCCCATTAAGGTAGTCCGATCCTCAGGTTTATAAAATTGGCAGTTAAGTAATCAAAAGTACTCATGAAAGTATCTCTGAATCCACAAAGTTATGTAAATTTTTCCACAGTATTTCTTTAAAGTTAAAGATAAAAGTTAATCATATTACATAGGGAAAATTGTTAAATATCCAATGCAATGTCAAGTTTTTAAAGACCTTTTCTAAGACTTCGAAAAGCCTTGAATATTATAAAGATGAATAAAATGAAAATTGTTGCATGAAAAAAAATTCATTTTCAAGCTTCATTTTGATGCATTTCAAATTTAATTTGAATTTTTGGAGTTATCTTTCCTAGCTGAGGATCGGATATCCTTAAGTATATACATCCCTGAAGGTGTCATATCTAAAAATAATTATATCTGAGTAGAAGATCACTCTATGTAATCCATGTACAAGACAGAGTAGGTTAATCTATGGTAAAAGTCACATGAAGAATGTTGTATGAAAACTGGACAAATATGTCTATTACACCTGACAGATGGATTTTCCTGTCTGTATTTGAGGTTGATATGTGTATCAACAAACAGGAATTACAACCCTAATTGTGCCATATATTGTACAGAGTTGTCTTTTTTATTTTATGAAGAATATACTTGTATGACCTTTTTTTTATGAATTTATATGTTAGTTAATGTCGTCCTCTGTTTTGATTGGTTAGAATGCTTGCTGCCCACTAGAGACACCTAGTGGCTGTGTGTACTAGCTTGTAAGCTTCTGTAGAAAAGGCCTCCAGTAGTGATCAACAATGAATGACTACAATTGTAATTAGTGCTTTCATTATGTATGTTAACTCTTTCTCTGTAAAATACCTTTTTGAACTGAATTGAAATTTTACACTCAGAAAACCAAGCCGGCCATCATTTAATTTTAAACTTGATTTTGTTTTTGTTTTTTTGTTTTTTAAAAACTTTTTTGGTTTTCAAAAATTAACTTTATTGACATTCTTGTAAATTTGGTTACAGTTTGAAGATAACAAAAATTCTCCTAGTGAAAGATATGTTCACTCAAACAACCACATTTTCTTTCAGTTTCATGAACATTGTATGCTTAATCTTTGACAGTGAAGTAGCAGAAATTTATTGATGAACTTTAATACAAAAGATGATTTTGTAGGGAAAAAGAGGAAAAACGGTAGAGAAAAAAATTAATGTATTTAAGGAATACAAATAGGTAATAGGAAAAAATACACATACATACAGAATGGCCACAGCTTTCACCTTACAGTTTATCACTGTTAGAGGAATATCTAGGGAGTGATGAAATTTCTTTACATTTTTATTACAAAAAATATCTGAGCTAAAAAATGATAAGACAAGATTGAGCGAGATAATCATGATATAAGGTTAAAAATTTTCTCCAAATTTGAACTTGAGTAACCTCTCATTTCTCTAGTTAATTTGACTTTAAAGTCCTCAGTTACTGTAAACGAACTGTTATTCGCGACAACTTTACAAGGGGTAAACTAGTTCGCGACGATTAATTTTCGTGATCAAGCCTTTTTGGATCTGTTGATAATAGACACAGAGACTTTAAGGACCGGTTCGCGGTGAGAAATATTCGCGATGACAAGGTTCTCGCGAACCTTGCGAAAATTTCTCGCACGCAAATAAAAGTTGGTTTACAGTATTTAAATTTGGAGTTGGTAAATAACTTGGTTACTGTTTTGAAATTTTAATACATTATTTTGATAATTTTTTCTGGTTACTGACTTTCCTTGGTATTAGTTTCAGAGAAGGAACTTTCTGTAAAATTGGCAACAGATGGGCTGTCATACACTTCTACCTCTCCCTTGTAGCATGTCATTTCATCCCCCTTTTGTTTTGGCCCTGTTTTTTTTCTACAGAATATGTGTAGGTCATTTTGTCTCCATTTTGTTTTGTTTCTGCATACAGGATTTTTCATCAATTTCAGGGATTTAATAAAAGTTTTTGTCTTTTCCAACATTAAATATATACAATAAAGAAGGTTATCTGCAAATATTTTACTTTTAATAAGTGCCAAATCTTCATTAGGAAGCATCCTTATCACGAGAAAATGGTTGCTAATGTTCAGTGAACTGTGACTTGAAACGGGTACTAGACTTTCTGTGTATGGAACCTAAGTGTTATGTTGGTAGACTCATTACTGCTGTTGTGGACTGGGCCTCTGTATGGTATACCTAAATAGGGCAATACATGTTGTTAGCTGTTTATGGCTTCTGGCACAAGGACAGAAACAAAATTCTGAAGGAGAAACTGGAATAAACAATCCTTGTCTAAATCAGAAGTAAATAGTTTATTGTAGAAAACCAGCTTTTCTCTGTGTTGTGTTGATTTGCTTTGTTGAATATAATTGACAGGTCAGAAAGTATATACAGTAAAAATGCTTTTCATTAACATTTAGAAAATTTAAGAGTTTTTTTTATATGTTTTACTGTATTTTTTTTTATTCAAACCTAATTGTATGACGGAAATTAATTTATATTTTGGAGCATCATTATAAATCTATTTTAAAATCTCCTAAATTTTATCTTGATCCAGATAGAAATTGTGACCTTTGGTATATTACTTGTGTCATTCTTGACCAAAGTGATAACAGATATATCTGTCCATGTACTTGTAGGTCTTATATTAGATAAACATCTTTATTATCGCTGGATTTTAAGAAAGGAATCATTTTTTCTTATAAATATACATTTTTTCCACAATAGTAGAATATGCATGACTTTTGCTTAATTTTTCAGCATTAATTTTCACTCCAAGAATTCTGTTATCAATAAAAGTCACAATACCAGATTGTTATATTCAGTTTTTAAAAAGGAATGCTTACTGAGTTTGAGTTAATTAAGCTGGTCAAATGGACAGAGAGGGTATTATTATATTTGGGTTTTCCGTTTCCCAGTCATAACAAAGAGTGACCGGTCTACAGTGGATGCTTACTCCTGTGTAGTACCTGACCCAACCTCTGATTTTCCGGGAGGTCAATTCGTGCTCCTAATTTATATTTGGTAAATGGACTTTGAGCCTTATTACTGTCTTTATCTTCATATTTCATCCATATCTTCACAAAACAAGTGGTTTATACTGCGTAGTCCAGAGCACATTTTTACCTGACGAATCTAGCAAGAAGAAAGTTTCCCAGTACATGTGTACATGTATAGACAAATCAGGGGCCCGTTTTACAAAAGAACTTACGACCTGAAGACCAACATCTCTACTTGTTAGTAGAATTTTACTAACAAACTAATTTTACTGTTTAAAATTGCTAGCATTAAAACATCTCTCTAAATCTCTCTAAATTCCTTTTTAAAAGATTAAAACCATTGCAATTCAATGTTAAATAAAAAATTTAAAGGCAGAATCAAATTTTGGTTTTAGTCATAAGTTCTTTTGTAAAGTGGGTCCCAGGGTAGAAAGTTTCCTAGTGTAGACGAGTATGGGCAGAAAGTTTTTTATTCTTAGCAGGAAGTTTCCTAGTGAAGACGAATCTGGGTAGAAAGTTTCCTAGTGTAGACGAATCTGATTCCTAGTGTAGTCGAAACTGATTCATACTGTAGACGAATCCTAGCAGAACGTTTCCTAGTGTATACGAATCTGAGCAGAAAGTTTCCTAGAGTAGACGAATCTGAGCAGAAAGTTTCCTAGAGTAGACGAATCTTGAATTAGCAGAAAGTTTCCTAGTGTAGACGAATATGGGTAGATAGTTTCCTAGTGTAGACGAATATGGGCAGGAATTTTCCTAGAGTAGACGAATCTTAAATTAGCAGAAAGTTTCCTAATGTAGACGAATATGGGTAGATAGTTTCCTAGTGTAGACGAATATGGGAAGGAAGTTTCCTAATGTAGACCAATCTGATTAGACAGTTTCCTAATGTAGACGAATCTGATTCCTAGTGTAGTCGAAACGGATTCATACTGTAGACGAATCTGAGCAGAAAGTTTCCTAGTGTAGACGAATCTAGGCAGAAAAATCCGTAATGTAGACGAATCTGGGCAGAAAGTTTCCTAGTGTAGACGAATCTGAGTAGAAAGTTTCCTAGTGTAGACGAATCTTAAATTAGCAGAAAGTTTCCTAGTGTAGACGAATCTTAAATTAGCAGAAAGTTTCCTAGTGTAGACGAATCTGAGTAGAAAGTTTCCTAGTGTAGACGAATCTTAAATTAGCAGAAAGTTTCCTAGTGTAGACGAATCTGAGTAGAAAGTTTCCTAGTGTAGACGAATCTGGGCAGGAAGTTTCCTAGTGTAGACGAATCTGGGCAGGAAGTTTCCTATTGTAGAAGAATATGGGCAGAAAGTTTCCTAGTGTAGAAGAATATGGGCAGAAAGTTTCCTAGTGTAGACGAATCTGAGCAGAAAGTTTCCTATTGTAGAAGAATATGGGCAGAAAGTTTCCTAGTGTAGACGAGTCTGGGCAGGAAGTTTCCTATTGTAGAAGAATATGGGCAGGAAGTTTCCTATTGTAGACGAATATGGGTAGGAAGTTTCCTAGTGTAGGTGAATCTGAGTAGAAAGTTTCCTAATCTAGACGAATCTTGGCAGACAGTTTCCTCATGTAGAGGAATATGGGCAGGAAGTTTCTGGAGTTGTAGTTGTTAGCTCACCTGAGGTGAAGGCTCAAGTGAGCTTTTCTGATCACATTTTGTCCGGCGTCTGTCTGTCCGTCTGTCTGTCTAGCTGTCCGTCTGTCTGTAAACTTTTCACATTTTCGACTTCTCAAGAACCGCTGGGCCAATTTCAACCAAACTTGCCACAAAGTATCCTTGGGTGAAGGGGATTCAGGTTTGTTCAAATGAAGGGCCACGCCCTCATTCAAGGGGAGATAATTGGGAATTAATGAAAATTTGGTGGCATATTTTAAAAATCTTCTTCTCAAGAACCACTGTGCCGGGAAAGATGAAACTTATGGGAAAACATCCTCAGGTAGTGTAGATTCAAATTTGTTCAAATCATGACCCCCGGGGGTAGGGCGGGGCCAAAATGGCCGACCAAAGTTTTACATAGAAATATATAGGAAAATTCTTTAAAAATCTTCTTCTCTGAAGAATGACAAAGCCATAATTCATCATATTTATATGGAAGCAAGCTCAGGTAGTGTAGATTCAAGTTTGTTCAAATCATGACCCCCGGGGGTAGGGCGGGGCCAAAATGGCCGACCAAAGTTTTACATAGAAATATATAGGAAAATTATTTAAAAATCCTCTTCTCAAGAATGACAAAGCCATAATTCATCATATTTATATGGAAGCATGCTCAGGTAGTGTAGTTCAAGTTTGTTCAAATCATGACCCCTGGGGGTAGGGCGGGGCCAAAATGGCCGACCAAAGTTTTACATAGAAATATATAGGAAAATTCTTTAAAAATCTTCTTCTTAAGAATGACAAAGCCATAATTCATCATATTTATATGGAAGCATGCTCAGGTAGTGTAGATTCAGATTTGTTCAAATCATGACCCCCGGGGGTAGGGCGGGGCCAAAATGGCCGACCAAAGTTTTACATAGAAATATATAGGCAAATTCTTTAAAAATCTTCTTCTCTGAAGAATGACAAAGCCATAATTCATCATATTTATATGGAAGCATGCTCAGGTAGTGTAGATTCAGATTTGTTCAAATCATGACCCCCGGGGGTAGGGCGGGGCCAAAATGGCCGACCAAAGTTTTACATAGAAATATATAGGAAAATTATTTAAAAATCCTCTTCTCAAGAATGACAGAGCCATAATTCATCATATTTATATGGAAGCATGCTCAGGTAGTGTAGTTCAAGTTTGTTCAAATCATGACCCCTGGGGGTAGGGCGGGGCCAAAATGGCCGACCAAAGTTTTACATAGAAATATATAGGAAAATTCTTTAAAAATCTTCTTCTCAAGAATGACAAAGCCATAATTCATCATATTTATATGGAAGCATGCTCAGGTAGTGTAGATTCAAATTTTTTTCAAATCATGACCCCTCAGGGGTAGGGCGGGGCCAAAATGGCCGACCAAGGTTTTAATAGAAATATATAGGAAAATTATTTAAAAATCCTCTTCTCAAGAATGACAAAGCCATAATTCATCATATTTATATGGAAGCATGCTCAGGTAGTGTAGTTCAAGTTTGTTCAAATCATGACCCCTGGGGGTAGGGCGGGGCCAAAATGGCCGACCAAAGTTTTACATAGAAATATATAGGAAAATTCTTTAAAAATCTTCTTCTTAAGAATGACAAAGCCATAATTCATCATATTTATATGGAAGCATGCTCAGGTAGTGTAGATTCAGATTTGTTCAAATCATGACCCCCGGGGGTAGGGCGGGGCCAAAATGGCCGACCAAAGTTTTACATAGAAATATATAGGAAAATTCTTTAAAAATCTTCTTCTCTGAAGAATGACAAAGCCATAATTCATCATATTTATATGGAAGCATGCTCAGGTAGTGTAGATTCAGATTTGTTCAAATCATGACCCCTGGGGGTAGGGCGGGGCCAAAATGGCCGACCAAAGTTTTACATAGAAATATATAGGAAAATTCTTTAAAAATCTTCTTCTTAAGAATGACAAAGCCATAATTCATCATATTTATATGGAAGCATTTTCAGGTAGTGTAGATTCAAATTTTTTTCAAATCATGACCCCTCAGGGGTAGGGCGGGGCCAAAATGGCCGACCAAGGTTTTAATAGAAATATATAGGAAAATTCTTTAAAAATCTTCTTCTCTGAAGAATGACAAAGCCATAATTCATCATATTTATATGGAAGCATGCTCAGGTAGTGTAGATTCAGGTTTGTTCAAATCATGACCCCCGGGGGTAGGGCGGGGCCAAAATGGCCGACCAAAGTTTTACATAGAAATATATAGGAAAATTATTTAAAAATCCTCTTCTCAAGAATGACAAAGCCATAATTCATCATATTTATATGGAAGCATGCTCAGGTAGTGTAGTTCAAGTTTGTTCAAATCATGACCCCTGGGGGTAGGGCGGGGCCAAAATGGCCGACCAAAGTTTTACATAGAAATATATAGGAAAATTCTTTAAAAATCTTCTTCTCAAGAATGACAAAGCCATAATTCATCATATTTATATGGAAGCATGCTCAGGTAGTGTAGATTCAAATTTTTTCAAATCATGACCCCCCAGGGGATAGGGCGGGGCCAAAATGGCCGACCAAAATTTTTAAAGATATATATAGGAAAAGCAAATCCATGATTGGTCATGTGACTACTTGATTTAAACTTTACAATAAAAAACCATTTTCTACTTTTCCTACTTTTAGTGCTCAGGTGAGCGATGTGGCCCATGGGCCTCTTGTTCTATTTAACATTCTAAAAAGATTTTATTTTCATATACGCGTGGTTTTGTGATATGATTAGGTTAATTGCACCATATCAGTTAAAATGAAAGTCGACACATGACGCAACAATGCAGACAAATTTAAATTCCACAGGACCATGCTGGCGTATCGTATTGTTTATCATTTACCAGTGACCTGTAACTTTATTGAAGGAGGTTTTGAATGTTAGGAACAACAACAGACACTCGGAGACCCTATCCCTGGGATTCGATTTCGTTACAATAAGTAAGATGTGTTCTTCTGTTTTTTTACTCGTTTTTGTTTGAGGGTGGTATGTCTTGATAGGAGGGAATACAAAGATTCATAAAATGTTTGCCATATCAATCAATAAGTACACTGTTCGAAGCCGTGTAGGCAAATGCTCAACTTTGTTTGATAATTTGATTTTTTCAAACGCATGGACCTGGTACTGTACAGTGCCGTCTATGCACTATTTATTCCTAACTGAAAACATCTCATTTTTGTTTTCTTTTAGGTCTCTAGTTTGTTTATAATCGATGTATACGCAAATGCTGGATCCCTAACATTCTAAAGGACCCATTATGCATCATCACTGAAGAGTTCCAAGTCCATGGTGCTTATAGGCAATAATCTTTGTGATCTGCCCTTTGATTTGAGCAACATTTAAATCCATTCCAGTATTCTAAACTTTATACTCATAGCTCCCTCTGCCTTACACGTTAAATCTATGGTATATCAGACCAAGATGAAATAATTAAATGGTTTTTTTCCTTATGAAGCCATATAAGTATCCAGTAGTGGTTTCTGTTCACCAATACATGTGTATTTTGTTGTTTTTAAACATATTTGTCCTGGGAGAGATTGAAAATTCTGAGAATCTTATTTTCTGTTTTCCAGACTAATATGGCGACGAGCTCACTAGCTCAGGATCTAGTCCGATGTGACGTGTGCACTGGTCCTAAGGAAGCTGCCGCAATACTCTGTAATACATGTCATGTCAAACTTTGTAAATCATGTATGTCAATTCATGTCCACCAGGCCGGCCATTCTCACGACATTGTGCAGATCGGACGCCAAGACTCCCAGCAGCCCTATACAACGTGTAAAACACACGACGGTAATACATGTGCTATCCAGTGTGTACAATGTGAAATTCCAGTCTGCAATAAATGCATAATTTCTGGGAGACATAAGAACCATGATTTCATGGACATTTCTGACCACATCGAAGATGTGAAAGCCAGTGATGTTGTTGAGACAGGAGACATATGCAGTACTGAAAAAGGTTCCACCCTTCTGTTAGAAATAGATACCAATAGTTCTGATTTAAACCGCATTGCAATTTGTCAGCCAGATAAAATATGGATTTCTGTCCTGTATGAAAGCACCATTTTGTGTCTGGGCTTCTCTGGTGCTGTGAAAGACAGTGTAAACGTCATTTCCGGTGAATATCCATCCGATATTGCTGCAAATAGTGAAAAAGACCTTTATGTGTGTGATTGGAAAGATAGAACGGTTAGCAAGTACAATATGGACAATAAAGCATTAGACATTTTTGTCAGATTGGAGGAATGGACGCCACGTGCCATTTGTGTAGGAAACTCTGGAGATCTTTATGTTTGCATGACTAACGGCCATCGTAACCAATGCAAAGTGATCCAGTACGATGATAGGTCCATCAAGAAAGAAATTCAGAATGGTGACCAAGGGGAAGCATTGTTTTCTTACCAAGGCGGGGACGTCTTCATGACAGAAAATGGAAACGAGGACATATGTGTATCATTGACAGCAAACAGGTCGTTGGTGGTTGTGAATGAAGCCGGGGAGTTCCGATTTAGTTACCGCGGAAACCTCCAGAGCCAGAGAGTTGGGGAGTTTTCACCACACGGTGTGGCGACGGACCGTCTTTACCAGATTTTGATAGCCGACTCAGAGAACCACTGCATTCATATCGTTGACAGAGATGGACATTTTGTCACGTTTATTGATAACATCGCTCTCATGGATCCAAGAGACATCGCAGTTAACTCCTCAAACGGCAATTTGTTCGTGTGTGAATTCAGCACCGGTAAAATAAAAGTAATTAAATATTTAACATAGAGACCAGTGATAATAGAGAATGATATTATTACCTTTTACGTTGATATTATTAGCTCGACCGAGCAAAAGGCTCAGATGAGCTTTACATCACAAAATATTCAGTTATTCGTTGTATGTCGGTGCTTTTGTCGTCAGTGGCTTATACATTTCTCAGTTCAATTTTCTTCAGAACCACTATAGGCAAAATTTCAACCACGAGCACAGAACATACTGTGATAAAGAAGATTCATTTTGGGTTTCCCGTAGCAAAACAGGAACACTGCCATTCTTTCTATAATATTAAAGGGTACTCATCTTAAAATTACTTGACATGTGTTTTATGTATGTACGTAGTAAATAAACTTTGTGAATGTAGATGTGTTGGTTGTGTTATAATTCTGTGTATATATCTATCAAACGTTAGGGCTAGTGTAAAATCTGTAGGCTCCAGCATCATTTACCTCTTTACTGAGATCAGGCAGACTTGGGATTTTGAATCGAACAAGTTACAAACTTATATTGTAGTCAAATAGAAATACTTGGGGAAAAATTTATTTTCAAAATTACTTCATGCTACAGATGTAACTTGAGATCTTGAAGTTTTTTCTCCGTTTATGGTTTTGAGTATTTTTTGTTTTGGAGAACATTATCTGCTTGATATCAAAGGTGTAGTATACCTCTACCATAAAATGCCAGATTTATTTTTGCTGCGGGCGGCGTAACTGAATTCAATATCAAAGTGAATAAGATAGTAACATGAGTAAGGACTAAGAACATACATTACTTTACCAATTCCACATAAACAAATGTTGAAAAGTCTTCTCGAAGTCCATGGCAGTAAATATAGGGTCCAGGTGGGACACATGTTCCGAATAGTAGAAAAAAAATTATATTTCTTCAGGTATGTAACATTTAAGAATTTTCTACAAACAAATGTAATTCTTTATAATTTTTCCCTATATTTGGCAATTGAATATTGCTGAAATTTAAGCTCTTTCGTATTACCCCTCCTCCTCCCACCACCCCCCCCACCCCAACCACCACCCCCCCCCCCCCCACCATCATTGAAGCCCATGTCAAAACATTATTCTGTACAAGCCTAGGTAGATTAAACAAACTTGCAAAAATATTCCAAAAGTTTATTCCATTTCTTGTGATTGCACAACAAAGTAGATAGAGAATGAATAACAATAAATATTCTGTGATTAGTTAGAAAACAAACATGGTAAACTTTACATAAAGATAACGATTTCGAGCCATATGGTCAGCTCTATTTTAGCATGGTAATAATATATCACAGCTTTTTAATGAAATACTGCAATAAAAATATTTACAACATTGTTATATTACCTCTTCTGTATATACTTGTGATTGTTCTCAAATGGTTGGCGCTCGTGAAAATACTGGTCATGTTAAAAAAAACATTTCTGGTCTCGATACAATTAAAACATCAGTTTTCAAACTCACACTAATAAACAGAGAAAAAAGAATAAATTTATATGGTATTGTAAAGAATCATATATACAATTAACAATCCCTCAAGTCAAGTAAATTTTATTTATAGTCGGCACATATATACAATACACTCATTCATCATCAGACGTATCATGCAGTGAGAAACGTATCACAGTCTATAGATCATTATGCATTATGACGTCATAATCACAGGTACCTCTAGCACTCTTGCTTCATGATTTGCCACGAGAACGATGCAGGTGGGCGTTTTTCATTAGTGCGACCATTCCGTTTGTAAATTCACAAACATTTATTCTTTCATTTTTTTATTGGTTAGATTTTTTATAGATATCTGGACTAAAATAAACAAGAAATCCAGATGAAGATCGCGAAAATAAAGAAGTGACACGAAAGTAGGAATGGCACACTATGTTAAACTGAGTACATGAGTACTCAGTCTCAAGTTTCATGGCACCAGAGGCGATGGGAAAGTTTTAGGAGACACGCCAGGTGGTTTGTTCTTCATCATTTCTTGTCGTCGTTTGACTTCCTTTCGAACACTCTCGTACTGGGGGTGAGATAATTTGTAGGACAACTTCCACAGGTGGGGCTCGGAGCGCGGTACATACCGCTGGCCCAGGGAGTCGATCTTCTGGTTTGTCGGGGGAGGGGTCGGTGGTAGTGGGGGTGGGGGTAGAAACCGATGCTCGTATTTTTTAAAGTTCTCAGGTGGTAAAATGTTTCCTGAAAAGAAAAGAAAAAGACTATAATTAGGATGAAATATAAAGTCATTTCAAGCTTGATATTGTAAAACGATTAGGGACATTTATATTATGCACTAAAATCATTAAATGTAATCTGTGGCTGACCATGTATAATAATGTTGATGGTATTATGTGCATGGCTTTAATGCTAAACCCAAATGACAATAAAACTTAGATATGAATTTGTTACCATGGATGATATTGCAGCATGCAGTTTGCAACATAATTTGTCAACGCAAGAGGCTCTGTTCTCCAAAAAGGTTGCAAGGTCAACCGTGATTTAACATTGAAATTGTTAGATGTTTAGTAAAATTACATGTACTATTCTGTCATATATACTATGGATTCGTCTGAAAATGCATCGTCACCTAAATTAAATAGCAAAAATGCCTTGGTTGATGTATAGCCTATGCTTACAGTGGAATCTTAAGACTCACCACTTTCGTCGAGAGGCGGATTTCTTGCTTCACTTCGACACCGTAACCTCTTGAATTCCTGAACGTCAGCCTTGGTTCTGTTCATTGCCAGAAAGGCTATCTTCTCATTATTAAACAACTTTGTCTCTCTGATGTATTTCTCAAACGTGTGATCCCCGACCTGTGAGGGAGGGGGGATGTTTAATGGGTACATTGTAGCTAGCACTTCAGAAATCTTCCTACCCTCCGCAGTAGTGTTAAATCCATACTGTTTTCTAAAATTTCTCCACACGTTGCTGTTAAAGTTGGGGTCAGGGGTGTTTGGGTAGGGAGGGTCATGCTTCCCGGCTTCCAGCCACAGTTTGTACGTGAGAGGGGCGTGTCCGTGAGTGAAGTCCTTTGTTTCTGTCCGTAAGAAGTGATTACACTCTATATTTAACACAGATTTGGGCTGTTTTCTGGTGGCCAGTCTCTGGACTGGACGAGGACTGAAGCCAGACAGGGGCACCCTCTGGGGTCTCATCAAGTTCTCCCGCTCCTCAATGGTCGGCATGGCTACCACGGACATCTTCTACGATCTACCAAAAATTATCATTAATGGAAAGTAATAATTATGCTCAGTGTTTAGAATATCAATTCAGACTTCACATATTCCGGACTTAATCAAATACATTTAGGGAGTACCTGTTATTTTGAAATACGGTTAAATTACTTGTCAAATATCTAGACGAAAAGAAATTTGAGAAAGTAAGTATATGTAGGTAAATTTAAATTTATTTCCAAATGTGGACACATCATTATTTAGGGCATATGAGAATATCAAACATAATATTATAAGAAATCCAGTACTTAAATTCAATAGAAAAGTTATAGACAAGAGATCCAGTATATAGCTAGGTAGTCAAAATTGGTGGAGACCGAATGATATAAAGATAGCAACACATCTCAGAATAATTAAATACATGTTCATTATGTATGATAATGGTGGTATATATATATGCGAATTTGACGCTAAAATAAAAATCAGTCTGTTTTCGTTTCGCGGCATGTCTTTACTTTTAATTTTTGTTCATTGTTACATGTTAGCAAACTTCTTTGAAGTCTCGCCTTACCCGAGGTGGGAAAACAGGGAAAAAATTCTTTTAATAAACGTGTATTTGCAAAGTACATTAGAATTGAGTACATGTAAAAATATATATCTATTCATTTATCGTATTATGACAATGCATTTTAAATAGAAAAATTCCTTTAAAAGCCTTATTAAATGTTTTGTTAACTGTTTTATCTATTTTAAAGACTACCTGAAACTAATTAATAAATGATAAACAACTGATTAAAGATGCAAATTAATAGACGGACACCTGTCAATGTCTCTATCGTTTGTCTACTAGGAGCGAGAGAAAAGTTCCATAGTTAAAATAAAATCATCACTTTAAATAAGGCAAATTTTTCCTGAATTTGCATTATTTTTGCTATGTCAATATTTTTTTCTAAAAAATTTAAGTTACCTGTATATTTTATATGCAAATATAGTCGGCCATCTTGGTTGTATCAACGTTGTCATGGCACAGTGTGATCTCGTGCAATCTCGTAGACATTTACCTGGCTGTTACATAGAATTTGCCTCCCTTGTACTATCGCACACAATCGTAAATTTCGGGAATCTTGGAGGGAACAAATTTCATTTTTCATGTTTCACATTTGAATAATAATCAGGTTATTCTTTTTTGGAAACGACAATGATTAGAGTTGTTTTTGAGATATTTGTATTAAGAAGTATTCATATCTGCATAAATATAGGGCGTAAGTAAATTTAAAATACGAATTATACAGAAGCATGTAAACACGATTCTGTCGGCATTGCAATGGACTATTTACATTTAGTTTTATAGTAACCATGTATAGTAGGATGGCATCGCTCAACAAAATGTAAGTATATATCGTAGTAAATGAAATAATATAAGAAATTTCTTGTATCATTGTTCGTAATTAATTGTCATATTATTTCAGAATTTAAAACCGCGAGTTGAAACATGCTTGACAAATAGGAAAATTCACGTGGTGTGGTATGTCAAATGTTAGCTCTAGGCTAGAATCCACAGAAGTAGTAGTCAAATGTATTTATTATGTTAATATGCATGCCACTTTTTGTTATATTCTTCATGTTCTTGTTTCTTTTTTTTTTAATAATTCCGATTGTAAGACACTTCAGGTAGGAGCCATGTATTCACCTAACATGTTTCAGAACCACATCAAATAAATAAACTAAGTATCGGGTCTCCCCCTCCCCTTCCCATCTCTTCTATCTCTCTTTCTCTCTCTCCTATCACTCTCTGAGTAGTCCCCCTTGATTGCTACATTGCGTTGGAATCTTCACAAGCCCCAATCATTGCTATGTGTACTTTTTGTCTAATTGTCATCAGATCACCAAATCAAAATATGGTTTACTGTATCCTATTTGGAACACCAGGGACCTATATACTAACTAGTATATAGGTCCCTGGTTAGACCATCTATTAAAATATGCTAGCTGAAGAATCTTTTTCTGTGTATCTATAGAGTTTTGATATTCAAATCATGATAAACTGTTAGTCAGCATGGTCAGTACAGTGATAAAAGACAAAATGAGCCAATTTCTAGAAGCAGATATAGGGAAATTCATTAGCACCCAATTTATACAGACAACCATAAGCCTGACATTTGAAGCTTTCAAATGCATACATATGTACATGTATATTACATGTACATGAATCATGATGTATATTGAACAATTCTGATATGTTGTAAGCTTCTGTGAATATAACTAATTAATATAAAGCCATCTTACAGTAAGTGTCCATCAGTCTGTCAATCCCTCTAGCTGCTTGTTTGTCTGTCTGTTAGATTGGTTGTTTTTACTTTTCATCATCAGGTTTGTCCCTAAGGATTAGAATAGAGGGAGATATTTAAAAAGTAGAGGGGGGGTCTAGGGTTCCTCCCCTAATGGGAGTTTAGGAGGAATAGTAAAATAACTGGGGGATTACATTGAAAGCGGGGAAATTTCCTGGCCCTTGGGGCTAAGGGGCAACCCTGTATTATAATGTTAAATTTCAAGTTTTCTGTCTTCTTTTGGAAGTTGAGGTATCTTTGAAATTTTATTTGGAGGGGATATACAGTTTGTAGTGTGGCTAGATTGGATTAATCTTTTTATGTAATGATGGAACTCCAGTATTCTCACTCAGGAAGTTAATTCAAAGACTTAAATTCACAATAAACCTATAAAGTCACAATATACCTGGTCATTATTTAACCTAATTCAAAACATAAAAGTATTAACACTAAAAAGTAAAATGTTAATTTTCTTCAATTTCTTACAATTTAATTTTTCTTACTCTGTTCTTTCTATAGCTGCAGATCTGTAGCTCTCCGAAAAAATATATTGATAGACCGGAGAGTTACAGTGGCACCCATTGAAAAAACTATATTTATTGCGCACAAAAAAGTGCGCTCAGTTCTTGATTAATTCTTCAAAATTCTTACCTCAATTGCAAAAAAGGAATGATTTTAAAAAATTCCTTTATCCTCAATCAAGTACATCTGAACGAAGCATATTGGACTGAATTATCTTTGAAACCAAAATGGCAGTATAAATAAGCGAAATGTTCTATGATTACAATATCAGGGTCAGGAGGACTATTAACAACAATTATGAGGAATGTTTGGATGTGGAAACAGCGAAAGAATATGTTAGGAACACAGAGTAAGTACCGGGTAATATTTTGAAATTACAGTTTTAAAAACATGGAGAAATAAATTGAGAACCAAGCGCACTTTTTGTGCACAATAAATATACAGTTTTTTCAATGGGTGGCACTGTAGCTTTCCGGTCTATCAATACATTTTTTTCGGAGAGCTATATATATATATACAGATCTGCAGCTATTCTTTCTAAAAATGAGAAAACATTCTTGCTCTTTTTTTCACTACATTAAATATTGATTCCAATATTCCTGTGTACAGTTGATTAATATAAGGTGAGTGAAAGCTTTACTTGTATCATAATGTATTACTACACTGTTGTCATGGCAACTAATTCAATGATGGTGGTTGTGCAGGTGACCATTTCCTGCGATTGAGTTGCATGGTTGTCCTTGTTGTAGTAAGTAAATGGGCTTTTCTAAAACTGCATGATTGATTATGATGCGTGTAGTTAAATTACAGATTTAAAAAGTCTGTAGGTAATGGGATTATAGAAAGATTTCCAATTAACAAATATCACCGTTATAATAAATCCTGAGTTAAGCTACAGGTAGGTTATTTATACCCGGAAAGAGTTCATTGTACCTGAATGTTGTTCACTCATCAATTTAGATTGTATATGATTAAAAGTGGACCATGAACATTCTGAGATAGGATCATGCAGAAAACAGATTTAATCCAGTTAAATCGGCAACCTCAGCTAATTCTTACGTCATTTCTAATGAAAATAAAAAAAACATTTTTATATTTCATCAACCCTTAATTATCTGTACATCAGTCACTAAACACTATTGGAAATCCCACATCTGCAATTTTAGCCAAAAATTCTTATTGCAATTATGATTGACAAAATAAAATAGAAATTTGTGTCTCACCAAAATTACTGTAACTGGTAACTGTAGTTATGCTTTTGATGCATGTATCTTATACATTTATAGAAAAATCCTTTCAAAAATAATTTATCTTTATATATTTGTAGGTGTTTTCAGTATAAATATTAATTAAGGTCATACGTAATGTAATTTGAACTTCATTGGGTTCTTCCCTGGAGTTGAAGAGTTCCACTAAATGAAGGACCCGTGTGCAATACTTTTAATGTTTATACACCAAAACTCAGTTATAATGAAGTCGCTGGGACCTATGATATTACTTCGTTATATCTGTAATTCGTTATAACCGTATAAGAAGTTCATTAACGTTATATAGCTGGGGATCCAAGATGACTTCGTTATATCCGTAAATTCGCAATATCCGTGTTCGTACTAAACAAGTTTTACTGTATATGGATTTGTACACCTCTTCTAAAACAATTTTTGATGAAAAAAAATCCAGCATTTAATATGTTTTGTAATTTTTGTACATTTTTCTTTGAATAATGCAAAAATTTTCACACAATTTGATATCTTTTTAAACCCCCTGGTAACGCATGCTGATTTTTTGTCTTAGAACATGTTATGGTATTGTAAGTTTAAATTCAGAATATCTTGAAAAATTATCAGTAGGTGAGGTACGTTGCGTATGTCCTTAACATTGGAATTTTGTAAGAAAACCTGTTTCTTCATTAGAATTACAAATCCTTATTTGTTAATGAATATGTAATGGCTTTCTTTGTTTTGGCTGTCAATATTAACCCATTTCTTTTTTTAATGTGTGTAACACGATCCATTTTATTTTAAACACTATTTGTTGATGGTATATATTACCTTATCAAAGGATCTGGGATTTAAACGTTAATGAGCAACAAAATTAACAAAGTTATTAAAAGAATGTAGATCCACATAAGAGGAAATAAATCAGAATGTTATTTAAGGGACTCAAATAATCTATTTCTGTTTAATTCTAAAATTATAAAATTTCCTGTTTCACCATTTTCATCATCTGTTTATGTACATCTTATATCAAATCATAAATTGTTTATTTAATAATAAGTAATATTCAATTATGGTTGTTTTTTATACTTTACAGAACTATTTTATTGCCAACGTAGTCCTTAATTTTCAGTTTAAATAATAAATGAATTACTTTAACACTTGGCAGGATTTAAATGGTAATGAACCTTTTTTACCAAGGTTTAAAGTATCACTGAATTAGATGCACTGGTCTTTATTCCAGGTTTAGCTTGATAACTATAGATAATGTCCCATGTCAAGAAGAAAGAACAGACCAAGAAATCTAAACGGACACTCCACTTACTAGAACAGCTTGTCAGAGATCAGGTGGAAATAGATATAGAGAACATGGACCGGAAGAAAGGAAAAACCAACAAGTAAGTCTCTTGATCTTGTTTGACATAAAGGAGACAGTGGTAATCTTGTTTGAATATTATTGGATTAGACTTTTCTTAATCTACTGTATACAGGGTTATTTTCGTCCCGTCTTATTTTCGCCCTTTCACACTTGCAAACAATTTTGCCCTGTTTTAAATTCGCTCAGTCATAATTTTGTTTAAGAAATTATACCATATTCTTTGAATTCGTCCCATTTAAATTTCGCCCAAATGAGGATAGAGCGAAAGGGGCGAAAATAAAATGGGGACGAAAATTTCCCTGTATACAGTATTTCTTACTAATAATGCAACAACAATGACTTTCAGGAAAAAGGAGGACACAGAAAACAAGATGCATATCAATGGAGATATCTGTCAAAATGGCTTCGAGAGAAAAGGAAGGGAGAAAATTAAAAAATCCAAAAATAAAGTCAAAGAATCCACTGGAGGCACAAAACTTCATGTTCCAGAGACCAGCTCTCCAAAACAGTCCAGATCTAGGTCAAGGTCACGGTCAAGTTCCTCCAGCTTCTGGTCGAACGGACGGGACTCCAGGTCACGGTCTAGGTCGTACTCTCATTCTAAGTCACGCTCCAGTTCACGTTCAAGATCTGAGTCCCGTTCAAGATCAAGGTCATACTCAAGATCCAGGTCAAGGTCATATTCTAGATCTCGTTCAAGGTCTGATTCCAGATCAAGATCCAGATCGCATTCTCCAGAGACACCAAGATCCAAGTCGTCCGAGGAGCCGTCACAATCGACAACAAAGAGTCTGCCCGTTCCGTCGGTAAAGGCCAGAGACAAAGATGTGATGAGTGATATAGTGACAAGCAGCTCAAAGAAAAAGCCACCCACAGGACACAGGCAAGGGAAATTATTAAAACGAAGGCAAATGAAGAAATATAAATCATTTGAAATAAATCCTGATGCTTTTATTGAGGAGAGATTAACTCAGAAATACAGAGAGCTGGAAGATATAGTGAAAGGCAAGAGCTTAAAGACTAACACAATCACAAGACAATATATTGGTCAGATGGAGATGTTGAGAGAACAGTATCACATGGTGAGTCATGGATTAGCTCCTCCAGGGGTGATTTTACCAAGGAGCCTGTCCCAGGAAATGAGGACTAAGGGCCAGCAAAATTCTCATTACAAGCGGAGGCCCCTTTCAGGGGAAAGTTATAACAGTAAGTAGTTTATAGCACAACAGCATATTAGATATCTCAGTAAAAGAGGCCCTTCAAAGGGGAGAGTTATAACAGTAAGTAGTTTATAGCACAACAGAATTAGATTTCTCAGTAAAAGAGGCCCCTCAAAGGGGAGAGTTATAACAGTAAGCAGGTTATAGCACAACCGAATTCTCTTTACAAGAGGAGGGCCCTATCAGGGGAAAGTTATAACAGTAAGTAGATTATAGCACAATAGAATTATAGATTTTTCAGTAAAAGAGGCCCCTCCAAGGGAAAGTCAAAAAATTGGGTAGAACAAGATGTGCAGAATTTTTATCACAAAAGGAGGCCTCTATATAGGGAACATATGCATGCAGTCATAGCATTGGGTAGTTTGTTACAAGAGAAATATGGAACAGTTAAGAATAAGGTGGATGCAAAGCTTACAACTTATAAAAGCAACACATATACATACATCAATTTCTGGGCAAAGTTATTAAAGTTTGATAAAAGTTTAAAACACCACATGAATAAAATAAAACAGCAACACATCAATTCATTATTTTGTTAGGATTATTTTCTCTTTTTCTCATTTTAATATTAATTTAAACTAGCCCCCTTACTTTTTTTGTTGAATTGTTTACTTTGTTATAGAATATGTTTTATTGTATAGTTAAATTGAATGTTTCTTGTATAAAATGCTTGAAGAGTTGTGGATGGTTAACTGTAAAATTAGATATGCAAAAGAATTAATATTTTCTTCAGTCTTGCAGAATAGAATGCTTCAGAGTAGCTTCTTTGAAAAAAAAAATCACAACAAAGGTCTTGGATATATATTTAGATAATAAACCAATGGTCTGCTCTGTCAAAACAACTTGGTCATTAAAATAACCCTGTAGAAAAGAAAAGCTATTCGGAATTTTTGGTAAATCTCAGCCTGTTTTGGATTTAGATTTTGAAAATCTTTCCTGCTGTTTCCTTTTAGTGCTTTATCTCTAAGCTGGGCAAAGTAAACAGACCAACCAGGTGGGGTGTTGACACAAAGCTTTATAAAACAGACAGGGAAAGTTTAACAAGTTCTTATACTGAAACTCTCCAAAACATTTATTTATCACCATTAAAGTTATATAGACAAACATATATTTTTGTCCTAAATTAAGTTGGACGTCAAGTAGATAATACAAATAAAAAATGGAAGTCTGGATTGGTGTACATTTTGTGACCTATTTTGTTGTAAATAATGCAAATATGAAATTTCTAAAATATATCAAGAAATTGCAAACTTAAAATGATATTCAAAATTCTACCTTTGCACCTGCAACCAGCCTTATAAATCCTTACATTTTTTAATCACTTTATATGAAATATTTTGAAATTTTGAATGTAAAATTATAAAATCAGTTTGTTAAATTTATTCATTTTACTTCGATAAACCCCATTTCAAGTCTATCTCCCACTGACCATTATAAAATAGTAAATATGACTCTATCAGATTAGTGCCACACCACCCTTCTATTGTTGAACCCCCCCCCTTCAGATGTCATTTATCTGTTCTAGTAGCAAATTGGTCATGTTTTTGAAAGAAGCCCAGGACGTAAAACTATAATTTTGTTTAAATTTGATTGAAATATTTCTGAAAGAAAGAAAGCATACAGAATTGGTAGAAAGCAGGCACAGGAGTAACGGATAAATACAAGAAGTGTTTGGTATGCCCCTGTACATATCAGATCACAGACTTTACAAGATGTATACATGTTTCTCAAATGCAAGTCAAACTTCAAAGTCATGAAATTAAATTAATGGTTTCTAGAGAAAAAAAATTTTACAACGAGAACACCCATGAAGTAAGAAAAGCATATCTTTAAACAACTAGAAGTTATGGGCAAGGACAAAGTTTTTTTTCAAAAGAGGGTTAAACTACAAGCCAAGGTGAAAATGAATGGTGCCTAAGAGAGGGTTTTGTCACAAGGAATACATGTCTTCACTATGAAAGCCGTAGCCTCAATTGTTTGAAAGGTATGGCTAAGGTTATAGTTTTTCGAAAGAAGGCCAATCTAACAGGTCAAGGTCAAAGGATCAAAATTATTGGTGCAAGAGGAATAGATTTTTCACACCCGCTGTGAGCCCTATGTATTGATCAAATATATGTAACATTTCGCACGTAGTCAAATTCAGTATAAAATAAAGGCCTATACCAATTGGTATGAAACAAGTCTGTAACATTACATACAATCCAAAGATAGGCTATATATGCTAACAAGGTCATTTATTTATTACGACTATATAATTTACTAAATGCAGACTTTATAAATGATGTTGTTGAAATCCTTGAACCACCATCTTATCTATCCGTAGCCTAACTCAGAAATATCATGTAAAGTATGAAAGCCGTAGTACCAATTCTTTAAAATTTATGACAAACGTTAAAAATTTTAAAAGTAGATGTAGATCAAACTATAAGATCAAGATCAAAAGGTCATAATATTTGTACCCAAGGGAAATTTGTAACTGTGAGAGCCGTAGTACTTACCGTTCAAACGATAATGACAAGGTTGAATTTCCTGAAAGTTTGCAAAAGTTGGTCAATCTGAAGGTTAAAAGATCAATTATCGATAATCAAAGAAAAGTTTGTCACAAGGAACAATCCTGCGAGATAGGTGAGCCATAGCTCCAAGCAATAAAAGATTGGGAGCAAAGTTAAAAGTTTTTACGCGGACAAACAGGCAGATGGACGGACAGGGCAAAGACTATACCCCCCCTTCGAATCGTCTATTATGGAGCATAATAAATATGAATAAGTGAACGAGTGCATTAAGCAGAGTGTTGTTCAGTTTATGTTGTAAAATTTTCTATATTGCTTTGCCCATATTCTCAGATATCACAAAATATATATTCTTTCGAAAACTCTATTTAGACGATAATAGCAATTTATTTTGCCGCCTCACACAAGCGATAAGAAAATCTAATCCAATAAAATATAAACTTCCTTCTTTTATAAAGTGAAACGAAAGGAAAACAACAGCACATCTGAAGAAAAAAAAATGAAATTCTATAGTATAGGTGGTTTTGAACATCAGATGCAGGATGTGCGTTATTTAAAATTATTGCGCGTTCATCATTTTAAGTCCAGAATATTAAGAAAAAAAAAGATTGCCTTGTACATCCTCTTTGAGAAGCAGAACAAATATTCTGCAAAAATTACAAGTGAAAACACATTACACGCAGCACTTATCGAAATGATATATGGTATAAAAGTAATATTTAAAACTAAACATCAAAATGTCATTATAGGTGAACTGTCAAACAAATCCACGGATATGGCGTACCGATCCATGCAAAACATTATCAACGACAGCAAGAATCCAAAACATGAATATCTGACAAAGAAACATAAAAAAAGGCCAAAGCGCAAGAATTCCGAGTCAACTATTGACAATTCATCATTTCACTCACACAACACTGCAACTACGCAGAAAACGGGCAGCACAGTAGTGACAACGCCCCGAGATATAGACGATCAGGAGAGGATGAACTACCACTTGAAGTATTCCAGCAAAGAGGAGCTCCGAATCTGGCTAAAGAAGAAGGATAAACTATACAGGAGGAAAGTCAAAGAGGAAAAGGCAAAGAAAAGGGCAGAGCGAGAACAGATGGTGCTTGAAGCTAATGAGAAGTTTGAGAAGAGACTTGAAGCTCAGAAAATTTACAAAAAGTGGGCCGATCAGAAAAATAAGGAGATTGCAGATCAGAAGAAAAAAGAAAGGAAAGAACATAAACGGATTCTGAAGGAGTATGAGGAGAAAAACGAAAAGAAGAACATCCGTCCAGAATCTGCTCCTCTTCGACGGAAAGATCCTTCTGGTGGGATCAAGGTGGAGGGGACTGCCGATACAAACGTTAATATAAGAGATAAATCAAACAAAGCATCGAATGACTCGGCACTCTTAGCCACTCCTCATCCACCCACCTCAAAGTTCATTTACAAGCGCCCTGTAGCTGGACGAATAAAGCTTGCTGTTAATGGGAACAGTCCACATGGCCAAAAATCTGAGCAAGAACGACCGAAAACTGCGTCTTCGTCACGATCTAAAAGTGCTGAAGGTAACAGGATGTCATACGATCAGTGGGTCTTACAGAAACGGAAACAGGATCAGAAGAAAAAAGAATTAGAAGAAAAGCATAAAAAAGATCAAATGTCGAAATCTGACCCAGATCTTAACAAACTTATTCCTGATATTGCAAGAAAAAGAGTCCACAATGTCCTGGAAGGGAAAAAGAGAATCGATACTGGAGTGAAAAGAATTGATGATAAGTTAAATAAGAAATTTGGAGGTGCAGATTTTGATTCAGAAAGGACAGAGACAGAAGCTAGCGAAAATGTTCGTTATTCTTACCGTTTGGAATCGGACAGGACTGAAACTCCGAGTCCTGGAGGTCAAATTAATGTTTCTGGTAAGGCTATAAAACGACCTCCAACAGGGACCAGGCGTCCTCAGACAGCCCCATCAGGAAGGGTTCCACCTCCCAAAAAATCCTCAGGATCACCGCGACAGGCCATGGTTCCCAAACTCGAGGATGTAATGAATGAAGAGAACACTTCTAATCCTTTCAAACTGCCATTCCCTGCTGAACAGGGAGTACCTAAACATGTAGCTTCCAGACAGAGGAAGCTTTTTGCAGAGCAAATTTGGGAGAGGTTGGAGGGTGAAGAGAGACCTGAGCCCCAGGGTAGCGATGTTCCAGAACCTGCGACTTGTGTAGGAATGGGGAGTCCACCGGCTAACGACTCTAAGTCAGAGACTGAAGATGAGAAAGAAAATACAAACAAGGATAAAACAGAAAGTAACGGAGATAACTCAGAAAATGGAGACATTGAAAATGAAGAGCCTAAGAAAGAGGAGCGTGAGGAAAGTAAAGTGTTTTTGACTCAGTTTAATTCAATTGACAATTTAAATAAAATTGAAAACACAGAGTTTGAGGCAGACAAAACACAAGACATTGACGAAAGTCCAGTGATAGAAAAACTTAACCTGGATTTCAACGAGAGTTCTCAGAGAGATAATGAGTCTGATTCAGACCAAGCATCAACAGATCGTGATCAGAAAGAAGAGGAAAACTCAACAGAAAAGGATGAATCGACACAGGAGAAAGAGGAATCTGTGAAAGACGATCAAGATAATAAAGAAAGTGAACAAAATGGAGGAGATAGCAGTGAGAAGGATAAGGACAGTCCTAGGAACGTAGACATTCTTAACTTGGATCTGGAGAACACGACACGCAGCAGCAAAAGGGTGTCCTTTAATGAAGCGCCAGAGGTGTTTCAGACGGAAGACTGGAGCACTGACACCCAGACACCAGACGAGGAGAGCTATAAGTCTGGACTTCACGATTCTACTGACTCAACTGAGAAACAAAATGTCACCTTAAGTGATGAGGACGATTTCTGAAAATGAGTATGTAAATATCTCGTTGGTGGCCGCAAATTTCTGTGACCCTTTCCTGAATTTCCCACTTAGTACATTGTTTTGTTTCACATGTAACCAGACATCGAAGAACTATTCTAATGAACTAGGAAAAAATAGTTTTTGACGTTTATCACATTATTGCAATACTTTCCATATAAGTCAGGATAGTTATTTTAGTGTAAATGGTAATCACACACACGATGTTATATGTATTGACTTTTGAAACCGTCACATCATTTGAAATTATAGTGCATTTTATCCATCTCGGTTGTTGGTACAGTTGTATAGGTCTCATATTCAATGTCTTACATAATTTTTATTCAAATATTTGTCGTTTATTTTTCTCAAATACCGGGGGAGGGGGGGGGGGGCTCTATTCGAATTTTTCTCAGCTTCTTTAGAAAAAATACTATTTTGAGAAATCGGTTAAGATGAAGGTCGATGATGCACATACATTACCGAGGAACACGTCTTTCCAAATTTTTTTTAAACTTAATAAACTCTAATGGAGTCTTTTTGAGAAGAAATACTAGTATGTGATAAACATGCTGTATCATTGGGAACTGTATGTACTTTTGTCGTATAGGAAGACGATGATCTGATTATATGTACAGAATTCGGACTTGTTGTCCAGTTATTCAAGACTGTGATAGTGCTATATTGTTTTATGATAATGTTGACATTTTGTACGACGAAATATTATTTTGTAAATCAATAGCTAATTTTTGTTTGAAGTAGTTCATTCTGTACTAATAAAGCTAGCGTAAACAATGCCACACTTTTCTTATCACAAATTTAAAAAAAAAACAAATGAATGTTTTTTTTGTGACGTTACAAAAATAGGCTTTTCAGTTGTTGTTCAAACCTTGTTATTAATCTTAAAATGTCATTGATATTGAGATATATTGAGTTATTACTTTCAGTAAAGGAGAATATATACATACCTGCTTTTTACCACATGTTTTTAGGCATTATATTTTTGTTTCTTAATGATGTTTTTTTTTTTAATATTGCACAGGTAACATTATCTCTCTCATGCCTTGTTGATACTTATGTTGTAAACATTCCGTCCTATGGTTGAGAATAAATGGGTATGCTTGTTTATTTGAGAGAGAGAAAAAAATATATATATTTACAGTTTTAAATAATGTTTGTACTTTATTAAGTACTGGAGCTATGTAGAACTTAGAGAATTAAACAAATGGTAAGAGGTACAATAAATGTTTTATTGTGTATCCTGCAAGAAGACTAATAACAATATCGTGAAACTGAAAATAAAGTGGAAACAACGATACAGCGATCGAACTCATAAAAACTAAAAAACAATGCAAGTCTGTGAACAGAGCAAAAAAACTTGAGAAAATTGACGATAGAAAAGCTGAAATCATCTCGTTTGTCATACAACTTAGTTGTTAGTTGGTCTTTCTATGAAACATGTGTCAAACTATGTGGCTTCATATACAGGTGATAGCGGAATGTTACTACATAGGTGAGTTTTGACGATAGAAAAATGTGACGTCATCTGGTTTGTCATACAGTTTAGCTGTTAGTTGGCCTTTATCATCTCTAGCTAGTAATACATACAAGTATGAACCAGATGTGGCAAACTTCTTTAATTTCAAGCTCATTGGGTTATATCGGGTCGACATATGAAGGGAAATATCTTGCCCTGAAATATACTAAAAAGAATACCGTAGTTCCTCGATGACAACTCAATGACAACTGCTACATAATCTTTGGAGGCAAGGTCTCACATCAAATACAGTGATCGTTAAAACAAACTTAAAACTATACAAATCCGTAAACAGGGTACTACACACGGATCCCTGGAAATTTCAAAGGTTATATTAGGTGCCTCGTAGGAGTATACCATCCCGGTATGAGCTCGACGTTTTAATTAGGTAGGCAGAACATTCAGAAATCGTTAAGTATTACATGGACCAGCCATGGATATGAAAAATATAGGTCCAAAATACATGTACGACCCTTTTATAGTTTTTTTTAATACTAAGAAGGTCATTATAACGACACGAAAAAATCCGTCAACAACTTGGTGTGTAAAGAATGACCTAACAATAGGTATGGCATTTGACTTAATGATAAATTATATTTGCTGACAAGGTCATTGTATCAACTTTAGAAAGAAATTATGACTTTGAATGACTGCTTATATTCTTGTTTCATCAACTTGCATGTCAATAACTTACCACGATGTAGAAATTGTTCATATGTATCATATGCTCTTACGTATCGAATCAACTGAGATATATAAACTCCATATACAGGTAATGAAGGTATATTTCTGCATAAGTAAGGAATAGTTAAAGTCATCACGTTTATCATAGAGCTTGGTTGTTGGATTACCATTAACGTCTTTTGCAAGTTTTATCTCAAGCTCACAAGGATGTATCGTATCGACATAAGAATGGAAATTACCTTTGTTAATTAACAATACGTCATCGATATATCTATCCTTCGAGTTGAAGGCCACAGCAAGTGTTTTCTTCTTTTCACGCATACGATTTTGCACAAATTCTGCTTCATATGAAAACAAAAATAAGTGTGCTAATAACGGTGTGCAATTGGTACCCATGGTAATTCCAATAGATTGTTGGCAGACCTGAGGCCTGTTCAGCAGAGCGAACAATCGCGAGCGCTCGCCAAAATTACTATTGGAGGTATAAGGAATTTTGGCGAGCGCTCGCGAATGTTCGCTCTGCTGAACAGGCCTCAGGTCTCCAAAAACCACATAGATATTGTCAATCAGAAACTCAAGCATCTTTAAGATGTCAACTTCAGAGTACTTGTGTGTGCAATCAGAATGCGTTTTAACAAAATAATTGTGCAAATAACCAATGACAAGGTGAGTAAATTTACGAGTTCCAATTTTATTAAAAAGCTGTTTTTTTTTCTCCAGTGCTATACTTATACAATGTACAATCGAAACACAAAACTATATTCAATACCTTAAGGTAAGTCTCTCCTGAAATTTGTTATATCAAGGATTTTTTGAGAAGTATATATTGGATAAGTACTCATAAAGTATAACTCAAAATCAAAGAGAAAATAGGGGGTCAGTGTGCATCCTACTGATCTACGGTACATTTAAGTTGACCTTTTTGCACTTAAATTTCATCTCTTTGGTTAATTACTAAAACCCTTATTATATTTGATTAGATGTAAGCATGACAATAAATATAATCTTATTTTACGTAAAATAGTTTGAATAATATTTATCATTAAACAAATCTTGCAAATTAATGCGCGTAAATTATTGTTTGACCTTTTTGCACTAAAAAAATAACATATTTGAGGTATTTAAAAACTTAATAGGCAATAAAAAATTTTCTTATATCAAACTTTTTACGACTTGAGTGCTAATCAGTCACAAGTATCGAGTAGTTTAAAATAATGAAAGAAAAAGGTGGGGTCAGTGATGTTAATTTTGAAATATTTGTCAAAATATGTGATTTTCAGGCAAAAATGGTGTAAATTTGACCTTGACTTCTTTAATATATTTTCATTTTTTGGAAAAGTTTGTAAAGGAAGGTGTAAAACTTAGTCTAAAAATATAAATTAAGACCTTTATTAAATATTTTTAGCAATATCAAAACGGAAAATATTCTCCGAGTAAAAGTATGTGAGGTTAAATTTCCATTACATTAAATTTTATAAATGTGCAGATTTGCAGAATTTTCTGCTAAATATCCTTCCACCAAAAGAAATAGTCCCTCATAAATCTTTCTTCTTTGTAGATTTTTGAGCAGTTTTTTCATTGAAAGTTAAAAAAATTACATTGTTGAATTTAAATATGTTATAAAAATTGAATTTTAATAAGTAGTTTTGAAGTAAAAGCTTCTGCGTGAACTTTACTAAAAAGCTGACGAGTGACTTACCTTAATTATAATGTTAACACTCTCAGAATTACACATTTACAGTTAAGTTTCTTTATAAAATTGTGTCCATAAAAATTACATTGAATATTTTTTGGATTAGTCCGAAAATGATATTTGTTTTTGGAGGTTCAGTAGATTTCTTTGTCACTCTTTCCTTCCTCATTTATAGAAAGGATATAGATACAGGTAAATGTATTATTTCTAAACGAATTTTAAAAAAACAACAAAGAAGACTGATATAAAATGAAATTAAAAAACAATAAATGAAATGTCTTTTTGATGAACTATAAGATAATTTTCTAAACATTGGTCTTAATACTAGTAATCAATAAAATTGATAAACAAAATTGCATTTTTATTAATGAGAAATTTTTTGAATACAAATTCGAATTTAAGAAAAATTAAGAAAATGATCAAGTACCAATGTAATCTTTTAGAACAACATATGGTTCACAGAAATCATAAATAAAAATTCATTTTTATAAAACAAATAAATTTTCGGAGGTATGGGTGCTGGATGATTGGGTAGATCTTTCCTTCATCAAATAAAAATGAGAATATTTTGTTTACCATTAAGAAAAAGAGTTGCCTCTCTTTCAATATCATAAAATCAGAGGTGCTGTGAACATTAATTAGCTCACTTAAGGACAGATGATACGAACACATTTTTTCTTTGGAGGAGACTTAATATCATACCACAAGTTAAGAAAAGTGAATATTTCTTAGAATTTTATCTCCAAAGAACGGGAAAATGAAATAGACTTGGAAAATATTAGTAATATTTCAATGAAATTACAAATATGGACAAAAGACACTCAGTAAAGGTTTACAGATGAAAACAAATTTTTAGAATATGTTAAATTGGTGCTAAAAGTGTGATATAAACTTTAGAAAAGTATACCAAGCCAGGTGAATTTTACCAGGAAATGCAAAATGGTACAAATTAGCCTATATGATATAGCTGAATTCTTGTCTTTTTGTTTGTCCTCATATATCATTTTCCCGTTCTTTGGAGAAAAAATTCTAAGAAATATCCACTTTTCTGAACTTGTGGCATGATATTAAGTCTCCTGCAAAGAAAAAAATTGTTTGTATCATCTGTCCTTAAAGATAACCCCGCTTCCATTATGACTATAGTTGCAAAGTCCATGTTTTCCTCTGAGAGACCCGAAATAATTATCAGTTTAAAAAGTAAAATAGCAAGTATAATAATATCATTATACAATAAATAATCCGTGAAGGTATCATTAAGGACAGATGATACAAACAATCTTTTTTCTTTGTAGGAGACTTAATATCATGCAACAAGTTCAGAAAAGTGGATATTTCTTAGAATTTCTTCTCCAAAGAACGGGAAAATGATATATGTCCTGAAATTTTATTCATTAATTTTATCTAAATTACAAGAACTTGTGCTTTCGTTCATTGTGCATTTGATAATTTGCCATCCTTT